AAACATAGTTGTTTTTATCGACTTCTTGGTCCAATCTTCTTTGTTCGTTTCTTGTTTTCATTGACTTCTTTATTTTCATTTCATGACATTTGATTGTCTTATTCTGATTTTGAAAAAATTTATAAGATTAAATGATTAATAAATATTTAATTATTAAAGATTATATATATTTTCAAAATTAAATTTGAATAATGAGAAATAAAAATAAAACAATGTATAAAGATAATATTTATATCAAATATAGTTTTAATATATTATTTTTTATAATTTTAAATATAATTTTTTTAAAACGTATTTAATTAAACAAATATAGAATAAATCTGCTTAATCAACTAATTAATTTATTTGGCAAAAATGAGAATGGAACTCAACAAGTCATCTAGGCGCTATGTTTAATTTTCACATTTTATATATATTGTGTGGAAAGACATTTATTTCGATTTGGCTTTTTTTTTTTAATTGTATTTTTTTTTTCTTATGTTTCTTTTTACCAATTTCGTAAATGATAAAATTTATTTAATATTTATTTAATAAATTAATTAACACTTTTATTATTTATTATAATATTTTTAGATATTATCTTTTGTGTATGAATATTTTCTTGGTTATTTTTTCTTTTTTAAAATAGAAAAACCTATTAAAACATTTTAAATATAATAACAAATTTTATATAAAATGACCGTAGACTATTTTACATAAATATAAAATTAATTAATATATATATTATAATTCGTCTTTTATTTTATAAGTTTGTTGTATAATAATTTTCTTTATTTTTCAATTTTATTTTTATTATATTTTTCGATAAATCGTTTGATTGATCTATTTCATGATCGGTCTCATGAGCTGTCTTCTTTTTCTCTTCTCATGGGCTGTCTTCTTTTTCTCTATAAGGGTTGTATTATTATTCTTCTTTATAAATTGTAAAAGTATATTAGTACATAATTGTTTTACAAAAGTTTACAGGTGTCTTCTCCATCTTCTTCATCTCCCCAACTTCTTTCCATTTTTTTTTCTTCGGTCAAGTTTAGCTAAACTGATATTTTAATATCCGATCTGAATTGGTCCAATACATGGTTGAGATCGATGCTCTAGAATACTTTATATTTCTACAAAATTCTACACTATTTCAATATTTACAAAAGAAATTAATGTATAAAAACCTACAACGTTCAAGAGAGTTCTTTTATTCTTCTTTTGGATCTTTTTCAATTAGAATCCTTAAATTTAAGAAAAATCTCCTCCGCCAAATTTAGAAATTCTTGTTAAGATTGAGTCTTGAAGGCCATGATCTTATCCTCAAATTTCCATTATTCATGCTTGCTTTTGTATGATTTAATATCTAAGGATCTTCTCCTATCTCTTTAAAGTATATAATACTAATTAATAATGAATTGATTGCAATTTGGGTCAATTAGGCTAAATTGAAATTTACCTAATTGAAAAAAACTTTGATTCACAAATACATCAAACCCCATTTACCTCAACAAATGAACCCTAACATGAATTAAAGTTCAAAATTATTTTTGTTAAAAAATAAGCCCAAACATAAATATCTCTAAGAAGAAGTATGTGTAAAAAAACCTCAAGGGTATATGAGGTTAACGAGCAAGAAGATGAGGTTTGCGACTAAAAATAACACTTTATATGTTACTTTCAAACCAAGAGATTCGAAAGATGCGAACATGGGCATGTCCTATATTTTAGGGAAAAAAAAAAGTAACGATATTTTACTTGTTTGCATATACGTTGATGATTTCATATTTGTAGGGAATGACATTAACATCTTAGAAGAATTTAGGTATATGATGACACAAGTTTGAGATGACCGATCTTGACTCAATAATCATTATCTTGGCATTGATGTAATACAACGAGATGGTGGCATATTCATCACTCAAGAAGGTATGATAAAAAAATTCTCACCAAATTTAGAATGTCAAGTTGTAAAGCAATCGATACCCTTAATGACATTAATGAGAAAACAATAAGATTTGATAGTGATGAGCAAGTTGATCCAACTTACTTCAAAAGTCTTGTTGTTAGTTTTCGATATTTAACTTGCACAAAACCTAACATTTTCTATGAATTGGGAGTATTGAGCTCTTAAATGGAAAACCCTACCTTTATACATTTGACGTTAATAAAAGGAATTCTTCGATGCATCAAAGGCATTCTTCAGTATGGACTCCCTCAAGTACTCACTTATTTTCTTCTATGGCAATACAATTCCCTTGAAGTTCCGAAAGGCAACTGATTGTGATTTTGTCCACTTGTGAGGCGGAGTTTGTTGAAGTGACTGAATGTGTTTGCCATGAAATATGGTTGTTGAATCTCTTCAAAGAAATCCACTCCCCACAAGGAACGGATGCTAAAGTAATTTTCATCGACAAATCAACAATCACCTTGTCAAAGAATCCAATTTTTTTACAATTGAAGCAAGCATATTGCAACATGCGATCGCATCAATTTGAAAAAAAATTACCTATAAAGAAGTCAATATCAAACACATATATACGAAGAATTAAGTGGCATATATTTTTACCAAATCACTAAAGTATGAAGGCTTCGCTCACATTAGATATACCATTGGAGTGACTAATTCCAATGTGAGGGAGAATATTGAAAATTAAACTTGAATTAGTAGAAGATTAGTGAAAAATCTAGAAGAAATTAAAAGATGTACAAAAAAGTAAAAAATACAAGAAGGTGCAAAGAAATAGAAAAAAAATTAAAACATAATAGAAAAAAAAATGAAAGGTGCAAAACAAAATGATGTCTCTGGGGAGATGAAAAATATTAAGAGGATGTTTGGCAAAGAGTTTTTAGCTTGAACAGCTTTTAGCTGTTTGACCAGTCAAACAATAATTTAAGTGTTTGGTAAATTAATTTTTTGGAATAACTTTCTCGACCAAAAAGCTAATTTCTGAAAAATTAACATACTCAACGTTTTAAAATAGCTTTTTCAGTTTAATTTGTTTTATTCTTTATTTGTCCTTAAAAATTTTTTTATGCATTTTACACAAATAAATATATTTTGATTATTTATTAATTATATTAGAATATTTTATCATATTATAGTTTTACTTTTATAAATTTAAAATAATTAATTTTTATATATAAATTATTTTAATTGTAAAATATATAAATTTATTAAAATCAACACAAAATAGAAAATATAAATATTAATAATTTATTTTTATATTAAAATTATATTATATAAATTTTATACTAAAAATAAATTAAATTAATTAAAAATTATAAATATAATGGACTAATCGATAATTAACATAATAAATATATACACAAAAAATTTATTATTTTATATTTTACATTATTTTCAATAGAAAAAACTATTTATATTTTTCAATAAAAATATATTATTTTTTAAATCAATTATAATAAAAATAAATATTTTTTTATAATACTTTTACAATTTTCAATAACTAATAACAAAAAATTTCAAACATTCTAAACTCAAAAGAACACAATTGAATATATTAGAAAAAAAATAAAATAGAAATATCATCAATTGTCATTTTACGTATAAACAATTAATATCAAACAGTTATTTTACCAAACATTTTAATACAAACAGCTAATCGAATTAACTAGTCAAATCAACTAATTGAATCGGCTAACAGCTATCGACTAAAACGCCCTTAACGATCTAAAATATTCTTTTTAATACTTATAAGTAGAACCAACTTATTATAAAATGATACTAAAGAATTAGACAAACAACATTTTATTTCATTAAAATTCTTAGGTTGTTGAGGAAAAATAATCCAATATGTGATTTATTTTTGAAATTGCATCAGTACTTTTATGAATATATATATATACATATATATATATATGTGTGTGTGTGAGAACAAGGCAAATAGAGTGCATCATCTACAACATCCATATTGAAAAATAACTTGGATGTGTTTGTCTAAATTTAAGTCGTGTTCAGATTCATTTACTGAAAAATCTGCACGTCCTTGCTAAATTGTAACAAATTAATTTGATAAAATATATACAATAATAAAAATAAAATTTTATATTCTACGAATAAATAAAAAATATAAGTATTTATTTATAATTAGGGTGAACTATTTTTTTAGTTCCGTAACTAGACCCCTTGTCATTTTAGTCTCGTAAGTAGAGCATGTCGCAAACTAACTAGTTTCATAAGTGAAAAAATTTCGCTGTTTTAATCCTCCGGCGCCAGAGACGCTCGCGTGGATCGTCGGAGACCACGTGTTTGCCAGGTGACGGACACGTGGATTTTATTTTTTATTTTTATTTTTTTTAAATTTTTTTAAATTTTATTTTGATTTTATTTGTTTTTTTTAATTATTTTATTTGATCCAATTAAAAAAATTCAAAAAAATTAAAAAAAATAATAATAATAAAATCCACGGGTTTGTCAGGTGTCACTAACCTGGCGGACACGTGGCTTCCGACGAGCCACGCGGACGTCTCCGACGCAGAGGACTAATTCATTTACTGGAGTAAAATAATAAGGAATCCAGTTACGACACTAAAAAAAATTATCCTTATAATCAATATAAATTAATACTCAAATTACATCGTTATTAATTCAATACATTTACTTTAATAAAATTTAAATTTAATTCAAATTCAAATCAATACTCCTATGTACTCATCGTATTTAACATTAAAAATATTTTTATATAATAATATTTTTTTTTAAAATATCATTTTATTAGTATGAAAATATTTTTATAATTTTTTATTTAATATAATAATTAAAATGAGACCGCGCAACGCAATATTTTCGAAGTCATCCAAAAAAAAAAAATACCCTCCGACTAGAGAAAACGGTCCTCCAGATGTACGCAACTCTCTGACGGATTCAATTTGTGGTTGCTCCATCTACTACCCTACACTGATCTCGAATTCAATTTCTGGTTGCTGCAACTACTACCCTACTCTGCTCTCGAATTCAATTCTGCTGCTCCGATCGATGTTCCTCGCCATGAACGGTATTATAAAACGTTTGTTTCCCAATTGTAAGTTTTCAAAATGTCAGCTAGGGCTCGCATGTCTCTGTATAGTTTTGCAAATCTGATAGCGCTCTGTTTCTCCTTCAATCTCCTGTGCATGTCGAGTGTTTGCGCCACTTCTCAACCACAACAGAAAGGCAGGAGTTTTGCAGAACAATTTATCTTTTGTTGTTAATATCTTCAGATGCTTTATAGTCATTGTTTTTTTTATGCTTTTCAGAAATTGAGGGGGCTTTGTGATATCTGCCGTAGGGAATAATGCAGTTATAGGTGCAATGTCTGATTATTATTTTCATGTTATGGTTTGTTAATTTTGCGTGGCTATGTTGGATATATTTTAGTGTTCTAAAGCTACATTTCACTTTCACTTAATCCAAAATTCGGAGATAGTATGTTGAGGTTTAGAATTCAAGACGGAAAAATCAAAATTTGGTAGCATAAAGGTTAAAAAATACGACCTTTAGGGTATGTTCACTTAGTAATTTTTTGGGTTTTGGTTTTTCTTCTAAATATTGAGTTGGATGTGCGCTTATCGGTTAGAAGAAATAGTTTATTTTAAATGGAATTGTGAGGATTTAAAAGTAAGAGAGTTGAGAAAAGAATATCAAAGTAAATAAATAAGTGTTCTAATCTACATTTTACTTCTTTGTTAGTATAAAATTCATAGATCACGCTACCTCGGCTGAGGTTTAGAGTTCATGATGTACGGAAAAATAAAATAATCTAAATACCTTTCAAGACCAAAATACGGCCGTAGAAAATATGGCAAAATAATTGTTCCTAATTATGTATAAGGAAAAAATTGTTTAGAACTTATTTGTGATTTGGAAAGTCCGCACAATTCTCTCTATGACTGAGAAACCATTCTCACATAATTTTAGGGGATCCTGTACCGTTTCTAAATTATAAGAGAATATGATGCAAGATTTTTCAAACCACAAATGAATTATAAGCAATTTTTCCTATTCAATGATCAAATGAGCATAAGTACGAAATAATAGTTTTTAACGGCGTGCCTTTGTACATTTGATTTTCTATCTAATGTATTGAAAATTATGCAGAAATGTTTCAGGGAGACAAGCTTGTGTTAAGGGGGTTGATGTTTCATGGGTACCATGGGGTGAAGCCAGAAGAGAGAACACTGGGCCAAAAATTTTTGGTTGATATGGATGCTTGGATGGATCTTCGAGCTGCCGGAAATTCTGACAGCCTATCAGATAGCGTTAGCTATACTGACATATACGAGTGAGTAGTAAATTCATTATCTGCATATTAGGTGCTTCTTCAGATTAGTAGGTTATATAAGTTCATTAGCGAAGATGATAGAACTGGACAGTTGCTTGCAATGGAATATGGCTTTGGAGGGTCGACTAATTTCCTTTAGGGTTCTTAATGATATATCTTTGTTGATTGTTATTTGTTAGTGAATTATGGAAGTGCTCATTAGTTGGTAGGCAAAATATTGTGCTGATGTTTGTTGATCTAGCCTTATTTCGATAAGCAAAATATTGCACGGGATTTTTATGAGAGGAAATAGTTTATTTTTATAAAAAATTATAAAGATTGCGACATATTGCATTGGCATGGTAAGAATGAACTCATCGTAGATTACATAGTACATCGTGTCAAAATGGGGATTGAAGATTCGAGTAAATACACCTTTATTTTTTTTTTTTCACTAATCATTTTGTTTATGCTTTTCCAATAATAATCTCATTTAGAGTGCAATGTTAGTTTACATTATCGGTTAAAATCTATCCAGCTTTTGAATCCTTGTCGATGTGAAATTCCTCAAATGTTCTTCTTCAATACGTCTATTTCCTATCTAATCATCGCAAGTTTCTTTAACTTTCCCTATCCTTTGCCCTATTTACTTGGCTTGTCGATTTTGATACAACTTTCATGGAAAATGCAGTATCATTAAGGGTATTGTCGAAGGAGCTCCTCACAACCTTGTGGAATCTGTGGCTGAACTTATTGCAACATCAGTATTGAGCAAGTTTTCTCAACTGTCGGCTGTTTGAGTACAGGTAGGAAAGCCACAAGTGGCTGTGATCGGTCAGATCGACTACTTGGGCGTCGAGATTATTCGACATCGTCCGATTAGCGAGCAGAAGTGAAGTTAGCTATTGTCGACTCTTCTGGTTTGTTTCCTTTCGATTTTAAATTGTATTTTGATGTAATAGTTTATGCTAAAATAATGGACTTTTATGGGAAATGCTGAATATTGTTCTCTTTTAAAAAATTATTAGTGTGTTTTTGGTTTTTTTTTTTTTTATTATTATACTAAAAATTTACTTTTATATTCAAAAGACCTATTTATATTAATCAAATGATTTTTTCAATTCAGAATTTTCTATTCAAAACATAAATTTAACATCTAAGTCCACAAACAGTATATTTCAATACATTCTTTTAAGGTTCAATTTTATATAGTTCAATACATGGATTATAGATCTCTATCAGAATCCAATAATTTATATCAGTTTTGTTTAATAATTTTAATTTTAATATATTCTACATAATTCAACTTTTTTTAGATATATATATATATACAATTAGAAAATAAACAAGCTTTTCTTGTTGGGTTATTATTATTATTATTAATAATTTATTTTAATGTTAATAGTCCTTTGATATTGTTAGCATAAAAAAAAAATGATTTATGTTTCTCGAATGACCGATAGAAATATTATAAATAGACTTAGGAAATCTATTTAAAAGAATGGTTTAGGTGTATCTAATTATTGAAATTAAAATGTCATGCAAGTGAACACTTGTCATAGTATATTCAAATTTAGGTTAAAGGACAAAATTAAAATTTTATAGCAAGGACCAAAATTATAACATATGAAATTATTTATTATTATTTATTTATTTATTTATTTATTTTAATGTTTAATAGTCCTTTAAGTATTGTTGGCATGAAAAAATTTGATCAATGTTGCATGAATGACCGACCGAAAGATTACAAATAGGCTTAGGGAAATCTCTTTTTTTTTTAAAAAAAAATAATAATAATTTAGATGTATCTAATTATTGAACTTCATACAAGCAACAAATTCAAATTCAAGGCTAAATGACAAAATTAAAATTTTGTAGTGGAGACCAAAATTATAATATATGAGATTTATTATTATTATATATTATATATTATTTATTTTAATATTTAATAGTCCTTAGATATTGTTGGTGAAAAAATAGATTTAAGAAAATCTATTTAAAAGAATAATTTAGGTGTATCTAATTATTGAAATCAAAATCGACATGCAAGTAAACACTTACACAGCATATTCAAATTCAAAGTTAAAATGAAGACCGAAATTATAATATATAAAATTATTTACTATTGATGGTTCTCATCCCTCAACAAATTCTATGACAGATTAACACTTAGGGGAAATAGATTGAACTCACATATAAAGAGAATTTTATACGTACTTTGTATGTAATCTTAAGACAGATAGATTTTTGGAATGTGTATCGTGAACCATATAGAGTTGAATGACTAAATCTCACTCGGTAGATTTTGAGTGAATGATTTCATCATCGCGAAAATTTATCTAATTGGAAAGTATGCCAGAATGACGGATCTAATTACATCATCCAATTGCAGAGTGGATGACCTGAGGGAGTGTTTGTTCGGGGATTGGATTTTAAATATACTATTCATCCCATTTTTTTCTCTCCAAAAACATCAAATCAAACACTTATTTTTTATTTTTTATATTATACTAAAAATCAATTTTACATTCAAAATATCACATCAAAATTTTTACTATTCAAATCCCAACTCAAAATCCTAACCCTCAAACAAACACACCCTAAGAAAAATGCATTTATATGAATTTGCATATACATTTGTTGTTTTGGAGTTAGCCATTATAGATGTTAACTTGATATGTTTGTGATGGTAATTTTGTAAAAATTACTTTTATATTCAAATATCTATTTATATAAATCAAACAATTGTTTTGATTTAAAATTTTTTTATTCAAAATTTAAATTTAAAATCCAAGCCCATAAACAATATACTTTAATACATTTCTTGTAAGGTTGGATTGTATATAGTTCAATACAAATGAACTCCATTATAGATCTATATCATAATTCAATAAGTTTATATATATATATATATATATATAAACAATTCTAAAATAACAAGCTTTTCTTGTTGGGTTTTATTATTATTATTTATTTATTTTAATGCTTAATAGTCCTTAAATATTGTTGGCATAAAAAATTTTGATCAATGTTGCTTGAATGATCGATAGGTAGATTACAGATAAATTTGGTGAAATCTACTTAAAAGAATGATTTATGTGTATCTAATGATTGAAATCAAAATCATAAGTGAACATTCGACACAAAGTTAAGCGACTAAATCTCATTCGTATAAAGAGAATCTTATATGTACTTTGTATATAATCTTAAGAAAGACATATTTTTGTGTTGTTTATCGTGAACAACACAAAGTTAAGCGACTAAATCTCACTCGGTAGATTTTGAGTAAAGCTGTTAACGATTCGAACCGAGCCGAGTCGAGTCAAATTTTAAGTGTTCGTTAACGTTCGCGAACAAGGTTCGTGTTCGTTCGTTAAGCTTTCGAGCTTGTTCGTAGTGTTCGAGCTCGGCTCGTTAAGAATTTTTGTTTTTTGAGCTCGTGTTCGTGTTTGGCTCGTTTAGGCTCGATTAAGCTCGTTCGAGCTCGTTTGTCTTGTTTTTTAAAATTTATATATAAATTATAAAGAAAATTTAAAATTATTTTATTTATATATAATATTTACAATAAATATATTACAAAACTCGGGCTCGTTCGTTAACCAAACGAGTCTGTTTATGTTGTTCGGTTCGGCTCGTTAACGTTTGCGAACGAGCTTTAACCGAGCCGGGTTCACGAACTACCAGCTTTAATTTTGAATGAATGATTTCATTACTAAAAAAGTTGATATAATTTGAGAGTATATTTGATTGATGATGTAATTATATTATTCAATTGCAGAGTGGATTACCTCCGAGTGTTGTGCTTATCGAAGAGGTTCGCCTAAAGCCTGAAATGAAGTCGAAAATATTCACTCCATTCACTATTCTAAAATTGTTCACTTGAGAAACAAGACTTAAAGACTTTGGTAGGCATCTTTTTTTAGAGAAGTTTATTTATATATACATTTGTTATATTGAAGTTAGCCATTATAGATGTTAATTTGACATGTTGATAATTTGTTAAATCAGTAAATTAAACTTATGTAGTATCTGTTCATATTGACAGTAGATATATAAATGTTTCGAATTTAAAAAGAAAAAATGATATTATATATAATATAATAAAATTTGATATAAAATGTAATTTTTTAATTGTAGATTGAATAATGTAAATAAATAGTAATATATATACATATAAACAAACCTTGGTATGTGATTGCTGTATTTTAGTTCATTTCAATAATAGACTTTTTAGGTAAAATAAATGTTTGATATGATTTTTATTTTTAAACAGAAAATATATATATATATATATATATATAGAAATCGACCATTGTAACACTACCCATCAGTCTAGTTAAATAAATAAAAATTAGACTCAACCCGTGTATTACACTGGTATTAGCTAATACTTATCATTCCAAAAATAATGTTTTAGCCTTAATTTAATTTGTCTAGAATAAGTGGACTTTATCGAATAAATCTCCTAACAAAAATACAAGTTATTAGAAAAAGCAAAATTCCAATAAACTCAAACTTAATTTAACCAATTAAAAATTAACAATTAATCTGGATAATATTAGTGACAACATATCATTTATATTAATATAATACAAACACAGCTCATGAACTAACATGATATAGTCTCAAACAGCATATACAATAGTTCATTTCAACGCACGGCAAATATTTATACGGCACACATTGCAATTATAAACAAACAACACATGTTCACGTGTTGTTTTTAATAAAGACTTGTTAAAATGGAACTTAACATCAAAGTATTCTTTCGACCCCGTCGGCATGATAACCGCCGTCAACATGGGTATAATAATAGCAACAATAATGACGATGATGATTAAATGATGTAATTTCAAAATTGTGATCCAGATTGATAAGAAAACATTAAATATAGATCTCTACATTAGAAGGGGTTAAAAATTCAATCTTTACAAACGCAACTTTAACATCAAAGTATTCTTTTGCAACCCACCATACATATCAACAAAGAAAACTATTTCAACACGACAAACCCAAATAAAGAAACAAACGTGAATAATACAATACACAAGAAGTAATCAAATTCAGAGAAATTAATGCATGTAGAGATGCAACCACATAGAAAAAAAAACAAAAACAAACAAAAAAAAAAATTACACAAAGACTCAAGGTAAGGTTTTCGGGTTACCTCTGTGTCTGCACGGCGACGCCAAAAGACCAAAACCAATCCCCGTGTAGAATCATCACAGAGGTCAGAGCAAAGAAGGACTAAGAAACACCTTGGAAGGACAGCCGGTCCCTCAGAGTATCGAAAATAGATGCAGCTGCAGCATTTTGTGCAAAAGTAAGTTTCAATCGCCCAAGCAGTTCCCCGTCCTTAGCTTGAGATGCAGCGTCTGCAGCTTCCTTCGCCATTCCAATTTTAGCATAGGACTGTCGATGAATTAAAGAGAACTCATGGTGCTACTATTGAGGGATATTGACACAAAAACCGAATGCAATTGAATCATATAGCTTCTATTACCTCAGCTCTTTCTCTGGGGTCGGCGAGCTTGGGAATATACTTCAGCGCTTGCTCTTTCTCGCCCGCATCAACACAAGCCTCCACAAATGGACGGTAACCTACACTCGAGTAACAGGTTAAAAATAACAGCTGTCAATTTTATTTTATTTTTTTTCAGAGTTTATTTACAATACAATCCCTAGATTTTTTATAAAAATATACTATTTTTTTTCACAAAACAAGACATCATATCACTATTTAAATATAGAACACAAACACAATCCGAACACACCCAATGCTTTTAAAAGAACCCGGCATGTGCCAATAAGTTTCATTAGGATACCCAATGCATAATGTAAACTAATAGATCGATTTCAGTTGACACTAATTTGATTTTATCAAATTCAGCCCTTAAATGATTTAACCAAAAAGAGCGCTTTAAACGGAAGTCCTAAATGAAACCGCTGCATAAGCTGCAAAAGTACACAACCAATTCAGTGGGTGGAATATCTTGTAGGTTTTGGGAAAGAGACCTCACAAATGAATACAAAGAAACAGCTATTCAGACTAATCAGCCCTGAAACAATAATTCGACATTCTCAACATAAATACAATTTGCACTTCCCTTTTAAATTTGCTCACACTCTCGTAGCAGAGATTTCCACTTTAGATGGAAAAAACAAACTTTACTTGATAGAACTTTTATATAGTCACAGATACTTTATCCAAATGCAAAGTAACTGGAAATTGAGTAAATTAATCTTACATGGAAAAGAATACCAAAACAAGCTCAATGCAGAAGATATATAAGAAAAAAGTGAATGCCAGATAAAACAAGAAGATTATCGGACATTAATTCACTTCATGGGAATAATAAAGACTACTGACCAATTGGAGGCCTCTTTTCTTTTGAAAACTTTTCCAGTGCATCCCAATCTCGAATTGTTGCCAGAGCAAATACTTTGAGCCAATACCACCTCTTCTCTGAGACCTACATCATGTCAAAACTATGTTAGAAAGTTAAGTTTGCTTAAATTTGAAGGTAGATAGATCCATCATACATCCATGCATGAAAAAAATTAAGCTATTGCTTGATTTTGTCTTCTTCTAAGAGATTGCCTGCCTTTTTTAGTTGAGGAAATTTCAGAACCAACTTACCTTAAATTCAGTTTTAACCTTGTTGGCAGCTCTATGATTTCCCAGGACAATACACGTGCGAATTGTGTCACTGATACTTGAATCAACAAAAATGGCCTGCTTTGTAGAAACCTCCAGTTCATGTTGAATTCTGCATTGATTTCAAAGAATCTTCTGTGAGCAGCTAATGCCAACATTTGCACATCATATAGAATAAAAAATAATGCTGCTATAGACGAAGGCCCACAATGAAGTGTGAAGGGACTCATGTAGTCTAGAATGACATGTCCTAAGCTATCAACAGCACAAACGAATCCATATTCAATCAGAATTAAAAAATTTCCTGTGATAATATTCTCGCAGTTTAGACAGCTCCAGTGCAAGATCAAACTATAAAAGGTTAGAAATTGGATGCCCAAAGTTAAGAAATAAGACTATTATATGGTGGAAAGTGGAAACACTTAATATTAATTAGTTTCAAAGCTATATCTCAATAACAACTGGAATTTTTCACATGCCAGTAAGTGCCATAAACAATTATCACCTCAACAATTTTGCATGTTCCTCAGCAGCCTTGGACTCAAAGACATGTTCTTTTGTTTCCATGAAAAGATTATGAGCCTTTTCAATTAGTTTAATACGTGGACCGTGAAGAGGGGATCCTCTGCTAGCCATTGGATTTTTTGCCAATTCCCACGACTCCTTCCACAATAGAAAGGCCACATCCTGCAAATCATAAAAAGTTTCTGTTGGAAACTAAAATGTATTTTTCCATTGAATTGAATCAAGGAGTGCTATATCTATAGCCAAAATAGAATGACAAACATAGACAGAAACATCATAATCCTTACATAATTTCATAGAACTTAACAAATTAGTATAAACATTATACAGCTAGAAACAAGAAAATGTCATACTTCCATATGGAAAGTACAATCTTCTCTAAATAGTTCTGAAGTCAAACATGGGGACCTATACAAACATATTGAACTGACCAACACAACATAACATCATGACTACGAACTATATTCTCAAAGGCTCAAAAGTACGAGGAACAACAGTACAACTCCTGGAAACCTTGTCTAAATTGAACAGAATAACCCACAAAATCACAGCAAAAGGCAAACTTCATGATTGCTGCCTAAAAATATCCTCGAAAACTCTAACTAAAAGGAATAACACTTCTACTGCTTGAAAGAAATGTTTAATTTGAAGAATACAACTGATGACTTTGAGGCATCAGACAGCTATTAAAACTGCTGATATTCTCTATGAGCAATAAGAAATAACATCAGCACTGTTTTTCAGAAATTGTTCAATGAGATCAGTAAAGTCCACGCCTCCCCTGATCATGAGGAAAAACTAGGACAACATAAGTTCTGGTATCATATTGAAAATTTTAATGTAATTTTCTATTGAATTAAACAATACACTACTATTATGTATTGATGAGTGCATGATCAGATAAGAAAAATCATAAAGTGTAATAAATAATTAGGATTACCATCCTACTAAACAAGTAGAAAACTACATCAGAACTCATGGGGGTGTGTATTTTCATCTCCATTTTTTTTACACCATGCCAATCTACCATGAAGAAATTTTATTCCTGGCCAAAAACATCATTTTCAAAACCTAAATTCCAAAGAAAACATCACATCCAAAACATATTTTTCCCTCAAAGATCAAATCCAAAACATCCCAAACACCCCCAAAACACATCCAAATGCACCTCATATCTTTATTATAATATATAATGAATATGGTTTCCAAGTTCTGATTTCCAATGCTTTTTATCAAAAAGTATCTGCAAACACAAACACACACACACGGAAGTGGTGAAAAGAATCAGAATCAGAAAGCTTGCTGACTAGGGCAGAAAGTAAATTAGCAGAAGATCACATTAAGTTTATCAGAAGTATATTATAACTCAAGCAAATATTCCTCCCTCATTACATGATCTGTCTGCAAGAATGGAATATTTGAATTGAATCAATTTAAAATGTAAAACAGGTGACAAAGGAACAAGATGTTTATAAGTTCCTATGCTTAATATAAAATAGAAAGAATTAAATGTAGTATAAATATATTTACCTCATTTCATAGTAATGATTGAAAAAATGAAAAAGAATACTGTTGAAAAGAAAAAGGCCCATCCCTTTTTTATTGGAAATAGAACTGATGATATATAAAAGCAGGAGAAGGTCCCTACAAACAAATAAAAGGTGAACATGATTTAACCTGTAGTTGCCCGGTGGATAGGTAGAAGTCCTTCAAGAATTCATGTTTATAACACCTGCAAAAATATTCAAATTTTAGAAAATTATATGTCGTGAAAGGAAGGGATCCCCTATCTATATGGTATTTTGTGAGGATAGGTTGTGTCTGTACTGTGCATAGGTGATGAAAAGATCACGGGCCAGGGGTCTGGCTTGTATAGTTCCAAAAAACTCCAATGGTGCTCTCTGCAACAAGAATTTACTTAATGAGCTAAAATCAAGAACCAGAGCTATGATTATTATAAGTCAATTGCATCATAGCTCACATACCTTATGCCATATGTGAAACAGGACAAGATACACAAGATCAGTATCACCACTTTCCGTAGCCTTCACAAGTGCAGTATCTTCTTCTCCAATGCTTAGCAAAAGAGGTATCTGATGAATAACAATATATTTAGTTGTTGAAATCCACTTGGGTTACTTCTAAAACTTAATGTGACAGAAAACAAATGACTTCATAAATGCAGCTCACATGATCAGTTCTGTAATCCAAAAAGAGGTGGGTGCATTTAGTCATGGAAATACCAATTTTTACCTGTTTGGCAGAATGAGGCTCATGTTCAACCAGCATAGCAGCCAACTTTCTACGGCCACTCTTATCAGCATGAGCAGCTACACCAGCATACGATAGTCCTTTGCAAATCTTGAGCTGGGGTTCCATAGTTAGTGATACTCATAAATATGTTTGTGAATAAATCAGAGCAGATCAAATAACCAGGGACGCAAGCAGAAAACTTCGATCATTATAATGGCAGTAACTTAACAAAATCACAAGTTTGAATGATAGTAAAACATTATTCTTTGTTTCTTATGAAAAAAAAAAAACAAGGCTATTATTAAACTGCACCTGGCTTATGTATATCGTTAAGCTAAAAAATTCTAGTTGACCCTGATCCTATTCAGTTATGTCAATTTTAGTGATGGGTGATTGAACAAATTTGAGTGTACATCCCAACATGACATTGTCTTGAAATTCATTGGTGAACAACTAAAGCACCATCAATTGAAAGTACTTACTAAGTGAAAACGGCCACTCCAATTCTATTTCATGGAAAAGATCTATGACACTAATGATAATATTTTTAAGAAAACAAGAATTGTTTTCAGCGTGCAATTAATTCATTCTGTCCGTGGATCCCTCATAAATCATAATCTATAACAATCAGCTCAAAAAGAGAAAAAGAAAAAAGGAATGACAGGTTTCTATTGCTGTCATTAAACAAAAGCAAATTTTCAATATGAAATATAATAAATATTGAGAAGTGAGAACTGTAATTCAACCTGGGATAAGGGGTGGAAATTCCAAGTAAAAATGCATGTATAAAGGAAAAATGTAATGAAGAAAACACCCAGGCAACAATAAAATCAGTCACATCTTTACTGTAGTGACCTAGGATATATGTATTTGCCAAAGGCCTCCAGTGAGACACATGATTTCTAATAGTTGGAAGCTTTGAGTTGGTTTATGTGCATGCAGGCAAGATCAAGTATATATACAAGACAGTTGATAAAACACTAACCTTGTCAAGTAAGATTTCAAGAAGACTAGTATCTGAAGTTGCTGCAGATGTTGATATCTTTGTACACGCCCAGTGCATTATCACAATCTCCTACTTGAAGCACCAGAACAAAATTGGTTTAACACAATGAAGTGTTCTTCACATTTTCAAAGCAAATAATTATCACATCTCTAACAAAAAGTTCCCAAACACGTAAGCTAACTTGATTTAGTACACAATATAATTATATATCCTGTTCTCTCTCTCTCTTTCTCTCTCTCTCTCTCTCTCTCTCTATATATATATATATATATCAAACAACAAAAGTATGACATTCAAAGATCAGATTATCATCTAGGAGCTGCAGGCATTTACAACCCATCAATGGACTAAATAGTGCAATATATGAAATATATTAATTCCTTAATTCAATTCAAAAATCCAAAGTTAGGCTTCTACAGGGCTCACGAATACAGGTTACAGAGAGCAACCCAATTATCTTCCATAATTTTATGTCCTAAAATGTGTGTGTTGTTTTTTTCTGTAAGAAAGAATATGTCCTAAAATGTTAACTGGATTTACTTAGATAAGTTCACCATTACTACATAGTTGTACCACATGCAATATAAGGGCCCCTTGGGCTCGCAATAGTGATTTTCCAATAGGGCTCCATTTATCATGTATCATATTCCCACCAATAATTGATATTGCAATCTTCTTAATATTGTGCCATATTGGATACATTAAAGGCCACAGACTTAATATCCTCTTTATGTGGAATCAGGTTCTTATTTTCATTTTATATTGAAAGTTTGCAATTTCTCTGAACCAAAAGTATTAGTATATCAATTGTGAACTATAAAACTGAAAAAGATTGCTTTATATTGTAGTAGATTAAGATAGAATTGCCCATTAAGAAAGGAGAATAGATAGACCAAATAGTAGAGCAAAAAGGTAAATAATAACCAAAATCCACTTACTTGATTCATAGAAAGGTATTCAGATATCCGCAAAGCTAGAAGATGTTTATGAGCATTAATCAAACGGTTAATCAGAACAGGAGGAGTAAGTAGCTGCATAAAAATGGAAGGAATATGGTAAAATAATCCAAGGATAAATAATGTAGTACTCGAACTGCCTAGCATAAAGCATTGAGAATAAACACCTTGTACTGCTGGATGCTTAGAGGAATACCAATTTCCGCATCACGTACAGAATTTAAGACACGAAGGGTTTGACACATCTCTTTTATACGGTCACGATTAAAATGACTGCCAAAGCGAACTGGATATCATTACCAAGAAAAATAATCAGAACAAATGTTCTTTTAGGAGCATGAAGAGCAGCTACAATTCATAATGAGAGCAAGTATGCACCAGCAAATATTTTATTTAAGAATTCAGTTAATACATGCTAGCAAGAAATCTCACATCAAACCAGGTTCCAAGTGCCAAAACATTAACCTCACATATGTTTCCATCTTTCTTATTCTCAACTCATTGTCTACAAATTATTACTACTTCAAAATTTAGAATGTATTACGCATTTAATAATTATTGCTCTCTTAGATAGTAGATCACACCTTTTAATTCAGATCTGAAAGTGTAAAACAAATGTCAGACAATAAGTAACAGAACTATCCTGTTACTTTTATATGATGAAGAAGAAATGATCTCGGAAACCTGAGAAGGGAATCCAGCTATGGTAACAAAAGTCATAACTCTTGTGTTGTCAATTCGTATTCAATACAGAAAAAATAAATATGTTCTGCATTAGAGCCAAGAGGTAATCATATATTATATTAGGATAATTATTATTTAATGCATCAAAGATAAGAGCCAAATAAATGAGACATGCACAAAAGAATGACACCTGCACATATGAACCGACCAATTATTTTCTTTCTGTTTTTTCTTTTCTCTCAACTGATTCATTCTCCCAAAATTTCAGTGAAAAGTGAACGCACACATCGAAATAACAATTCAAAGGGATGTTCTACTAAAAGAACGCCAATTTAGACATATTAATAACATCAATTTAGGACCATTACTCAGTGAATTGAAATGGAATATACTATTAATATGAAGAACTTGTAGATGGCCATAATGAATTTAACACCAACCAACCTAGCAAAGGTTTGTCCATAGCTTGCAGATCTCAGTAATGTCCGTTGCAGCGAAATATCAAATTCATAACCAGCAGCATCAACACAAGCCTCAACAGCTTCGGGAAGTGAAGATCGGATCAATCTCAAATTCTCATCAGCCTGAAAGAAAATACAAGTTCAACAAGAGAACAATTCGAAAAAGTAAGAAGAGCAGAATTTCATTATGCTTGAACAACATCACCATGCGAATAAAATGATAGGATGGATAAGTAAATTTCAGTTTACTTAGATGGAAGCAGACTACCTTAGCACTTTTCCTGTCAAAATGCTCTAGGGCATCGTACAATAATGAAGCAGGCAAGGTACTTCCAATCTTAAAGATTGACTCGGTAGAGTCTGGAACTCGATGTAGAAACTCCATGCTTGTATTAGAAAGTATCCTCACCCCATCGCACTCTGGGATAAGAATAATAGGCTCATCATATATGTATCGAACCGGGTCCCCATAAGGGCCAACCATCAGTAGCATGTCATCCCAATAGAGTAACACACTGTCCAGTCCACACCAAGCCAGTTGATCAGGAGGAAGAGCTGACTGTACACATAATTAACAGAAACAATTAGATACACCACAATTCTGGATCAAGCTGTCATCCCAGATATAGATTAAGATCACCACAGTGAAGTTGCAATTATACGATGGCACAGAGATGATATCAGCTTAGCATAATTGGTAATGCAATGTTCCTCTTTAACAAGTATCAAGTTTCCTTCATCAACAAACAAAGTGAACATAACTCACACAATCTACGCTCACTAGGAAGACCTCATTGCATACATAATTATCGACAAAAAAATTAGATACACCACAATGCCTGATCAAACCTTTGCAGGCAGATAGAGTTGAAGAACAATAGTGCAAACTTGCAATTATATGATGGCACAGAGATGACCCAGCTTAGCATAATTGGTAATACACTGTTCCTCTTTAACAAGTACTATCAATTTTCCTTCATCAACAAACAAAATGGACATAACTCACACAATCTACACTCACTAGGAAGAGCTGATTGTATACATAATTATCAAAAAAAAAAAAATTAGATACACCACAATGCCTGATCAAACCTTCCTTCACAGATGGAGTTTAAGAACAATAGTGCACAGTTGAAAATACGTTGACGGCACGAGATGATACCGGATTTAGCATAATTACTAATACAATGACATACTGTAGGCTGCTCATCAAACAACAAAATGAACAGAATTCATGTAATCTACATTCAAACTAATATGTTAAAGAGAAAGAACACTATACGCTATTATACCTCACATTCGTATTCGATGATAACATCAGCAAAATCAGTAGACAAGACCAGAAGCCTTCCATCATGAGTGAAGGAAGCAACAAACTCCCCTTTCCTTGACACAACCATCTTCTGAAATGGTCCCATCCCTTGAGCTAGGGTTTGCACTCCATCCTCTTCCACCAACAGCACATGATCTCCAACCCCTAGCAGCACCTCCACATCTCCTGATTTCGTATACTGAGGCTCGATCACCGCCAGACAGAGGGGCAGCTCCTCCAAATTACAATCCGCCAATTTAACCGTCTTCGGGGACTTAAAATCCGGTACGGAGAAAACCTCGAGAGCCTCGTTGATACAAACGACTCCGTTCCCCCAAAACACACACTCGACGACGCTGTTGTCGAAGCACTCTTTGCCTAAAGAGAAGGTACCGACCAATTCCGCGTGGATATCGTAACGATAGACAGTGCCGTCCTGAGTGATGCAGACTAGGGTTAGATCATCGGTCCAGGACATGCCTATTAGGCGGCCGCCGGGATTCTTCCATACGGTCTCGGAAATCAAACGGCCGGAGGAGGTGAAGATCTGCAGCTTGCGAAGAGCAGACTCGGCGAAGAGCTGGACGATCTTGGCGTCATCACGAATAACGGCGATTGGACCCCCGAAGGGAGCACAGGCAACTTTGTTGCGGGAGAGGTCAACGTTCTTCCACTGCAACTGGTAGAGCTCCGGCTTCCGGTAGTAGCGGTTGTAGAGCAGCTGCCACTCGGCGGCCACCGACACTCCGGCCATTGATTTGAAGGAATTTGGGAATCGGAAATCAAGAATTGTGATTCGATTCAAGTTGGAGTCATTTTGTTTGGATCTATCTTCATACCATTGCAGCAATGGAATGGAATTGAATTGATCTGATCGTTCAGAGAGACGAAAAGGGGAGATAGATGAAAGTTAAATGTAAAATGTCACTTTTGCCCTTAACACTGCTCTTTGACATACGTGCTTCGGTGAATGGTCGGTGTAATATCATGATTTCAAATTCATCCCTTCGTATTTGTTTTTGACATATTTGTGTTTTGTATATCACACGTGACTTGCTTAGAATGATTAACCTAATATGGCTTGGTGATAGTTTTAGAATGGAAAAATTAATTTTAAATTTTAATTTTTATTATATATTTTTTTTATGACATTAGAATTCGCAGTAGCTATTCGAATTTACGTCAATAGATAAATTTAATATTCTGCAAATTAAGTCCGACAAATAAATTATATATGGATAGCACGGTGAACTTGCAATTGTGGGAACCCATATCTTTATGTTCAGTTCACTTGCTGCGCATAGTTCGTCTAGTGTGACTTATCTTATGTAATTCAATTTGCAATGTATTAACAATGTAGCAGCGGTGAATTCTCAATGTTACCTATAGACAAATTACATGGATCCGATATTCGAATAATTAAATATGATCCTAAATAAATAGATCTATCAATCTACCCGAATCTATTATCATCCATAAATGCCTAATACGGTCCATAAATTATGGTTGGTGTTACAAAAGTGAAGAACTGTATCGAGTTTTTCTCACAAGGGCACCATCCACGTATCCATGGAGTCGACCTCATGAAAAAGCAGCTTCTCACACACCTCACAAAGCCCAACCAAACCCTCGCCGCAACCCGAATCCTCCACGCTCTCGTACTCAATCACGGCCTCTTCATCGACCCTTTCTACCCCACCAAAATCCTCCGCTTCTACGCCATCAATGGCGACCTCGTCTCCGCACGCAACCTGTTCGACGAAAGTCCCCACCGAACCATCTATCTCTGGAACGCTCTCATCCGGGCTTACGCAAGGGCCCGAAACTTCCACCACGCATTCCTCATGTTCAACGCTCTCCTGACCTCCGAATCGCAGCCCGACAGTCGCACCTTCGCCTGCGTCGCTCGAGCTTGCGGCGAGAGGCTCGACGTCGAAAGTCTGCAAATTGTTCATGGAGAAGTGACCGCATTTGGATTAGAATCGGATTTCGTATGCGGAAGTGCTCTCGTCACCTCGTACTCGAAGGTCGGCCGTGTCGACGAGGCGAGGCGCATTTTTGATCGGATCAATTCCCCCGATTTGGCGTTGTCGAACGCCATGATTTCCGGACATGGAAGCGTTGGAGAGTCGGGAAAGGCGATGGAATTGTTTAACTCCATGCGACGGGTGGGAATCGAGCCGGACGGTTATACGGCGGTCGGTTTGATCTCGGGATTAGCTCATGCAAGTTTGACGGCGTGGCTCGGAGAAATGATTCACGGACTTTGCGAAAAGCACGGATTGGCTTCGAACGATCATGTCGGGAGCGCGCTCGTTAAAATGTATTCGACAATGAAGAACATGGAATCAGCGTTTAGAGTGTTCGATAGTATCGTGCGTCCCGATTTAGTGACATGGTCGGCGCTAATTACCGGATTTTGTCGAACGGGCGATCATGTCGACGCGTTGGTTTTTTTCCGGGATTTGGTCGCGAATCGGGGGCGTGTGGATTGTGTTCTTCTTGCGAGCGTTCTTGCGGTGTGCGGGCATTTGGCGAGCGTACGACCCGGGAGCGAGATACACGGCTACGTTATAAGATGCGGATATAGCACGGAGGTTTCCGTTTCGTCGTCGCTCGTTGACATGTATTCGAAATGCGGGTTCATCGAAGCGGGGATTAGAGTATTTAACGAGACGACAGTGAGGAACATCGTGACATACAATACGGCGATAATGAATCTCGGGTTATACGGGCGCGCTTCCGAGGCCTTCCGGATGTTCGAGAAGGTTCTAGAAGCGGGACTAAAGCCGGACGAGTCAACGTTCGTGGGATTGTTGTGCGCGTGTTGTCATTCCGGGCTAGCGAACGAGGGTCGAGAGTATTTCCGAAAGATGAGAAGCGAGTACAACATTGAAGGTAAAACCGAGCATTACGTTTACATGGTGAAGCTCGTCGGAATGTTCGGGAAACTAGAAGAGGCGTTCGAGCTAATTAAATCGTTTCCCGAACCTGTCGATTCGGGCGTTTGGGGCACGCTTTTGTCGTGCTGCGAGTTTCGGAAGGATTATGCGATGGCGGAGGTTATAGCCGAGCATTTATTGGGAAATCAGTCGAGAATGAGAATTGATTGCAGATACCGTGTGATGGTGTCTAATATACTAGCCGGGGAAGGGAGGTGGGACGAGGCAAAGGCATTGAGGGGGGCCGGAGCCGAAGGGAAAGTCCCCGGAATAAGTTGGATTCCGGCGACGACGGGTAATCGCTTTGTCGCTGGGTAGAATAATCATTTACGGATCGGCATCGCCTCATCGTCGTCGATATATATATGTATGTGTATCATCCTAACGGTCATTTGTGTCGATGAATTTGAATTTGAGGATGAATTTTAAATGAATGAATTTAAATTATTTCGATATTGAAATACTTTATAATTACTCTTTATGTCTCACATTGTATGTCCAGGTGAACGTAGACACAGGAATTTATTTTATAATTATTCTTTCCGTCGCACGTCGTATGACACAAAAATTTAGGATAAATATTAATTAGTAAATAATTAAGAATGTATCAGTGAAATAATTCATATTAAGATTAATCTATTAAAAAGAAACAAATTATAAAATAAAAATTTTAAAATAAGATTAAGGTGTGTAATCATTTTAAAAAAAAAATGACATGAGAGTTGGGACGGATAGAAACGTCAATGTGAACGGAGGGAGTAAATTTTATAATTTGGTTGTGAAAATGTTTGAAAGTGTAACTATTGAAATTTACGTGAAAACTCGCAGCCGCTACTTGAAAGTGTACACTAAATTCCGGCCATGTGTGACAAATTAGCCGAAGGTTTCAGTAATTTGAACTCACGACCTCATGATCATAAATATACCCCTACACTGCTAGGTCATAAGATGAGATTGATTTAATTTGATTTTTTTATAGATGAATAACAAAGAGATAATTTAAAAAATAGTATTCCCTTGTTCCAATATAATAGTTCTGTTTATATTTTTGTCCGTCCTAAAACAACACTCTAATTTCTATAAATAATTATATCACTATCAAATTACTCTTATTTTTTTTTTATTATTACACAATTGCCACTATTTTTTACACTAATACACTCACAAGAGCAAAAAAATATTTTATCCGTATTTTTTACCCACTACCAATATAATATCAATATACATTAAATTTCGTGTCAAATATACCTCACACTATAATGTTAGGACGGTGGGAGAATATTTGACTATATTTATCCTTATAGTTTTTTGTAATTATTTAATAATAGCAATCATATTTGTATAAATTATTTTAAATATATATATATATCTCAATAATCTTTTCATCCAATAAATTATATAGGTTAGGTTTGGTTGGCAACATTAAAATTATAATATTTAATATTAAAATAAATATATAAAGGATAAAGCGGAAGTATTATAAAAAAATAAATAAATAATTGAGAATAAGTAAAAATAATGATAAATTAATTATTATTTGCTAAAATAATTTAAAAAATTATAAATGAAAAGACTTATTTATTATAAATATATTATGTATAAATTTAACATATAGTAAAAATAATAATAAGATAATTTTGACAGACTAGTATATAAATATAAGGCAAGAGACTTTTAAATTATAATTTTTTAAATCAAAAAATCAAAAAATAAAATAAAATAAATAAAAAACTTGAAAGATGGTAGCAACCCCTATCAATTGGTGCACCATCACAAGAAGTTGTCTAAGTATCTTGTTTGCTACGAATAATTCGTCTAGTGTAATTTATTTTGCTACTTAATTTGCAGGTCATTAAGTTTGGTTGATAAATTAGCTTTCTTTTACTTTTTTTTTTATTTTTTATTTTTTGTCCTTAAAAATTAAAATTTTATTTCACACATATTAATATATTTTTATTACAATATTTATTAATTATTTTGATATATTTTTTTCTAATAATTTATAAACTTGTTTTTATTATTTTAAAATAATTGAAATTATTTTTATATGTAAATTATTTCATTTGTAAAATTTTTTAAGCTTGTTAAAATAAAGGCAAAATAAAAATATAACGAATTTGTTCACTAGTATTTTTAGGTGAAATAGTTTTTCATAAATATTATTAAAAATATATATATATAAACACATTAACACAATATATATTTATCTACTCACTATATAAAATATTACTCCCTCCGTCTCAAACACCCTGCAACATTTCTTTTTTGGTATGTCCCAAACACCCCGCAATATTTTCAAAATAGGAAATAATTAATTATACTTAATCTTTACCCCATATTTTATCCTCTCACATCGTTCAAATAAAAAAATAAAATATATATTTTTCTCTCCATCACATCACCTAATTTTTAAATTATCTTACTTAATACTATCCACCTAAAAACTCGTGCTAAAAATAAATGTTGCATCTTGTTTGAAAGGGAGAGAGTATTTTTTACATTAGCAATAACGTAAAGAATGCATTCATCCAAAAACACAAAGGAAACAGATCGTCCGTATCAAACCATCTTATATATTTTGTCAAAAAAAAATTGATTACTAATAAAGGATATGTTTTACAAGCTTTTTTTTTTCATTTTATTTATTTAAATAAAATTAATTATTAACTATGATATTATTTAATTTATTTTTTTTAAAAAAAATGTATGTGTGTTTGGGTTCAATTTTGAATTTAAATTTGAATAGTAATATTTTGAATTTGACTAGTTATTCGATATGATATAAATAGATATTAATATGATATATTTTAAATATAAAAATAATTTTTAGTATAATATTATGATTTAATAATTGTTAATAATTTTTTTTTGATAAATAGTATAAATCAAATAAAATCTCTCAAACAAAATAAATTAAATAGTTAAAAATTGAAAATACAGAAAATATTATTTTATTTCTTAAATAATATGCCAAACCTGCTAATCTACTCAAAAATAAAAGGCTAGTAGGTGCACGCATATATTGTTGAGTCTACCTATGCTTAAAATTTAATTTTTTTTAGCATTGTTTGCCCAAATATAATTCTTTTAAAAAAAATATTATATTAAATATTTCTCCATAATATCAAATTAGTGTTTCTTTAGCGGGGTTTGGGGAAATTTGGATTTGAGCTTGGTTTTTATTTGAATTTTGGGATGAGTTTGAATTTTGTTGTTTCTTTTGTATTTGGGTTTGGTTGGGGGTTTTGAGAGTTTTGATGTGTATTGATTTGATGGATAATGAATAAAATAATATAAATGTGTATTAAATTTAATTGATAAAATTTATATTGTATGATTTGATTATGAATTTATATTATTCTCAACATATATATATTTAAAATTTTTTATTTATTTGTATTATAGAAAATTTTATTATCTACAAAGATATATATATTGTATATATTTTTTTCCCTTATAATTATAATAATTATATGTTTCTTTACCCAAATTTTTCCAAATTTGACTATTTGGACTATGCGTTTTCCGAAAAAAAATATCAAATCCAAACTAAAATTTCTCAAACTCAACCAAAAGAAGCACATATATTTAATTTTTTTAAAAAAAAAAAACTAAATAAAGTCAAATCTGCTACAGTCAGTCAAACCATAGACAACAGACTTATAATAATATAGATGTGTATTAATTTGTATAAAATATATAAACATATATATTTATAAATTTTTATTTATTTATATTATAAAAAAATTTATTGACATATATATTTTATATATTTTATTCAATTATAATTATTATAATATTTTTATATTATAATTTTAAAAGAATTTATTATTTTATTATAAAAAAAAGGGGTACAAAACCTTTCAGACTTTGTTCCCAAAACACAAACAGCTCAGGTTTACGCGTTTTTACTGTGCAAACACTAAGCTAAAAAAACAAGCCCTAAATACTCAGTTTTATAAGTATAACTTTTTAAATTTTTCTAAAATTTTAAAAATCATGGATTTGTTCGGTTTCGTTTGAGTTTGAATTTTTTAGTATGTATATTTTAATTTAAATATTATTTCAATTTGATATTGTGTGCACAAAAAAAGAAAAAAGCATATACTTCTTCCGTTTGGTTCTAAAAGTCTTATTTACCTTTTACGTCATTGTACTTAACATTAAAAATATTTTTATATTTATATAATTTTTTGCACAAATATCATTATAATATTATTATAAGACACTAATAGAAGTACTTTTATCATTTCTCTTTGATTTGAACAATATTTTCATATAATAATTAATATTCAAATATCAACACGCAAAAAGTAAATAAGACCTTATAATCGGACGGAGATAATATCATTTTACAATAAAAAATATGAACTGAAGAATTACTATTTTAATTAAAAGGTAAACCAAACAAAGCCTCTCTCTCTCTCTCTATATATATATATATAGGCAGGTCTTAAGTCTTGGGGCAACAGATTTGCATTAAACACTAACCTACCAAAACACAATAAATAAATAAAACTATAAAAAAAGGATACATATATATATATATATATAAATGGGGCAATTAGTATTATTTTAATTATTTATCTAATATTCTCTTTTTTTAAAAAAATAAATAAAATAGTTATGTATCTCATTCATAGTAGTTGAAAATATTACTCTATTTGTTATATAAAAATAAGTTCATTTAGTTTAAACATGAATTTTAATGTGAAATATACTTTCTTTCGTTTTTTATATATAAAAAAAAAATAGAAAAAAATAATTGTAAATTATAAAAAGTTGTATGATTTTTTCTTTCTAAAAAATAAAATATATTTATTTTTCTTATTACCGAGAAAAAAAAATAAATATATTTTTCTTTGGCATATGAATAGAGTATCGGATGGGATAGGGTTCAGAACGTAAATTTCAATTAGTTTAATTTTATATAATTAATTAAAATAATTAATATAATTATATATTACTTTCTCCGTACCAGATGCCGTGTCTGCTACACTGTAGATACGGTATTTTAGGAGGGGTGTAATTAGTAGATAATTAAGAATGTATTAGTGAAAATAATTATTCTATAATATAAATAATTATAAATTAAGATTAAGATAACTAATTAGTTTAATTAAAATTAAAAAAATAAAATTTAAAAATTTAAAATGAGATTAAAGTGTGTAATCATTTTCCAAAAAAGAAAATAACATGGTATGTGGGACGAACAGAAACGGCAAAAACATGATATCTGAGACGAAAGGATTATTAATTTTTTTATTATAAATAAGAGTGTCTTATCCTCTCCCATAGAATATTTGATAATGAAATATTGGCTAATACGGATTTTTTAAGGCCACCTCCAACCCTTGACTTCATTTTTGCAGTAGTTAGAATAAAAATGCAGTTAATCTATATTATTTTATTCCAATCATAAATTTCAATTTTCACTCTAAAAAGTATATTTTCTATATATTTTTTATATATATATTTTTTATATTTATAAATTACACCTCAACTTTAATTTATTTTATATATTATAATCCATACCTATATAATTTATATTTTTTTAAAATTTATGAAAATTAAAATTTATAATTAATAACTATTACAAATAAAATAATTTAAAAAAAATAAAATTATACATCACTTTTAAAAAAAATAAAATTATATACTCCTTCAGTCCCATAACAAAGTATCTATTTTTCCATTTTAGTCCGTCTCATAACAAAGTATCCATTTCATTTTTTAGTAACTGTACTATCTACCTAACATTACAAATACCCTTACAACTTATAATATATTACACAAATGTCATTACCTTTATATCACACTAATGTTATTGTAGTTATTTCTACTTTATTCCTACTATATCCCAATATAATACTAATATTTCTAAAACTACGTGCAAAAAGCAAATGAATATTTAGTTCCGGAACGGAGTGAGTATTATTTTTTAAAAAAAATATAATTATATCACTTTTAAAAAATAAAATTATATACTGTATTATTTTTCAAAAAAAAATAAAATTACATATAACTTTTTAAAATATAAAATTATATATTATTATTCTAAAAAAATAAAAATTACACAATACATCCAAAAAAATAACAAAAATACACCAAACACCACAAAATACTATAAAAAGAGGTATAGTGTTACTCCATAATTAGGGGGGATTTAAGGGTAGGTTGGAGCTCTCCTGACATGAACTAGTAAAGAAATAATTCTAACATTAAATTCTAATGTTAATTTAATTTTTAAATAAAAATACAAATATATATATATATATAAATTAATTTTACATCAAAATTTGATGCTTGAATTTACTGATTTTGTAGTTGTGTTATGTTAAGACTCAAGATATGTAACAATGTTCTTGAAAAAAATTTCAACTACTCATTGGATATATGCGTTTGTTTGGGGGATTGGATTTAATTTCAACTGTTCATCTCAATTTTTTTTTCTCCCAAACAAATCAAATTAAATACATATTTTTTATTTTTTATATTATACTAAAAATTAATTTTCCATTCAAAAGATCACATCAACACCTATTTATATCACATCATACAACTATTTAAATTCAAAATTTTTACTATTCAAATCCCAACTCAAAATCCAAACCTCCAAACAAAACACACCATTTAATAATAATAAGTGTAGAATATAAGATTAAAAATATATTTATCCCCAAATATATAAATAAATAAATAAATTGCTTCCTGCAAAAATCTGCGGTGATTAAATTCGAATTAATTTATTTATTTTCGAGTAAATTATATAACATCCCTTGTATTTTAGTAAAAATGTACAATATACTATATATTTTATTTATTGCGTGAAACCCTTTGTATTAATGTAAAGTTTGCATGAAATACTCTCATTGTCCAAAACTATATTTGGATCTAAATAAAGACCTAAATTACGCAAGTTTTATACAAATAAAAAACGTAAAATATCTTAAATAAATAATTAATCAATCATTTATTTTTATAGTTTATTCAAAAATCAAATAATAATCTGTCTCAAAAAAATTATAAAATAAAGGATTAATCAATTATTTATATATTTAGTTTATTCAAAAAAAATTATTTAAGATATTTTACGATTTTTATTAGTATAAAACTTCTGTAATTTCGGTCCCAACATCAATTTTGTACAAGAAAAGTATTTTGTGCAATCTTAATATTAACACACGGGGGATTTTACGTAATAATAAAATACATAGTGATTTATACAATTTTTACTAGAACACATTGGGTTGTTATATAATTTACTCATTCTTTTCAGATAGTAAATTCGAATTTAATAATTTCTCAATCAAATATATTTTAAAAAATATTTTTCAACTTAATTTTTTTATTTTAAGATATAGAAAAATCAATTCATATTTTCTACTAAATTCATTGTTTTTTTTTTATATAATCCTATTATCTGTAATTACTTTTATATAATTTTATTCTATGCACTAGTGTGTTTGTTTGGGAGATTTTCTCCAAAACTTATTATTTATCAAAAAAATTTTTTCCAAAAATATTAAATCAAACATCTATTTTTTTATTTTTTATATTATACTAAAAATTAATTTTATATTCAAAGTATGACATCAACACCTATTTATATCACATTATACAACTATTCTAATTCAAAAATTTTGTTATTCAAATCTCAACTCACAATCCAAACCCAGCAAACATATTCATTTTCATTTAAGCTCATAAATTTATTTTTCACAAAATATTTTATCAAATATTATTTTAATACTAAATTCAAACTCTATTGATTGTCGTGCAAGATTGTTTATTAAATTATCTTCAAATTGATTTGAAGTAATAGTCATTATAGAGTATTATTTAGGGTTTGTTTCCTTTAATTCCTTCTTAATTGGGTTGATTTTGTTTTTTTTATTATTTTTGTTGTTCTTCAATGTACAATGTATATTAATTAATTAGGAATTTTGAAAAATTAAGTAAGTGCATTATAGAGAGAGAATCTTTCCCCCTCTCTCTCTATATATGTATATACCAAATAAATTTGATTTGATACTCATATTGTTAAATTATAATTCCAATGGAGATGAAAAGAATGGTTTTGGGGCATATTTTGGTGATTTCTTTGGCCTTGAACATGGCCTTTTTGTACAAAAACATCAATAATAATAATAATAATAATAATAATAAGGTAGAGGAAGACGATGAAAGAATATCGATGAAGTTGAAGACAACAGATGATCTTCACAGGGAAGACGAAGATGATGATGAAGTTATTGATGTTTTTCAGTAAGTTCTTATTTATTTAAATTTTTATTTATGTTGTTTTTTTTTTTTTCTTCTTACATATTCAGTCGTTTTTCTGTTTATTATTATGATATTTATTTGTTTAATTTTCGGAGTAGGGAGTTTTTTTTCTTTTTAAGATTCTTTTTAATTCACATAAATATATATATATTTTTTTATAAAATATCAAATTAAATATTATTTAAATAATAAATTTAAACTTCATGATTCCATCTAAACATCAGATAAACATCATATGTTTGTTTGGTTATTGGTTTAAAAGTTAATATCAGGTTATTAAGATTTTAAATTATAAGTCGTTTAATCTTATATAAATAAATATTGATATTATGTTTTAAATATAATTTTAAAATTAATAAAAATAAATATTTACTTATATATATATATATATATATTTTTAAAAAGATTAATAGTGGAAAAAGGAAATTTATAACCAAACAAAATTGTTAGGAGATAGAGCACCTCCCACTATATATTTCTTCTTCTTCTTCTTATTATTATTTTAACATGGTTGAGTTTAAAAATATATTTTACATTTTAGTTTTATTATTAATATTGTTATTGTTGTTTTGTTCTATAATTTTTTTTTATTAAATAATAATAATACTTCCTCCATCCCATGTATTACGAGCCTATTACTGAGGAAATTTAGGTAAAGTGTAATTAGTAAGTAATTAAGAAGTGTATTAGTAAAAATAATTATCGTATAATAAAAATAATTGTGGATTAAGATTAAAATAACTAAATAGTTTAATTAAGATTAAAAAAATTATAAAATTTAAAATTTAAAATAAAATTAAAGTGTATAATTATATTTTAAAAAAAGAATAGACAAATTATGTGAGACGGACAAAAATAAAAAATAGAGACAAAATACGGTCGGAGGGAGGAAGTAATAAAGAAGGGTAAGAAACGGTGAAAGAGTGTTGAAGTGGGGTTTGATTTGTCCTTGTACTGAAATCAATTTGTCTTGTAAGTTTTTTCTGACTCTTTACTGTAACTTGGTTGTATGTGGTTGCTTGATTTTATTTTATTCTTACTTATTTATTTATTATTAGTCCATTCGTCCCACATAATTTGTTCATATTTTTTATTTTTGTTTGTTTCACATAATTTGTCTTTTTTATTTTTTGTCTTTTTTTTAATTTTTGGAAATATAATTATACACTTTAATCGCATTTTAAATTTTAAATTTTAAATTTTATAATTTTTTTAATTTTAATTAAACTATTTACTTATCTTAATTTTAATTTATAATTATTTTTATTATTTATTTACTGTTTGTTTTTTTAAATGGACCAGCATCTCCTCCCATATAGAGTTTAGGAGTAGGGCTGCACATTAATTCGATCTATCTTATTAATAAGATATCTTAGACTTACAATTTCATAAATATATATATAAACACAAAAAGATTTGATAGTACAATAACATAGATTAGCATGGATCCGCACCCTTATAAGTAATAGGAAATTCTCAACAATATTCCAATTTGGGACAATAACATAAAATTTTATTAAACAAATAAAAACTACAAATGTTTAAATATATTTGGAGAGTATTTTGATTCATTTGAAAATGGTAGAAAGTTGAATAAAATTAAATATTTGATACACTCTCTTTCCCGCAACAAATTATCTATTTTTATTTTTCTTTGTCTCACAAAAGATGATCAATTTCTATTTTATTTATTAATTTTAAACACATTTAATAAATATAGATTAATTTAATTAAATTTCTAATATCTAACACTAACGCCCACTTTGTTTCTATCTCTCTTCGATTAACAAGTATTTTTATTTACCTTTATAATTTTTTTTTTTATAAAATATTTGTATTATATAAATTTTTATTTATTACTGGAGTAAAATTTTTTGATATTTTTGTTCTTTGACTTTATATATAAAGTAATTGTACATTTGTAATTTAAGTAAAAATTAAAAGTATTTTGATATTAGTGTATGATTAATTTTTTTAAAAATAAAAAATAAATATTTAAAATTGGATAAAGAAAATAGTAAAAATAATACTTTATATTAGGACCGAAGGAGTATTGGTTACAATGATTTTGAAAAAATTAATGTAAATAAAATGTCAAAAATTTCAAAGTTGTCTATGTAAACAGAGCCTTCAAATAGGTGTGACAGTACCTAAGTTCAATAATATGAATATTCATGGCTTTGATCACTTTTTTTTTTTTTTTTTTTTTTTTTTTTTTTTTTTCTATGACATACGATGTTCCTCTCCAAACATAGTTTTTTCCTCTCATGCCCAATTGAGATTAAGACAAGTAATCAAAATTACTGACAAAATTTACCGGCAAAGTTTAGCACATATGGTAGATGATGGTTTGAAGGTCATCGGATGTTCTAACCATAAGGATTCGAACAATTTGGTAAGGGAATGATCGAGTTGAGTTTGATCGAAATGTATATGTAATAAATGTTCAAATAGTTGCTTTGTGAAGTATCAAACTCTAGCCCCCGAAATACTAGTGAAAAATACATAATTTGACCGTCCTCAAACGTAAGATTCGATCAACTGGATTACCAAATTATCGTATTCTAGTGTACGTTTGTTTATTTTGCTTGTCACAATTTCACAACAAGGTGAAATGCCTAGTTAGTTTAAACTCGAACAAAGTTAAACCTCGGATCGAAGCCATCCGCTTGGTCTAATTTTGTAATAAGTTGTCCCTACGCCCTTATTGACCGTTTTGCGACGTTTTATTACACGTAACAGCGGAGATCCAACGATGTACGAGAGCTATTGGAAGCAACACGGCGAAAAGGCCATGGTCGTGATCCCGGGATGGAAATTCACAAGCTATTTCTCCAGCGCCGAAAATCTCTGTTGGTTCTTAGAACCGGAGTTCGCAAATGCAGTAACCCGGCTACACAATTTGGTCGGGAATGCCGTCACCGAAGATCGCAACATTGTCGTCGGGACAGGCTCGACGCAGCTCCTACAGGCGGCGCTGTACGCAGTTTCTTTGCCGAATGCCACAGACCCGATACAAGTAGTCTCAGCTGCACCGTTCTACACTGTAAGTCCCCCGAATCGACGAAAACTTATACTTTAAGATATCGACTTGCCTAAATAAGAACTAATCTCTCGAGTTATATATATATATATAACATATATACATATACGTAGAGTTGTTAAACGAGTCGAGTGAGCTCCAGTATTGGTTGTTCGAGCTCGACTCAAACTTGTTAACAGAACAGACTCGGCTCGGCTCGGCTCGTTAAGAATTCGAGCCAAAATAGTGCATCGAGCTCAGCTTGTTAAGTTCAAATTCAAGCTCGAATTTTTAATATATAAATTAAATATATTTAATTTTATTTATAATTTTTTTATAATAAAATATTTAAATTTTAATAATAAATATAAATTTTGATATAAAAAATTATATATATTATATAAATATAAATATATTATTACTAATGAGCTCAATTGAGCTACTCGCGAGCTCGAGCTCGGTTCTTTTGTAAAAAAAAATTATTTTCGAGCTCGGCTCGTTTATCTCTACAAATGAGCCGAGTCGAGCTTGGGTTGCGAGCTACTCGATTCGTTTAACAGCTCTATATATACGCAGCCGTATCAGACGATCGTCGAGTTTCTGAAGTCGGGACTCTACACATGGGGCGGGGATGCTTACAAGTTCGACAAGGATAAGCCGTACGTCGAAGTGGTGACATCCCCGAACAACCCCGACGGGCAGTCGAGAAGCGCTGTGGTCAACCGACGACGGGGAGTAGTAATCCATGATCTCGCCTACTATTGGCCGCAGTACACTCCGATCACGTATCGAGCTGATCACGACATCATGCTCTTTACGGTGTCGAAAAGCATCGGCCATGCCGGTAGTCGACTCGGGTAAGCGACACCATCTTAATCGAAAAATCATTTTCAACATTCTTGATCTCATTCAACGAAAAATCACTTCCCATATCGCAGATGGGCTCTTGTCAAGGATCGAAAAATTGCGATGAAGATGACCGAGTTCATCATGCTCAGCACCATCGGCGTGTCGAAAGAGTCGCAGCTTCGCGCTGCGAAGATCTTTCGAGTCGTAGTCGACGCACATGAGCATAGAGACAGCTCAGCGTTCTTCGACCACAGCTATGAGCTCATGGCGAGAAGATGGTGCCAACTTAGAGAAGTCGTCGAAAAAAGTAATCTCTTTAGTTTGCCGGAGCTTCCCTCGGGCAAGTGCAGCTTCAGCGGTCGAACTTTCACTACACAACCAGGTAATAAGCAAAATCGTTCAATCGTATAAACCCCTATCAAGCTTTTATACTCGACATTTTACCTACGAAGTCTTATAGTTTTTTTTACGGCAATATAAACAGCTTTCGCTTGGCTAAAGTGTGAAAGCAAAGCCGAGGATTGCAAAGGCTTTCTACGCAATCACAAAATAATCGGCAGAGGCGGGAAGCACTTTGGTGACAGTGAGAAGTATGTTAGGATCAGTGTTGTGTCCCGGGACAAAGTGTTCGACAAGTTAACAGAGAGATTGTCAAATATAACATCTTCATAGTATCATGAAAAATGTCGAGGAAGAGATTTTGGAGAAGATCAAGAGTACTAGGTAGACTGAAAATGGTGTTCTCATTTTCGGGTTAAACATATAAACATATGCTGGATGGAAACTAGCAAAGATCAGTACAAGAATGTAAGAATCTATATCATCAAAAATTCGAAAAAATAAAATAAAATTCAGACATGGGATTGAGAAAAAGGATTTTTGCAAACCTGTGGTGCCAAAAGCAGTTTCCGGGGCTTACAGAAGCCGTAGTTCGTAGTGTCCAGCCATGGTTATGTACCTCACCCATGGCAGCGCTTGGTACCCGCTTTTCTCGATGATCTTAAGGTAGCGAACCTGTATGCAGCATATTGTAATAAGGCATCGATATCTAAACATGAAGAGCTATATTCCTAAACTTTCGAATCAAATTAATATTCAGTTAAGCATATATATATGTTCATTTATGCCCGTCATCGATGTAGAAAAGATCTTTTCAACATAATAGCTGGAAGTAGAATGGAAATACTTCCTTTATATACATTTTACTTCAAATTTTATCTTAAACTTGAGCTAGAATATAAAAGTTCTTGCAAACTAATATCCTATGTTGTAAAAACTATTGAACAGTCATTTTACAATAGTGTGCGTACCTGAATACCGGAGACTGTGAAGTACGGTATCTCAAACTTGACGTTAATTGGAGTTTTTTTGTCGGGAGCTGCATCCTCGGATGCTATAGAAGGAAGTTTATATTCTGTCCTCAACATGTATTCCTGTGATATATATATATATATATGTATATGTATGAATAATATAAGATGAAATTGATCATTGAAGAAATTAATCAGCACTTTTGGATGAGAGTGCTGCCATAGTCTAATAAACATACTCTGTTTCCTGGAAAGGTCTTGATTTTCCACAAGAGGGAATCGTTTTCGGGTGCATATTTAGCAGATCCCATCGTTGTTCGGGTATGAGGATCCATGGCATCGGCTGGGACAGGCAACTCAATGATCACATTCGTCGCAGTGCTGTGTAGATCCATTCACATATGAAGCAGATTACATATACCATATTATTGTCTTTCTAGGCAAAAAGGAACATTGCAAGAATAGTAGACATGTAAATACACATATTTTTTAAGTTATGAAACTGTTCATAAACAATAACTTTTTCGAAAAATATCACATCAAATACCTATTTTCTCGTACAAAATATCACATCACATAATTTCGTATTGTTCCCACAAAATTTCAAAACTCAAAATATTTCTAGAGCCTTCTGGATTTCTTGTATAAGAATCACTCTGGCACTTTGGTTTCTAGACTAAAAGACACCACACAATCGTCCCACAAATAGTATCATGAGGATCAATACGACTGCCGATGATTGTGCTATTTGTAGTTTAAGTATCGAAGTACTCCAAGTGACCTATATGATATGATATGATATGATATGATAATTCACAAAGTGACTTACCAAGAGTAGAGGGAGGCTTACCTTCGTTCCTTGAATTGGCTTCGAGCTTTTACAACCATCTCCACTCGACTTCTTGAATATCGCTCGACTTGAGCTTCCACCCAGATCAGAGGTTTCACCTATGAGTTTAGAGCAAGACCTTACATGATATTGAGAGAGGAAAAATTTAAGTAAAATGAACAAAAATGGAACACCTGTGTACTGAGCCTGTACGTCATGAGATCAAATGTTCCATCTGGGGGTATGAAGGATATTGTACGGTCATTCTCAAACCGAGCTAGGCGTACACATCTAAAAACAGGAGCAAATGACATTAGGTATATTTTCTAATTTTGATTTGAGAATGTCGATCATGTCTTGTTTATGCTTACTGATGAAATTTGACATCTTCCAAATCAATGGCTTTCCCCTTTGTGGCTCGATCTTGCGCCTCCAATAAGACTCTATCATTGAGACCAAGCTTGCATTCCGGCATGCCACTGTAATGAAACCAGAACTGAGACGATCTGGATATCAATGACACCAAACATACACACAATGAACTATGAATGTACTAAATTTTCAAGCCAATAAGAACCTTAAACGAGTGCGCATTTTTAGTGCTCCATTGACATCCGAACGGACTATTTGTCCATTACTGTTGACTAGAATATTAACACTTTCAACCACATCAAGAAAAACCTGATGGAAAGATAACAAAGGAGATGCTGTAAAATGAAGGAAACTAAAAAATGGGCAAATTTAATGAGGCAAAATTGATGGTCTTACCTCATTAGTTTTGTAAAATATGCCTTCACTGCGCCAGGAAACTGCATTTGTTACCGCCATTGGAGGCCTCTGTGCAACTTCTAATCTATAAGCGTCCGTCTTGATAAATTCACTGAGTATCTTAGCTTCCGTGAATTGAGGATAGCCAAAGTCCATAATTTCATCAAGTAATTCATACTGCACATATGCTCCAAGCCATTATCTAATAAAGTGACAGCATTTGTTCTTTTTAAATTACGGCACAAGGCACACACTAACATGTATCGAACCCTTGATCATCAAACTATCTAAGGGTTCAAAAAACTACAATACAACTCATCATAGGGAACCCATAAGTTGCGATATTACTGTATTGTTACACATCATTTTAGAAGGAATTTGGCACTCACCACAACAACAAAGTTGTCTCTTAAAGATTCCTCTTCCAGCTCTTCAAAGTAATGCTTAAAAACCTAAGAATAACGTTGGCGGATAAAAACCATATAGGGAAAGGAAATCAATTGATAGCTGCAAAGATTATCACCATGGTTGCTACTTACATCTACCATTCGATGCAAAAAGGAAAGACTACTTGCAGCATTGCAGTTCTGCCTCGACGCAGTCATCAAGTACACATTTTTGTGTTGGATGAACATGTAGCTCACCCCATTTTCAAAGCAGACGGGACCATGAGATTCTATATCGTCCTGCAACAGTTGGAAAATATAAGGAAGGCAAAGGAGAATTCGCCGCGAAGAGAATTCAAGATATGTTTATTCCATAGGATTTGAAACAGGACACAACATTCATGTTTGTAATCTTCATTTAATTGTAAAAGGTTCTTTAGTTCATTCTGAACAATCTTCGATTCAATGTTCAGTAGACAAACCTATGTTTAACATTATAAGAATAATCACTTAGAACGAACTATTCGATTCATAAATCCTTAACAGACTTATATTTGTATTCTCAAGCTTTTATTCAGTAAAATGAAGATGTACTCTGAAGGTACTTCGAATTCACCTTCCAATTCAAAACCCTATCCAAATGTTCTAAGAGACATTTCGCCGAACAATATCTGGGCATGCTTGTGTACAAATTCCAAAATGAGAAATCAGCATCTTTCCATTTCAAGTTTCCAATAATCAGCCGATAATAGAAAAAAAGAAAAAAGAAAGGCAAATAGAAGCCCCAATCAGAAGAAGATGGATAAATAGATAGATAGATATGTACCTCCTTCTCAATGAGCTTGGAGAAGAACTTCTCGGCCTGCGCGGGGGAGACCAGGCCGCGATAATCACGGCTGATTATGGTGCGTCCCTTTATGTCCAGAATAAACAGGCCTGATGCGGCGCCCGCCATTGCTCGATCGATCGATCAATCCTTCCCTGTGAATAACAATTCAACGATCTGCCTGCATAGCATAAGCATGCAGATACAGGTCAATCATCATCTACATATATATTACAGATATGTGCAGCAAACTACTACTACATTACCGAAACAAGAATGGATTCACGTGATCAAGCAGCGCAGAGTGATGGATCCGTGTCTGTCTCCATGAATTTTCTCGTAGTGGTAATTTCAATTTCAAACCATATTATGTGTTTCATGTAATACGTCCATTGATCAGTGCAGGCTCTGAGTTTGGGTGTGTAAATTAAATAATTGGTGCAAAACTAAAATATATTCTCATTCAAATCCCCTTTTTTTTTTTTTTTTTTTTTTTTTTTTAAGTCTATTAGAAAAAATAAATCAAAACTATATTATTAAAAAATTGATTTTTAGTTTTGAATAGTAAAATTTTAAATTGAAACAGTTGTTTGATTTAATATAAATATGTATTGATATGATATTTTGATTTAAAATTAAATTTTAGTTTAATATAATAAATAAAAAATAGATATTTGATTTTAATAATTTTAAAGTGAAAAAGAAAATTGAAATTGTAAAATCAAATTAAAAATAAAAAAAAAAAATTGTACAGGTAAAAAAAACACCCTTATTATTATTATTTTTTTTTATTTTTTATTTTTATCCCGCATTGAGATTCAAACAAAATATGTTCAAGTGAATGTAACATAAACTTAGGTGGCATCTGATTCAGATAAATACATTCATATGAGGTAGAATACAATAATCATTTCATTAAATATCTCTTTCTAAAAGAAAAAAAATACTTTTATTTTATATCACATTATTATAGCAAAAAGTAAGACAAAAATATCATTACACTATTTTTATCTATCAACTATAATTAAATACTATTCCCTGTCCGCCTCTCTACGGATTACATTTACTTTTTGCGTAAACATTAAAAATATCTTTATATTTGTATATATTTTTTTTTTGTACAAATGTCATTCTATTACTATTATAAGACATTAATGGAGGTATTTTTGCAATTTTTTTTTATAATTTATACTAAATTTTGATATAATAATTAATATTCAAATATCAACAGACACAAAATAAATGAGACCCTGGAGCCCGACGGAGGTAGTATTGAATTAATATTAGTTTTTTTTAGTGATAAAGTATATATATTATAGAGTACACTATTTTTTTTTTTAATAATATCTATATAAAATTATTTTACTATTTTTTTTTTTATTTTTTAGTTTGAACACTTAGTGAACAAATCCATAAATACACACTTTTTAACATTATTAACAAAACATTCAGTGAAATAAAAATAAAAAAAATTGTAGCCACCCTTTATTTCTTTATTTGATTATCTGACAAAATTACTATAAAAATAATAATTTTCCCGTCCCATTTAAATGGTACTATTTTTTATTTTCGTCCGTTTCAAAATAAGGTTATCATTTTTTATTTAGTAATTTTATTACATTCCTAACATAATAAATATTCTTTTAACTTACAATATATTACACAAATATCATTACTTTTATATTACAATATAAGGATATTTTTATCTTTTTTATTACAATCCAATATAATACTAATATTTCAATGGGACGAAGAGAATAATTGCGAATTAAATCTACCCTTAGAAAAGATATATAGTGACAAAATTTAATTTAAAAAAAGCATTTGCCCGTTGAAAGTGAGCAATTAATACACAAATTTATCATTAGTATCTAAAAATTTTATTTTTAAATAACATAATATAATATGAATATACTTGCCATGAAAATCAGTGACTGCATAAGCATATGTACTAAATTACCATGTAAAAAATCTGGTCCGTTGGAATTTCACTCTTCCAAAACTACCCTCCACATTTTCGTAAATTGACCACTGTATCACTTAAAAGTTTACTGTTATTATTTTTATGACATATTAAATGATACTAAGGCTGCATTATTTACAAAAAAATTTTAAAAATAGTAGAAGTTAAATATTTGATATAATATTTTGTAAAAAAAAAATATATTTAATATAGTATTTTTTAAAATTATTGATAAATAATAGTATAATTTTTTTTTTTATATAAAAATATTCATAACTTTTTACTTTGTTATGCATATATCTATTTTCTTCCTCCAAAAGAAATATCTTATTGCTGGCACCACAATTAACGAATAATAATATTTAATTAAAAGTAGGTATAAAGTAGAATGTGAAAGACTAAAATGCCTTTATTTTTTTTAAGGATTTTAAAAAGTTGATTTAGAGTAATAATTAGGGATAGTTTGAAAAAGTATGAATAATTTTTATGATTTATTTTTTAATATTTAATACTTATTTATATAAAATATTAATTTCTCCGTCCGTTTTTTAAGATCACATTTATCTTTCGCGTCATTATACTTAATATTAAAAATATTATTCAAATATCAACTAGCAAAAAGTATATAAAACCTTAGAGTGAGACCAGGTAATATATTTATTTCTTCAATTTACAATGTATGGATTTTTATTTATACAGAGAAATAAATAATAATAGTTGGTAGTTATTTTTTGTGTAAAGTTTTATTATTATTATTATTATTATTATTATTATTTGATGTAAATATGTATTAATTTTAAAAATATTTATAATATATACTGCTATTAATTTATTAAAAATATATTTTGTTAAGTGACTAATGAAAATGTATTTTATTAGGAGATAGAAGAAGTACTAAAATTTTATTTTATATAAAAAAAATATGAAAATAAAAAATACTAGCAGCAAAAGAATAAGCCCAACACGTGAGGAAATTATTTATGTATTTCGGTGTGTAAGTTGTACAGGCAGATTCGCGACAATTATTATAATAATAATAATTAATTGTTATTTTATAATGAATATTTAAATTAATAAGAATAATAAATAGAAAGGGAATGTTGGTGGGGTGACGAAAATGGGTGAAGGAGCATAATAGTAAATTTATGAGTATATAAAGGAATTTCAAATATTGGAATGGTTCACTGCCCAACGTTTACTTCCTCAGTTAGTCTTTTCCGAAGCGCAGCGTCGTCGTCTTCCTCATCGCCGATTTTCCGTTGGAGATTCTCAGTAAATCGTCGATTAGCTCGGTTAATTCGACAATTTGAGGTATTGTTTATTCGTTTCTGAAAGCACAGATAGTTTGATATCAAATCATTGTTTAAGCTTCGGTTCGCTTCGGCTTCCCGTTGGAGATAATCTGTAAATAGACGATTACCTCGGTTAATTCGACAATTTGAGGTATTGTTTATTCGTTTCTGAAAGCACAGATTGTTTGAGATCAATCATTGTCTAAGCTTCGGTTCGCTTCGTCTTCCCGTTTGAGATTCTGTGTAAATCGTCGATTAGGTTGCTGAATTCGCGAATTTGAGGTATTTTTAACTCGTTTCTGAAAGCACAGATTGATTTGATCCAATTGGTTTCTGAATTTGAGGTGTTGTTAATCTGTTAATTCGATCAAATCATTGTCTACGCTTCGCTCTCTATATATATGTATGTATTTATATGTATTTGGATGAATGTGATACGCACATAAACACGGATCATGAGTAAGTAAGCAGGAGTGGATTTGAATTAATTTTGCGTGTGATTGGCAGAAAATGGGGTGTTGGTATTCAAAATTGCACAGAGAACAGATGATCTCGAGATGCAAGGCTAGAAAAAGATACATGAAGCAGTTTGTTAAGGCGAGGCAAGCCTTCTCCGCCGCCCATTCCTTATATTTAAGGTCGCTTAGGGCCACCGGATCCGCCCTACTCCGGTTTGCCACCGCCGAGACAACTCTCCACCACCTCCGGCCGCCGGTTTCATCACAAATTCCCGAACTGAGCTCCGCTCCTTGTGCCACCAATTCCACAACGAAGACCTCCACAACTCCTCCGCCGCCGCCGCCGGTGGCATCGCCTTGGGACTTTTGGGATCCTTTTACGCTAACTACGGGACGATCTATGGATGAGGGAGTATGGAATGAGAGCGCTGGTGATCCTGAGGTGCTGGTGGTCACCGCCAGTCCTGCCGGATCACCGTCTGCGGACACCACCACCGAGAAGGCGGTGGTGATATCTAGCAAGAGTAAAGATCTGGCAGAGATCATCAAGGAAGTGGACGACTATTTTTTGAAGGCTGCCAATGCCGGTACTTCACTCTCACTGCTCTTGGATGTCCCCATTTCTGGCAATTGCCAATCACTCTCAGGTAACCATCGCCACTCAATCTTACAGTCGGGTAGACTTTCTTAATATCGAAAAAACTGTAGAATGAATTAAGTTTATCACAATGCAAGTTAGAATTTCCCGTTATCAAACTATGATCAGAATGCATTCTAGATGTTCTTTTAAAGCATGAGTTTTCCAAGTATTGTGTTTAATTCAAATACAGAAAAGGATCTGGACTAGGCTGCCTTGTGTTATCAAATTGTCTCATTCTGATTAGTCATGAATTTGCATGGCTTGCAGGCAAGAACAGTGTATATGCAAAGGGTTTGGGTCCGCTACTGTGGACATGGGGTTCAGGAAATGTAAAATGGAATGCTTTTGGGAAGTTTTGCGAAGATTATACTGCAACAGAAAACAAAGTGGATTGCCTGGCTACTAATGGAAATGATGCTACTCATAGTTCGACAGTCGAGAGGTTATATACATGGGAGAAAAAACTTTACCAGGAGGTTAAGGTAAGGTTACCCCATTTGTGATGCCAATTGCATAGGCTTCTTGCACCTTCATTGTATTCAGATCTTTCTTTGTCCTTCATTTTTGTGGAGTGCAACAAATTATGCGTACCATCGTCAATACTATATCATGTCTTCCTTGAACAAAATGCCCTTAAATGTTTTTTAATATAGTTACCCGGGCTTATGTTGTTGGGATGGATAAAGAATACTATTGTTACAAATTAAGGAACTATATGCTTTTATGGATGTGAATTCACTTGGAGAGCAGTTAGTCATGACCTATTTTATGTGTTTTCTTTCTCTGTGGATGCTGCAGAATGCCGAGTTTCTGAAATCCGAGCATGATAAGAAGATAGCAAGTCTCAGGAAGCTAGAAATGAAGGGTGCTGATTACCTCAAAACTGACAAGGTCAAAAAAGAAGCTGAAAAGTTGGAATCACAGAGTATAGTTTCTTTGCAGGCAATTGAGACCATCTCTACTGAAATTATCAAATTGCGGGAATCTGAGCTTTACCCTCAACTTCTTCAACTTGTGGCGGGGTTAGTTTTCTTCTCTTTAGACTTTTCGGGTTAACTTCATACGATCTTCACACTCTCTGGGCTTTTGAAATCAAGCATGTAGGTTGTGTACAAGATAAGGTCATTTACATGTGTTAGGATTACTGTCCAAGTCTTATATAAGTCCTTCAAAATCAAATCATCATTATTATAGTTGATGCTCTTGTCAATTTTCTTATTATAGTTGTTTTTATTCACTTGAGCAATTTGTGTTGCAATTTCCGGAAATTAGTGAAATGTCGATGGTGAAGTAGAAAATTTGAAAATGGAATTTGCTAATACAGCTAAGTATTTATAGTTAGTATTGGCACAAGCTGGACAAGCAAAGCAATTTCATCTGAAATTTGAGATCAATAATTTGTATTAATTGAAATTGTGTAATGTCTGCCTATTTATGGAAATCAATACAGTAGCCTGAAATTGTCTAATACAATATATGTTAGTTGAAATTATGTGACAGACAATTCTATTTATAAGCTAGGATGTATTGATATATTTTATATGCTGAATTCAATTATAGTATGCACTGTGTGAAAAAATATAACTGTTGTATTTATATTATATTAACATAAATAATGTATTGTCTGTTGTTATATAATGTGTTAATGCTGAATTTTAACCTCTGCCCTGAAAATTTGATCCTTTCTATTTCTTCGACTTTTCCTTTTTTTGAGAAATGATTCAAACTCCTAAAACGATCATCTTTTTATTTTTCTTGCTTTTCAGGTTAATGAACATGTGGAAAAGTATGCACGAAGCCCACCAGTTTCAGATGAGCATAATCCAGCAGCTAAAGTGTCTCAACTGCATTCCGTCATCGGAACCAACTTCTGAAATTCATCGCCAATCGACCCTTCAGCTCGAGCACGAAGCACAACAGTGGTTAATCTCCTTCTGCAACCTAATCAAGTCTCAACGCAACTACATTCAATCATTGAGCGGCTGGCTCCGTCTAAGCCTCTTCCAGTTAGGCACTACTCCACACAGCACCAAAACCAAGCTAGACGACGCCATTTACGACCTCTGCGAAGAGTGGCAGCTCGCCATGAACAATGCTCCTGAAAAGACAGCATCAGATGGGATTAAAACCTTCTTGTTAGTGATCCACGACATAGCAGTCCGACAAGCAGACGAACAAAAACAAAAGAGGAAATCAGAATCAGCATTCAAGGAGCTCGATAAAAAGGCTGACGACCTTCGATCTTTGGAAACCAAGCATGGCCTAATCACAACGATACCAGAAACCATCCACGAAACAACCAACACCGAAGATCCAGCGCGGGTTAAAGGAGCAAAGATGGTCGCCTTAAGAGCAAAGGCAGAGGAAGAAAGGGCTAAGTACGAAAAGCTGATTAGCGAGACAAGAGCCTCGACAATGAGCAACCTGCCCATGGGATTATTACATGTAATCCAGGCAATGTCTGGTTTTGCAAACTCGAGCATGCAGGCGTTCGAATCTGTGCATAACCAGGCGAAAAGCGCCGAGGATCTGCACAATTCATAATATCATTTTTCAGGTGATTCGAAATCGACAGCGAGATGGCACTCACAGTTTTGTTTATAACTTCATATATATATATATATATATATATATGTAGATGATTGTCTGCACTTCCTTCCCTTTGGTTGTTTTTTTTTTCAGCTGTCTCTGCAGTCATCGGCTGGCTGGTGGTTTGTGGAATGCACTGCACAGATCACATTTTGTTCGGGCAAGCCAATTGAATGAAGGTCAGTTGTTTAAATAACTTTGAACTAAATTGGTAGAGCTTTGGATTGGATTTTATAGTTTTGATGGTTTAATTTAGTTGTAGTGTGAATCTTGGATTGCCCTTTTTATAAAGTTTATCCTATCAAGTTTTTTATGGCATGTCTTATCGGTGGTGTGCTAATTTTGCGCACAATTTTTCTACAACGAAAGTTTACATAGTCCGTAAAAGATGATTAGGTGATATAGGGGTGAACTTGTGATCTGAGGTCATGGGTTCAAATCCCGACACCTTCAGGTTCACCTGCCATACAAAAAAAGTTATTTATTAAATTTCGAATTTGAATATTTTTTATTTATCTATTTATGATTATATTTTTTCAATTTTATGTGATTTATAATTACAAAATTAATTATTTTTCATTTTAGTCTGTCCACATATCTATAATATTTTCAAATATGAAATAATTATCTTCTCTATACTCAGATAAAAATAAATAAATACACATCTCTTTTTCTTATATCTCAATTTATTTTACTTTATACTATCCACTTAAATTTTTGTTTCACAAATCAAATATTTCACCATATATGGAACTGAGACAGTAATTTTTATATGTATATTCTTAAACTCTTAAATACCGGTCATCCTGTTGTCCAGCTATAGCATTTTAGAGGTTGACCCTGTGTGCACGAAGTTTAAGATTGACAACTATGATACACTTTTATGATAGTCATAGAAAGTAGTAACATGTTATAAAACATAGTACCATATTACAATAATATCCTTGACAAAGACAAGACAAGACAAGCTAGAGATTTATCAAGTTACATATAGCAATAAGAACAATAAAAGAGTTACATAGCCAACACAAACAAACCCCAGACTTATATATATATATATAGCTCAATCTCAAATACCTTCTTGTATTCTGTACAAGAACAAATCCTTCAAAACACTTCTTCCCTTCTAGACCATTTTATTCCATAGCATAGCTTCTCCCAAAAACAACGAAATAAGTCAAGAATCACCCTGCAACCAATTATCGCCAAGGGGTGTCGTCATATCATACTGCCATTATATACAAAAGGCAAAATTGTTCATAACTCCCTTGTGATTTTGAAATTCAGCGTAAATTCTCCTTATGCTTTAAAATTTGCATGAAACCCGCCATGCAAAAAGTTTTTAAAAATGTAAAACAAGGTTTCATGGAAAGTTTTTGAAAATACAAAGAGGCACAATGAAATTTTTAAAAAACAAACCACACGAGAGATATGGACAATTTTGTCTATACGAAATCCAATTTCCAAAGTAACCGTAAAGATGATAGTACGTACCTTAAACTGAGGTTAATCCGAATAGATACTTTTAAGTCTACTGAGTAGAGGTCGAACACTTCCTTTCTAACCATCCTAGTTGTTTCTCAGCTCTAAGCGTTAGGAACGTTTCCCTAGCATTACGGCTGTTGAAGAGATCTAAAGCAGCGAGATAGATCCGGTCGTCAATTCCTTGTAGTTCATCTAATGCCCTGACACAATCCGATACCGGAAATTTGCTATTCAAGCTATTGATTGCCTCTGTGTGGAGCTTCGTTGCACCTGCCATCTTCAGTATACCTTTTGCTAGGGAATCTTCAATCCCTCCTCTCCTGCATCTCTTTCGACTGTACTGATCTGCATATTTTTCCGATTCTGATGGCGACTGTTCTTCCACTTCTGCAGCCGCCTGCCTTGTAGGAATAGGAGAGAGATTCAGTGAAGATATATTGTCGGGCTCTCTCGATGATCCGTTCTGCTTTTTGCTGCCTGTTCCCGTTTCTGCAAATATTGTTCGCAGCTGATTGTATATTGGACACCCTGCAATCCTCAAGTTTTCCGCATCATGATGTTCCTGTGTGCCACATAAATCTGAATAGTAAAAATATCTGGTAAAACCTACAAAAGGGTGTGTTCTTTTATGCTTTTACCCATATTCTACTATTCATCAAAAAAAATTTCCCAAAAAAAATCAAATTAAATACTTATTTTTCATTTTTATATTATATTAAATATCAATTTTACATTCAAAAAATCACATCAACACAATCCTACAACTATTCCAATTCAAAATTTTTCCTATTCAAATCCCAACTCAATCCAAACCCCAAACAAACACACCCCAAATGAAACGTCTATTTTTCCTTCTTTAAATTATACCAAAAATCAATTTTACATTCAAAATATCACATCAAACACCTATCAAGTTGTACAAATATTCAAATTCTAAATTTTCACTATTCAAAACTCAAATCCCTAAACAAACACACATAGCTTATGAGGAGGAGTTTCTACACAAACAATTATAGGAATTTTCTACACATCATTTTGGCTAATTTAAGGGTGAGTGTGCAATAAATTCTACAAACTATTTATGTTAAAACACACACATATATATATCCATTGTATGCAGACAATTTACCCTAGTCGATAATACTCAAATAAATATTGAAGTATCAACGAAATAGCCACAATCCCTAGGAAAGGAGATAATGAATGAATCCAAGAAGCGAAAACTATATACCCACCCTGATGTATTTGTCCCATGCCGCATCTGTAGCAATTATTGCACTGTTAGCCTCGTCCCACTGAAAATCGGGATAACTTAGCAGCGTTGATACATTTATGTACTGCTTCCTTAAGGCAACATATCGGCTTTTCAGCTGGTCGTTATCCCACCAATAACCTGTTTGACTACGGAAGTTATCACAAATGAGTTTCCAGCCTTTCTTGCTAAAAGACCTGTTCGATTTATTGCCCTTCTGAATCTGTTCTACCATCAAGTCAGCCAAAGTTTTGGTCAGTGACGCTGTCCATTTGGCGCGCGATTGATTTTCCGCCTGCTGCTGTGCCATATGAGCCTTTCTTGAACGAGTAGTTCGACTATCCATCTATGAAATTCAACAAAATGATCAACCATCAATATATAAGAATGAACCAACAATAATAAGCAAACCAAACGCTTCTTACAAAATATCATCACAGAAAAACAACAAGATTAAGTTCACCATGGTTCTTAATAAAATACACTATAAAAATACATTATTTTCTCTCACAAAACATCACATCAAAATAATATATTAAACAAACATTTCAAATCGAAATCTCAAACTCAAATCAAAACAAGTGTGTTTGGTTTGTGTTTCAAATAGAAACCAATGCATAGTTCCCGATAAAAATACATTATTTCTTATCAACATAACATCACATCAAAATATGTATAAATCAAATCTCAAACTCAAATCAAAACCAAGCACACCCAAAATGTTCCTCGTCACTTTTGGCTTCCAATATCAATACAAAATCACTGCTCTTTCACCCCTACTTAGTATAGTTAACTCCAAATTTGTTTTGAATCCTGATGTCAAACTCAGTCCTATGCCATGAAACTAATCCAATCCATTTTGCAATCAAATGGCAAACAAATCACTGCAAAATTGCATAAATTTGTCCAATAACTTTTGCTGAAAATATATAATCGAAGAAAGTCAAAGCATAACTAGATATACATAAACAATCTATCCCTAGCTACAAAATAATCTAACTGCTAGATACGGAAAATGAAGCTTCATCACAGAAGAACAACAGCAAAACATGATTCGATCTGAACTAGTGATAAATCCAAACCAAAATTTGATTCTGAAACCAAAGATCAAACTCTATCAAAGCGAAAAGAGCTGAATCAATTCAATTCAATCGGAAAATGAGAAGTCGCTATTATGATTAGCAAAATTAATAATAATAATAATACTAGGCTAACTGTAATGTAATTTACAGAGATGCAGCTGCGGAAACCATCATCATAAACTTGAGAATTACAGAAATTAGCGTCTTCTGGAATTAAAGTCGCAAATTTCATAAATTTCTTACCGCTAGGGTCCGGCGAAGGAGCAAATTTCATTAAAACGCGAAATGACTCTAGAATTCGAATTCGTCTGATCCTGCTTAGGGTTTTATTATTATTATTATTATTATTATTATTATTATTATTATTTTATTTTATTTTATTTTTACAATTAAATAATGTAAGAAATGGCTAGAAATATTTTCTTTTTAGAAATTTACTATTTTGACTGTATTTATTTTGTGAAATTGTTTGAGTTTATATGTTTTTACGTGATATATAGAATATTATGTATATAATATAAAAATAATATTAATAAAAATAGGGTGTTTATAATACGACTGTATTTCATTATTTTGAAAAAATTTAAAATAAAATGTTTATTTAATATAATACTTTCTCCGTCCCAGAATTAGAGACTTTGTTGGGTATGAGATGTAAAGAATATTGATATTATATTGACGATAAAAAAAATATAGGTAAAAGACATTTTTGCAGGATAGTTTTATAGTGATATAGTTATTTATAGAAATAAGACTATGATAAAAATAATAAACAAGCGTATAATATATAAATGTTTATTTAATATAATATAATATATATATATATTTATACTTAGTTAATAACTTTTTTGTTTCAAATTAATTGAGGTATTTTTTTAGTCACTTTTATTTTATACACAGTTTTTATTTATTTTATTAATTACAATTTTTAAAATATACTTAATAAAATAAAGAAATTCATTAACTAAATACAATATATTGTAGGACACTTTTTTATTTTTATTTTTTAATAAATAAATATTTTAATTAAAATTTAATATTTTTTCTAACATTAATTTATATTAATTATAAATATATATATTTTATTTATTTATATTAATAAATTTTATTTTCTATAAATTGATATTAATATTGTATTATTTTATATAATATTTAAAATATTTAGATATATATTTCTAAAAAGTTTAATTATATACATATCAATTTTTACTTTAAAATATTGACAATATTCATATAATAAAATAATATTATACTCCATCCATCTGAATAATTTGACCACGTTACGGTAGACACGGGAATTTAAGAGGGTACAATTAGTAAATAATTAAAAATATATTAGTGAAAATAATTATTGTATAATAAAAATAATTATAGATTAAGATAAAGATAATTGATTAGTATAATTAAAATAAAAAAAATTAAAAATTAAATTTTTAAAAATAAGATTAAAGTGTATAATTATTTTTCAAAAAAGGAAAGTGACAAAATAAGTGAGACGGACGGAAATGAAAAGGTAGACATGACAAGTGAGTCCGTCCCAGAAATAAGTATTCATTTGTTTTTTCATGTAATTTTAAAAATATTAGTATTATATTGAGATATAGTAAGAATAAAATATAAATGACTAAAATAACCTTATTAGTACATGTGATATAAAGGGTAATGACATTTGTATAATATATTAAGGGTATTTGTAATGTTAGGAGATAATACAGTTACTTAAAAAAAAAAAAAAATACTTTGTTATGAGATAAAATAAAATATAAAATAAAAAAATAAAATACGAAAAATGAAGTATTATTATTAACTTACTGTATTAATTTCAAACACATTGTCCAATAAAATGGGAGCATTTTATATGATAAATCATTATATTAAATAAGAGAGGGCAAATAAATTGAAAGGAAAAATCTTTATTTCAAATTTTGAATTTTGAAAATTTAAAATTCAAAAGAAGGATTCATGTTAAATGGGCCTATACAACCTATTGGCCCATCAATACTGTATAGGCTCACACAAACAATGCCAGCCTATTAAGCATATTCAAATATTAAAAGAAATATAATAAGTTACATCTCTGTCAGACTTTAAAGTTTCATTTATCATACTTATCTTTAAATATTAACTATTATTTTCTCCGTCCATATAGATATGGTAAAATATAATTAATAAATAATTAAAAAATATATTAGTAAATAATTAAAAAATTATATTAGTAAAAATAATTATAAATTAAAATTAAGATAATTAAATAATTTAATTAAAATTAAAAAAAATTATAAAATTTAAAATGTCATTAAATACATCATTATATTTTCAAAAATAGAAAAAAAAGTAGAACGGACGAAAATAAAAAATAGAGACAAATTATGACGGACAGAGGGAGTATATAAATCAATATTAAAAGTTAACACGTAAAAGCTAAATAAAAATAATAAATCATTACGATATTAAGTTGAAACCGGAAGTCTCAAGTTACCCGTCACACATAATTCACCTAATCGGACCTACTTTGGAGGGCGTTACGTCAGTCGGCTCGGCAGTTTATCTAGGTATTATGGTCTACTGGGGTTTACCTCTTGCATATTTTCAGCAGCGCCTGCGGGACCCACGACATTAAAAACAAAAAGAAAAAAAAAAAAAAAAAAAAAAAAAAGAAGAAGGGCGAAATGGTATGGACAATTATGAGGCGGCCATTAATGGCGGAAGAGCGAGAAGAGCGTGAGAAGTAGAGAGCGGTACAACAACGGCAGCATTTCCCAATTCCCGGCTGAATAAAGGTACTATTGACGACTCATTTCAACTTTCTTCTTCACCCTTTCCATTAGTCCATTCGCTTTCTTCTCCTTTTCTTTCTTTGCTCTCTATTCAGATCTCAATCCCCTGTTTTCTCTGTCCCTCGGCGTACAGGCATTAATTCGTACATTACGTATGCTTTTCCCCCTGAATTTTACGATTAGGGTTTGAATTTTGATGACTCGGTAGTCTGCCATAGTCAGAAGTGGCGGAGAGGCGCAGGTATCGCGTGATTGATTTGTGTTGCTGATAGTTGCGCATTGCGAATCAGGTCTTCGGCTGAAGATCTGAGCGGCGGAGACGGAGGAGGGGGAAGTTTCTGAGTGCGAAGAATGAGTGCTTCGAGATTCATAAAGTGCGTGACGGTGGGCGATGGTGCAGTGGGCAAGACCTGTCTCTTGATTTCCTACACCAGCAATACTTTCCCCACGGTCAACATTTTTAATTGATTTTGATTTCTTCATCATTTTCGAATTTGTTCAGTGATTGATTTCTTCTCCTTGAGTTAGTTTCTGATCCGTCGCCATTTTCAAACCTTTTGAGTCTTCTTTCTTTAAATTCAATTTTCTTGATGATGTGGTTGCAATTATCTTTCTTGTGGACCCTGGATTTGTCGAATGATTGCTTGATTACTAGCTTTGGAAAACTTACTTGGAAAGGAATAAGAACATTATTAACTACTTCTGCTCACCTCCAAGTCCATGGTTGACTTGTAGTTGTTAATTTTATTTTTTTATTTGTTCTTTTTGTTACAGTGGTGAGGAAGAAGCAAACCAGTTGATTGTGTATAATGCTTATTTGGAATACCAAAGCATGATTCATAATTACCGAATGAATTTTCATATAGGGAATTTGTAGGATACTTTAAGTTAGATCAGATGATCAATTGCTGTTAAGTTTTTTGTTGTTACAGTAGACAGCGGCGGGGAAGAAGTAGTTTATACTTAAGCATTTTGATCATCTGATCTAACTTAACAGCAATTGATCATCTGATCAGATGATCAATTGGTTTGATGAATCTTTCTGCAACTGATGAGACAAATTTTATGTATTTTTGTGAATTATATTAATCTAGCAATTTAAACTTTTGTTTTATTTGCATTTTGTACTTGTGATGATACCAAATTAGCTCAGTTTGTTTGACGGCCATGATTGTTTCATATAAGAATTTGGAAATTAGCCGGCTATAAATCGCTATATAAAAAGTGGAATAGAAAACACTTAGGGTCTGTTTTTTTTTTTTTTTTTGGTTTAGTTTGGGAAGATTTTGTTTAAGTTTTGTATATAAATAATGTTTGATGGAATTTTTTATGAGAGAAAAAAAGTGTATTTTTTTTTCCAAAAACATTGAATCCAAAGAATAAAGTTTGGAAAATGTTTGTTAAGGAAAGACACCCTTAGTTCTGGTCGATGAGATTTACTAACATTCACATGTTCTTTATGGGGCCTATTCTGAATATCATTATATGGCGTTATATAAACCTTGAGACGTGATGTTTATGTCTAACATTCTTTCTAATTTAATGGAACAGGATTACGTTCCTACTGTATTTGATAATTTCAGCGCAAATGTGGTTGTTAATGGAGCCACTGTTAACCTAGGCCTGTGGGACACTGCTGGTAATTAATTTACTGTAAATACATTTATATACGCACTTTCGATTATTGTCTTCTGAAATTCCTTTACCGAGCGTGCGCTTTCTCCCTTTTTGTGAAACAGGACAGGAGGACTACAACCGACTAAGACCTTTGAGTTATCGTGGAGCTGATGTTTTTATCTTGGCATTTTCTCTCATTAGCAAGGCTAGCTATGAAAATGTTTCGAAGAAGGTGAGGAGTTTGATTAACTCTTAAAAGCTGTTCTTCGATTCCTTTTAGGGGTGTGTTTGTTTTGGGGTTTTGGATTTTGAGTTTGGATTTTAATAGTAAAAAAATTTGAATTAGAATAGTTGTATGATGTAATATAAAATTTCATTTTGAATGTAAAATGAAATTTTAATTTAATATAAAAAAATACAAAATAGGTTTTTGATTCAATGTTTTAGGAGGGAAAAAATTTGATGAATAGTAAAGTTTGGTAAGAATCCTCAAACAAACACACCCTAGGTGTTTCTGACTCTCTTCTTTTACAGATTTCTGAAAAACTTATGATTCATGAATTTATTTTTGACGTTTATTTATTTTCAGTGGATTCCTGAATTGAAGCATTATGCACCTGGTGTCCCGATTGTTCTTGTTGGTACAAAGCTCGGTAAGATATTCAATCAACATTAAGTGCCTTAAACTATCTATGTCTATGCCTAGATCGTCTTTATGTCCCTTTTTTGGCTGTTACACAAAAATATTATGATATTTGTGTATCTCTATTTTCTTACATTGTATTATATTATGAAAATGCATAGAAAATGTAGCTACTCATTCTTTAAATTGAGGTTTCCATATTTTAAAAACATTAAATGTGTGTTTGTTACTTTGTTTGTGGGGTTTTGGTTTTAGATTTAGATTTAGATTTTGAATAGTAAAATTTAAAATTGAAATAGTTGTTTAATGTGATAATAAATATGTATTTATGCTATATTTTAAATGTAAAATTAAATTGTAATATAATATAAGTAAATAAAAATATATTTGATATGATGGTTTGAATATAATATTAAATTTTAGTATAATATAATAAATAAAAATAAGTATTTGATTTATTTTTTTTTAAAGAGTGAACTAAAATCAAAACCTCCCAAACAAACACACCATAAGGTGTATAATGTTTATATAGGGAGCCAGTAATGAATAATGTTTCAACTATATATAGATTTTTGTATATCATTATAATGCGCTAACTGAGGCTAATCAACATGTTACTACGCCATAGCCAGCCTGGTTTTTAAATTATAGCAAGTCAGAAGAATATAATTGCCCAGAAACAAATAGATATATGTCTTGTATATATACAAACTATATTATTATAAATTTTTTAAAACCTAGCCCCCTTATTTAGGTTCCACCATTGAATCAATTAGAAGATGACACAAAACCTTAATTGTTACTAATGTCTTTGCTATATAGTCTTTTTCCTTCTTGCAACTGTTAAAATGGGATTACACATCTTGATGGATGCAGATCTTCGAGACGACAAGCAGTTCCTGGAAGATCATCCAGGTGCCGTTCCCATCACTACTGCACAGGTACGACGTGTGATCCACTGCTTGATTTCTTTCTCCTGTATTTTTATGTTTACATTTAGTACATGTGTTCAGTTGATTCCCAGAAGCAATCAATTGAAAACAAAGTTCCAAAAAGTATTAAGCTGGTCCTGAACTACCATGTTCAGTCAGTTTAGGAATTCGATACTACTACTTTTTATTTTTTTTCTCGGGTTTGTTAATATTGTTTGTATCCTTTGTGTTGTTGACTCCCAGGGGGAGGAACTGAAAAAGATGATAGGATCTTCTTATTACATTGAATGCAGTGCAAAATCACAAGAGGTTAGTGTCGACTTTTCTTTTCCTAGCACGATTGTTTTAGTTTTCTTGATATGATATGATGCATGCTTCATTCAACCTCAGAATGTCAAAGCAGTTTTTGACGCTGCCATTAAAGTTGTCCTCCAACCACCCAAGCAAAAGAAAAAGAACAAGAAGCCCCAAAAATCGTGTTCTATATTATGATCCACACACGACATATATATATATGCCCTCACAGCGCAGGTCGCTACACTGCTTTTCTCCATTTCCCGTTTACCCGGAAGTGGTGTTTAGTAGGAATGAAATCCTTTATGTCATGTCATGTATGTTCGAATGTTGTTGAGTCACTCACTCACTCTCTCTCTTTAAAAACTGCCCATTTTCACTCACACTAGACATGCACTTGACTTGTGATTTTTGCTAATGTTAAAGGTTTGGTAAAACATCTTCTTTGGCATGATGCATGTTTGTTCTTCACATTTTTGTTGTTTGATTTTTTTAATAAAACAAAGTAAAATTCGAAAATATTATCGAACTTGAATGAAAAATTTATTTGTAGCACAAAGCAGGGAATGCATGAAAGTAAAAGGTGATCCCAAAAGGAAATTTACAATTAATTTTGCTTTTTTTGAAGATTCTTTCCGAAAAAGGACCTGAATTTTTAAGTATTTCTTAAGGAAACGTTTTAAAACATCGTCTGGTCGGTTACAGCAACTGTCGTCAACCGTCCCCATATATTACTCCTCCATTGACACGTGTCTTAATCGTCTTCCCAACCGTTCCCGCTAGTTACAGAACCTAACTGGTTCAGCCGATCGCCTCTGAACACCTTATCTCTTCAAATGGGCGGTTGGCCCAACCGACCACTTAGCCCTTGATTCTCCTGCCCAAAATAACCATTGGCTCCTTGGACGGACGATAGGCCAACCGACTACCTTGAGAAACCCATAACCACCTGATGGGCCCAAAGACGGGCCCACCTCTCATCTTATTTTGGGCCATTTACCCTAATTATAAATTTCATACTCAACAACTTGCCCCGCCGCCATCGAACTTTCAAACGTCACTCCTCGATCGCCGCGTGACAGGACGTTTGGAAGTCTACAACCTATGTAACAGTGTTGGCCTGACTCTGCTCCCATCACATCAATAGGGTTTTAAATACCCCATTTTGCAATTATGATTCTTTATCTCTTTTAAAAACCTGTCCATTAACTTTTCTCATTTCACGATCGCGAAATACTTTCCAAAAACCTCTCATCTTCTTCGCTGGTGTTTCCCCCTCCTCTCTGCAACTCGTATACCATGCCGAATCAATACGTGCTTGCACTCATCTTTGATGGAACCGTCCCAGAAGTGTCTTTTGTTGCCACGAAGGTACTGACTCCCACCATCTGCCCATACTGTACGACTCCCGAAAACTCCAGTTGGATGAGGGAGGTGCTCGAAGTGGGAAACCCCCTCGCCGTCAAGAATCCCAACTACAACGCTATTAGAATCCATGACAGCATCAAAACTCATTTGACGGACCCCAATGATCCCTATAGCACTTGGTACACCAGGGTGGCGGAACACTTCCAAGAGCAGTGGAAACGCCAACAGATCGACCAGGCGATACTCCTTTTCACTCTTCCATTCCACTTGCACGAGAAGGTGCTCATGGCGATGGCGGCCTTCTGGCACTCAGAGATGGGTGTCTTTTTCCTGCCAACGGGCCCCATAGGCCCGACTCTCATGGATGTGGCCATGATCGCCCATTTTCCCATTGTGGATGAGGACCCTGTGATGGGAGTCTTGGATGGGCAAGAGCCGGAGGCGGACCATTTGGGCTGGTCCTTAGCTGGGATAAAAGAATGGCGTTGGACCAAATTCGCGACCGACCAGCAAGGGGCAGCAGGGACCCCCGTGACCGACCACGAACATGTCGCCTTCGTTCTCTTCTGACTCTGTAGGTATGTCATAGTCTCTCGCTCCAAATGTGTTCTTCCTTCCCATCTTGACTTAGCTATTCATATAGCTTCAGGTCGTTTCTTTTCGCTTGGCACCCTTTTTTTAGCCAATCTTTTTTAAGGTCTTTATAGGGTTAGTACCCGTCTTGTAGATAGTGATAGTAAAAAATTAGATACCGCCGCGTCGGGCCCTTTTTGGTTCTTGGAACTTTGGTTCTGGCTTTATTTTCCTGATGCGTTCCAACTTGGCCGCCCTCCTATTACCCCAACACCCGACAAATATTTGGGAGTAGCCCTTAACCGACTTTGCCTAGGCCACAGAAACCTCCAATCATCCGACCCCATCATAACCGCCATTCTGGCCGACGACCGCAGCAACTCCCGATTTTACGTATATAGGAAGTATGCTTGCTATGGTCTGATCTTTTTTGGCCTTTTCCTGTGTCTTCACCCATGGCCAAACCTGACCCTCTTCCTCATCCGACCTATTCTTTCCCATGTGATTCTGCCCTTAAACCCAGGTCCTTATTTGTTAGTAAAAAATTTGATAAAAATGGCCAAAAATCATTTTATAGTTTTAGTTATCAGCCTCAATTTTTGGCACGACAATTCGGCTGCCGCCAAGGCTTACCTGGTCTCAGAGTCAGGACGAGCTGGTCATACCCAAATTGATTTCTTCTTACCTTTCCCAACTTACCACTTACATAACTTCCAATTCTTACGTTCCCTTCCATTCTTCGCCCGAAACTGTTGAGACTTTCCGCGAATGGTGGTCGGTCACATGGGCCCTACTTGCCCCGGACAAAGATCTGTTGCTGGGTGTTCTCCTGCCCCAGCCTGCCTTAGTATTAGGGGCGGCCCGACCTATCAATGCCCGAAGAAAAATAGCCACCCCGGGTGCCGGGTCTAGCGCCCCAAAGAGGAAAAGAAAAACTTCTCAAATCCAAACAGTCCCGACCTCCGGAACAGACCAGCAAACCGGCGAGGACTTTTTGTCAGTTTGGATACCAGTGTGGACCCGGCCCCGTCTAGGTATGCTCAAAAGTCTTAAATTATTCTGATATTTCCTTAACTTTCTAACTTATATTATTCTTACTATCAGACCCGACTTTGGCAGCATCGACCGTCCAACCAACTCCAACCCCGGCCGATCCGCCAAACTTGCCAGCCGATCAGCCCCAAGTAACCGACTCATGTTACTACTTTCCTCACATCTTAACAATTCATGTACTGACCTATGTCATTCAATCGCAGGCTCTACCCATCCGAACGCATATACCATTACTTGCTCTGCCGATGATCAGTCGGAAGGGGGACCCGACTAGGAGGCAATCCCTTCCCTCTTTGCCGATGAGTGGTCGGGAAGGTGCTCCGACCAGGAGGCAATCCTTGCCAGCACCGTCAAGAGATCCGTTAACTTTCCTAATCACCCGATTTTCACAATATCAAATTTCATATTTGGAATAAATATCTAACATATTCATTGCATACGCCTTCACCACCCGAACCTGCGGTAGCAGTAGTCTCGTCTGATAGCGAGGCAACTGCCTCACAAATGGGCGGACTGCCAGCTGAGGCTGCGGACTCTTCCTTTCTTAACGAAGAGCCAATCGCCCCTTCTGCAGCCGCCCCTATCACGGACGCTTCTATTACAGCCGCCCCAATTGCGGCTGCTCCGGTTGCTGGAAGTGTCTTGGGTGCGGCCGGCCCAACTGCTAGAAACGTCCCAGCTGCGGCCGTCCAAGTCGCACCTGATGCACCGGCTGCGGCCGCCCCGGGCGCGGCCGTCCCGATGGCAGCCGTCCTAATTGCACAAGTAATAGGACGGGTAGCAGAACCACCTGTGGCCGTCCTGCCAAGAGGTCCCCCGCAAGACATAGAAGAGATTTTTTCTTCCGATTCGGAGACCTCTGTCAACCTAGTAGAATCTTCAGACTCCCATTTCATTACTGAATATCAATTTCATCAAATACTAAACACTTTATACTTCAACTTTTAGGGGCCCAGGTCAGCACCGCAGCGACCTTTCGGAGCAGCCGAATAGTCGGCCATTGCGGTGCCAGCTGCCCGTCCTCCCTAACCGACGACGTTCCTCGCGCCCTCCATAACCACGGTCTGCCCGGAAGTAAGTAAAAAAGAATCCCATAAATAGTCCTTAACATATTTTTCTATGAAACCTAAACACTTGAATTCTCTCTTAGGGACATCTTGATCTAGCCCCTCTGTCGGACATTCCGATGTCGGCGGATATTCAGGCCATCTTTGCTCAGGCCGTCAACCGACCTTTCCCATTTCCTCTTTGGGGCGCTAGACTCGGCACCCGGGGCGGCTATCTTTCTTCAGGCACTGATAGGTCGGGCCGCCCCTAATACTAAGGCAGGCTGGGGCAAGAGAACACCCAGCAACCGATCTTTGTCCGGGGCAAGTAGGGCCCATGTGACCGACCACCATTCGCGGAAAGTCTCAACAGTTTCGGGCGAAGAATGGAAGAGAATGTAAGAATTGGAAGTTATGTAAGTGGTGAGTTGGGAAAGGTAAGAAGAAATAAATTCGGGTATGACCCGCCCGTCCGGACTCTGAGGTATTAAGTGAGGACGGGCGATGGGACCAGGTAAGCCTTGGCGGCAGCCGAATTGTCGTGCCAAAAATTGAGGCTGATAACTAAAACTATAAAATGATTTTTGGCCTTTTTTATGAAATTTTTTACTTCTCAGGGGAAAGAATAGGTCGGATGAGGAAGAGGGTCAGGTTTGGCCATGGGTGAAGACACAAGAAGGAAAAGGCTAAAAAAGATCAGACCATAGCAAGCATACTTCCTATATACGTAAAATCGGGAGTTGCTGCGGTCGTCGGCCAGAATGGCGGTTATGATGGGGTCGGATGATTGGAGGTTGCCGTGGCCTAGGCAAAGTCGGTTAAGGGCTAATCCCAAAGATTTGTCGGGTATTGGGGTAATAGGAGGGTAGCCAAGTTGGAACGCATCAGGAAAATAAAGCCGGAACCAAAGTTCCAGGAACCAAAAAAGGCCCGACGCGGCGGTATCTAATTTCTTACTATCACTATCTACAAGACAGGTACTAACCCTAGAAAGACCTTCAAAAAGATTGGCTAAGAAAAGGGTGCCAAGCGAAAAGAAATGACCTGAAGCTATATGAATAGCTAGGTCAAGATGGGAAGGAAGAACGCATTTGGAGGGAGAGACTATGACATACCTACAGAGCCAGAAGAGAAGGAAGGCGACATGTTCGCGGTCGGTCACGGGGTTCCCTGCTGCCCCTTGCTGGTCGATTGCGAATTTGGTCCAACCCCATTCTTTTATCCCAGCTAAGGACTAGCCCGAATGGTCCGCCTCCGGCTCTTGCCCATCCAGGACTCCCATCACAGGGTCCTCACCCACGATGGGAAGATGGACGATCATGGCTATAATCCATGAGAGTCGGGCCTATGGGGCCCGTTGGCAGGAAAAAGACACCCATCTCTAGGTGCCAGAAGGCTGCCATCCCTAGGAGCACCTTCTCGTGCAAGTGTAATGGAAAAGTGGAAAGGAGTATCGCCTGGTCGATCTGTTGGCGTTGGCAGGAAAAAGACACCATGTTGTACCAAGTGCGATAGGGATCCTTAGGGTCCGTCAAATGAATTTTGATGCTGTCATGGACGGCGAAGGGGTTTCCCGCTTCGAGCACCTCCCTCATCCGACTGGAGTCTTCAGGAGTCGTACAGTATGGGCGGATGGTAGGAGTCAATACCTTCGTGGCAACAAAAGACACTTCTGGGACGGTTCCGTCAAAGGGAAGATGAGAGGTTTTCGGAAAGTATTTCACGATAATGGGTGCGTGAAATGAGGAAAGTTGATGGACAGGTTTTTAAAAGAGATAAGGAATCATGATTGCAAAATGGGGTATTTAAAACCGTATTTATGTGATGGGAACAGAGTCAGGCCAGCACTGTTACATAGGTTGCAGACTTCTAAACGTCCTGTCACGCGGCGATTGAGAAGTGACGTTTGAAAGTTCGATGGCAGCAGGGCAAGTTGTTGAGTATGAAATTTATTATTAAGGTAAATGACCCAAAATAAGATGAGAGGTGGGCAATCTTTGGGCCCATCAGGTGGTTATGGGTTTTTCGAGGTAGTCGGTTGGCCTGCCGTCCGTCCAAGGAGCCAAGGGTTATTTTGGGTAGGAGTTCGAGGGCTAAGTGGTCGGTTGGGCCAGCCGCCCATTTGAAGAGATAAGGTGTTCAGAGGCGGTCGGCCGAGCCAGTTGGGTTCTGTAACTAGCGGGAGCGGTTGGCGAGACGGTTAAGACACGCGTAAGAGTAATATGTGGGGGCGGTTGACGGCAGTTCCTGTAACCGACCAGGTGACGTTTTAAAACGTTTCCTTAGGGAATATTTAAAAATTCAGGTCCTTTCTGGTAAAAAATCTTCAAAAAAAAGAAAAATTAATTGCAAATTTCCTTTTGGGGATCACTTTTTACTTTCATGCATTCACTGCTTTGTGCTACAAATAATTTTTTCATTCTAGTTCGATAATATTTTCGAATTTTACTTTGTTTTGTTGAAAAATAGATTGTGAATATTATTTGTTCACAATGTGAATTGCTACCCAAGTATGTCATTCACATGTTTATTTATTGCATATACATTCATGTATATATATATATATATGGGATTGGCAGTTTAGACTATGTCATATATTGTTAGCTCATGTATTATACTGCATGGGCATGGGTAGAGCTATTAACGAGTCGAGTCGAATTTTAAGTGTTAGTATTTGTTCATTAACGTTCATGAAACAAGTTTCGTGTTTGTTTGTTAAGCTTTTGAGTTCATTCATAGTGTTCAAGCTCGGCTCGTTAAGAATTCTTATTGTTTGAATTTGTGTTTGTGTTTGGCTCGTTTATGTTCGATTAAACTCGTTCGAACTTATTTATCTCACTTTTGAAATTTTAAAATTATTTTATTTATTTATAAATTATAATATTATATGTATATAATATTTATAATAAATATATTATTTTATCGAATATTTGCGAACAATGTTTGAATTCATTCGTTAATCAAACAAGTCTATTTATGTTGTTCAGCTTGTTAACGTTCGCGAGCTTTAATCGAACTGAACCGCATTCACGAACAGTTCGATTTGTTTAGTAACTCTAGGCATGGATCAACGGCTGATCTAGTTGGTATAATATTGATTTGATATAGAGAACCACTGTATATTTATATATATTTCAGCATATTTATTATAATACAATATATATTATATTACAACTCACATATATTATCTTGTGACACAAGATCCGTTGAGATACATTCGGCCGGATCAACATAGAATCTTCTGCAGCTGTATTGCATGTATATGTTAAAAATCAGTGGACTATATAGATTATTTTATGTATCGTTCTTAATAATTAGGGGTGATAATTCGGTTAGGACCGACTTTTTTACTCATGCTGGGGTGGGGTAGTACAGCCCAACAGCCCAAATTGCAATTGGGCCTAAAAAGGTCTGCCCAGTTTAAAATCGTGCGGTGCTAACTTATTTTTTTAAAAGAAAATTTAAATTATTTTGTTGTTTTTTTTAAATTTAAAATTATTTTGTTAATTTTTTTTTTAGTTTTAAATTAATTTATAACAAAATATATTTTAGTCACAAAATTAGAAAACTAAACCCACAAACAAATATGGTAAGACTTTTATTATAATTTTGTCTTAGCTCAAAAATTGAATATTAATTTTAAAAATTAGACTGAGCTAAGTACGGGTCGACCTTCAGGTCAGGCATAGCCCGAATTTTTCGTGCCAGGCTTTTGGACCGACCGTGCTTATTTTTTTGCGAGAGGAGGCTAAAGATAATGTTCGAAATTCTTCATGGGATCCCATGATTGTTGACCTTGTTGGTTGAAGAATCGACAATCCAGTCGGGTCGGGTCGGTTCACCCTGGTATTATCGGATCGGGTATATGGGTTGGCGTGTCAACAGTTTTCCGGCCGGTGCCAGTATGTAGATTTTGTAGATTGGTAGGGTTACTTACACGCATATATATTTCAAATAGTTTTTCAACCAAAATATGTCAATCATCTCTAATTTACATTTTTTTTTCTCTCCTGATATTCTCTTTCAATTAAAAATGAACACTATCATACTTCAAGTAAATATAGAAGAAACAGAGTCAATAATAATAAATAAATATACCGACCAAATAATAAGAATAATAATAATAATCATCATAAAGCAGATAATATACGGCTTAAGCTAAACTTAAGCTAAGCTGAAGGTCTAATAACATCCTGCGTTTTGTGTCCAACCTCACGCGCCTTCTGCCCCACGTGCCCCGCCGCGTCATGCACGCGCCACCTGGCGTGCTCCAGCTGCTCCGGCAAGCTTCGCCGCATCTCCCTCAAGTAGTTCATCAGCCACGTCACCGACGACAGCGCCGTCAGCCCGAACGCGCCGGCCGTCAGGAATCCGGCCACCGCCGCCGCCAGGGCCAGGGCGGCGGGGACCAGAATAGGGCTGAACACGATGAAGAGCGGGGTGGTCAGGGCCAGCCCGATTAGGGTTCCGGCGAGGGTCAGGCCGGCCAGAAAGAGGAGGACGGCGTCGACGGGGAAGAGCGTCACGACGGCGAGGATTTGGAAGGTGGAGGACGGCGACGGCTGGCTTGTCTTGTAGTTGTAGGGGCGGTGCTGGTAGCGTGGCTCGGCGGCGGCCATGGCGGTCGGAGAAGAAGATACAGATACTGCAATATGTAATTATGAGCGGCGGAACTGAACTTATAGAGAAGGAAAATGTGACACGTGGAAGTCTTTTGAGACACGTGTTTGATGCCTTGAGCATGCATGTATAGACAAAATACGTGTGTTTATTCGGTAGATTTCGATGAATTTATTAGTAATATTTATTAAAATAAAATATTTATTTTTATATTTAAATATTATTTCTTTTGTCTCATATTTATCTATCTATTTATTTTTTATAAAAAATTTTAAAAATATTAATATTATATTAAAATATAATAAAAATAAAAAGTAAAAAAAATTAAATTATATTGTATGATATAAATGTAATAATATTTGTATAATATATTATAAATTAAAAAAATATTTATAATGTTATATAGATAGTAACGTTATTACAAAAAAAATAAATATTTTATTATAGGGCATATGAAAATAGAAAAAATGAATAGATTATTAAGATACAGAACGAATATATTAATAATTATTTATTTTAATGAAATAATTTTTTTAATTTAAATTTTTATTATTTAAATTAAATATGAATAAATGTTGTCTCCATATCCGACTACCAAATTGGAGAGAGTAGTATCAACGTCGAACATCTCCTACTCCCATTCTAACAATTAAAATTAAATATATTTGTACTGAGACCGTTTTACCCTTAAATAAATATACTATTAATATTACATTTAATAAAATACAAATTAGAAAAGATATATATTTCCCGAAGACTTCCTCTTACAATTGATTTCAAATTGTGATTCATAGTAGTTTATATGATTACTATTATTATTTTTATTAGTCTTATAAGTTGAAAATTGTATACTTTCAAATATGCAACATTTTTAATATATATTATAAATTTATTTTAATTAATTTTTCAATTACTTCAATTAAATTTTCATAAGTATTATTTATAATAACTCGAATTTAATTTAAATATATTTGTTATATTAAAAGAGAAAGTTAATAATAATATGGGTTATTGCGGGGCATCTTTAGAAAAGGGTATTTAGGACATTTTATTTCAAATTCTATCCGAAAATTCAACCACTCTCATTAAAAAAAGCGTGTAACTCACGCACTGTTAAGTTAGATGGAATGGAGATTTTTTGCAGAGTTTTCAATAACACAAATATAAATTATGTAAAAAAACATAGCATAGGGTATTTTATGCAAATAAATTATAATACAGGTGTATGCTATGTATTTTACCCTAAAATTAATATATATATTGTGAATTTGTAATATATTTTTATGAAAATTGATTGTTGAAAGTGTCCCATATTAAAAAAAAAAAAAATTATTCTATATCCGTTTTAATTCAAATTACTCTTTTTCGTTTTAATTTAAATTATTTTTTATTATTTTTGTCTGTTCCATTTTAAAACATTTATTTTTTGTTTTAGAAAAACCAATCATACAATAATATAAAAATATCCTTTATTTTGAATTAAATTACAAATATAAGACTACACATATAATTATTTTATATATAAAGTCAAATAACAAAAATATCAAATTTTAGACACTTCAACTAACTAATAAAATACTCCCTCCGTCCCGCAGCAAGGTTGCTACTTTCTAATTTTTATCCATCTCATTGCAACGTTGTCATTTTCTATTTTAGTAACTTTTACATATACCTAAAATAACAAATACTCTCGTATTTACATTTTATTAAAAAATGCTCTTTCACATTTTTACACAAATAACAAAATTAATTCACATTTAATACCCACCTCATTCATATAATACCTACCTACCTATCTAATATCTATCCACCCCACCTTCACTTTTCGTTTCGATTAGGGTTTCTAACCCTCGCGCACCTCTTCGCCGTCGTTGTTGCCCCTTCTTTTCCGGCTCATTTCTCCGGTGATGTCGTTCGCCCCACACTCCCTTGCAGCAACAGAGGGCCGTTCCCCCCTCGAGAGGAATCGTTTATGATATGTGGATGAGTTTTTTGAGTTGTTTAGCGATTTTGACGATTTATCCAAATCGGTTGTCGTCGATGCCTTTTCTGCCCTGATTTCTCTGGATCTACTACTTCGAACACTAATCACATGGTGCTCCATTGATTCGTCCATGATTCGGAGCCGGAGGTTGATTCCAGCGTGGCCCTTGTTCAAGCCAAGTGATCGCTGTTTCGGAAACCTTCTTCATTGACCCAGGGTAGGATCGAAGCGGCTCCATTGAATTGCTCTTCTACCCGTGAAGTTGTCGTCGATATGCTTTGTAAATTCTGCCCTCTCGCCGTCGAGTCACTGGAGTATCGTTTAAGAGGTTAGTAGATTTTATTTTCTTTTAAACTATAAAAATGTTGCTCTAAAACTTTCTTTTGAGCGTAGCTTGTTGATTTTTGTTAATAAACTTACTAATCTTCGTTTGTTGTTGTTTGTAGGCCAAACTAAAAATCATTTTGGTAAATGATTTACTATCCTAGATGTTGGGTGGTTTGATCTCTACAACTGAGGTATAAATCGATATGCTTGTTATGAAAAATCGTGGCTTTATTGATTGTCCTTGATTATGTGTGTGCAAAATCTGTATGGCAAATCATTGTTGGTTTTTGGTGTGAATATCCTGAAATGATGAAATTGTTAAGCCATTGGTGACTCGAATCAGTAGGTGTCTCACTGTTGCATAAAAACGAATTTTTTGGAGACTTATACCTAATATAAAGTCATCGTTCGTTCAACTTGAGCATGGTCCCTTATGTGATTCAATACATTTCTTAACAATGTATTAAGTTCAAGCATTCAATGATCTATATTTTGAAAGAATGCTTTAACGTTGTCCCGTGTACTCGATGATGATTTTATAATCTGAGAGCGAAAGTCTCATGTCCCTAAATTACCCATTGATCATGAACAAGACAACATTTTAAACAAGATGTCCTGGAAAAATATAATGCTCTACCCATTGAGTTCCCCGATCGTTAGATTCTTCGTTCTCGTCATTTGAGGTAATGAGTTTTATATCTACCTTCAAATTCATTGTTTTTAATGATATATTTATAGATGTAGTTAGAGAGGGAAATGAAATTGTAATTTGGAGGGATATTAAACTTTTGTTACGAGGAAAACTCAAAAGTAATTGCATGTTTTTTTTTTTTTCAGGTGAAAAATACAGGGAGATGATGTCATTGTTGTTGTGTCACTGTCCGTGACCAGCAAGAGGTGCATGTTTGTGAAAAAAAATGGTGTATTTGCAGCACTTAAGTGCATTATGCATGTTTGTATTAAACATGTATTAAACATCTATATATTTTAAAATTATGTCTGTTTGAATTAATTATGTATTTAGTAATGTATATTTTAAAATTAAATTATTGTTTGCATTAATTAATATTAGTGTACTTTCTAACACTTTATCAATGACTTAAGGGTATTTTTGTCATTTCTTATTGTTTTGTACTATCCACCAATATAATACTAATATACAAAAAAAACAACGTGCCAAAAATAAATGGCAATATTCCACTGGGATGGAGGGAGTATAATTATTTTTTAATCTATTATAAATTATCAAATGATCCTTCTGATTTGGAATTATTAGAATTAAGGGGAGTATTATGTATTTATATTAGAATTTTTTTAACTTATAAGGCCAATTTACTAATTGAGTTAATAACGGATGATTTTAAGTTAAAACTATGAAATTTTTCTCCGTTTGCAACTCTCAAATTCAAATCTTTCCCATTTTATATTTTTATTTTGGTTGTAAATTATCGGCTTCGTGCTGATATGAAATATAAGCGAGCAATATATGACTTCCGCAGTATGAGTATATATTAATATAATACAAATATATTATATGAATTGACAATATATCGGCAGCGGTTATGGTGTTGAAACTATTTTAGTCGGTCAGTACAATATTGATTTTATTGTAACCGTTAGATTGAATATTTAGTATATAATTAAGGTAATATTTGTAATTTTATAGAGAAAAAGAAGATAATAATTAGAAAAAAAAATATATAAAAAATAATAATAATAAAAAAAAAAATAACTATGAGGGCTAAGTGTATGTATGTATGGCATTTACATACTTCATTTAGCTCCAACGGTCTCGTTTACTTTTTGCGTATTGATCTTTAAATATTAATTATTATATCAAAATATAATACAAATTAAGAAAAAAATTACAAAAATACTTCAATTAGTGTCTTATAATATTGATAGAATAACATTTATAAAAAAAAAATAAAATTATATATATAAGAATATTTACAAAAGATAAATGTGATCCTTAGAGGTTGACTTACTTATGTGATATTTTATTTATCAGATTTGTTATTTATATTATAAATGATATTAGTTGTTTGATAAAACTAATAATAAATAGTAGCCATTAATGTGAAAATATTATGATAACTTTTTTACCGACACACGATAAAAACATATGGTATGACAATACAATATCGATGTTTCTAAAATCTAGTTTTTTTATGATCAGTAAAATATATATTTTCAATTATTTTTTATCATCTCTATTGTGTTTATTTTATTTTATTTGTATGTATTTTTACATATGAAATCATGCTCATTTTAATAATTTGACATAGGTAAAAAAAATTAACAATAAAAAATATGTGTTAAGAAATAAATAAAACCATTAACCCCATGTGCATTTCCAGCCATTAAACAATCAAAAAAATAAAGATCACTTTTATATTTTCAGATTCACGTTTGAATTAGTTATATAAAATTACTAGATATAATTTGAAGTAAAAAAAAAAAAAAAAACAAAAAAAAAAAAAAAAAAAAAAACCAAATGCACCAGCCGGGAATCGAACCCGGGTCTGTACCGTGGCAGGGTACTATTCTACCACTAGACCACTGGTGCTACTTATACATTTGAAAATTTATAAAATATTTAGAATATTGTTATTTCATATTTTTAGCTTGAGTTTCTTTTTGTTATAAAAAAACGTTTAAACAATATAAATAACATGTTTTACATTAAACTATTGACTTTAATTAGATATCACTTTATTTTTTTAACACTATTTTTAAATTGTGATTTCTCAAAATAATACATTTGAAATTAACAAGATAATTAACGAATAGTACTCTCTATGTCCACATATAAAATATATTATTTAAAAAATAATAGTATTTTAATTATAATGTAATAATATTTTAATAGTAGTATTTTAGTATTTAAATTATAATAGATAGTTAAAAGCAACGAGCACATCCTAGACAGAGGGAATATTTTATTAGGTTGGGTGTAAAAATATTTTTAAAAGACTAAAATATTCATATTTTATATAATTATTGTAAAATAGAAAGATAATTTTGTAAAAAAACGAAGAATTGATTAAAAAAAATAAAACTATTATTTTGACACACAAAAATAACAAAATAAAATTATTATTTTGGAGCCAATGGAGTAATAAAAACACAGTGAACTTTTAACAAAAGTAAACTTATAAAATGCTCAACTTAAAATAATATATTTTATATATAATGTTTTTTTGACACGATTCTCATCAATGTTAACTTAAAATATCAACTTAAATTTAAAAGACAACCGAACTACTCTAAATCATCCTCAATGTTCATAGTGACCAAAAAATGGATACCGAATACCAATTTGTCGATACATTCACCAATTCTTCATTGCAGTTTCTGCAGCAGACTTTCCACCCGAACTTTCTGCTGGCCGGGACTCATCGATTCTGTTCTCTTTATCGTATTTGCAACAAGAACGGTGACGGACGGGGTAGCAGCATTCACCTAAAAATAACAAATGATCTCAAGATTTTATGCTAAAACCTGTACGAGGTATACATTTTGCTAATCTGGAATCGGAAACATACCCAAATTCGACCGTTCAAACCAACAGCAATCTCGAAAGCAAGTTTTTTCCCGAGAGTCTCGAGAACTGTACATGGTGGAGTGCTCAGCAAACTGAAAAGTGAAAAGAATAAGCTTAGAAAAGTGTTCGACATTTGTGGATGTAGTTATGATGTTCATAGGTGGATGAGGTATCTTACGATCGAGATAATCCGGTTGATGATTCGAACATGAACCCATCTTTAAGAGGACCGTACTCTGCTGCTTTCCCAGACGCTATACACAACAACACAATTTTATTGAAGATCAAGAAAAAGGAATATAATGCGAAAAGCATTTAGATTTTTTTTTTTTTTTTTTTGCAAAATTGCCTATAATTACACGGTGGTTTCAAAACTCCCATATACATTGAAAATTGTATGGCGCTTCCTTATATTTTAAAAAAATATTGCATGAAATCCCCGCCATACAGAAAATATAGATGAAAAATCATCTCATCACACAGAAAATATAAAAAAGGATTTTATGAAATATTTTTTAAAGTATAAGGGCGTCATATAATTTTTAAAGTACAAATATTTATGCTGAATTTCAAAACTATAGGGAAAATATGGACAATTTTACCATTTTTTTAACATGGGATTTCGTATACTCATTGAAGAAGGAAAATAGACATACCATCCATACATGACAGCTCGGGATTCATGCCGGTGTTTGCCTTCACAACCCGAACATACAACAAAGTTCCTATCTGAAGAACATTCAATTTACAACATGTAAGAAAGTAAAACGAAGCTTAAATAAATAGATTTAGAAAAAAGAACGGAATATTAGAGCAACATGTTTCAAACATGCTGCAACAACAAAAACAATTTTACCAAGAAAAAAGACATCGACACATCAACACAAGATATTGTTTAGCCAAAAACATAAATCCATTTACCATTAAAATGGGGTGGATGAAAGATCCCGCTCCCATTAAATAATCTTATGTAAATAAGCATGCGATTATTATAATTCTTTCTTGCAAACACAAAATGGTATTCATTCTATCATGCATAACTATTAAGATAAGCTTGTTTCATGACTTACAAAGTTAATGTTAAGTAGGCACACACTTTGCACACCGGGGAATATAGATTTTCACCTGAAATTTGGGAATATTTCTCCTGGTTCCACCTTCAAAAGCGAGGACGGGGAGAAATGCCAAGGTGGGGCCTTTTATATCCACGAGAAAATTCTGTTCATATATATCACAAACGTTCATAGCTAACAAAAACATGAGTTGTCACCCAGAAACAACAAAATCGACAAACAAATGAGACAAACTAAGATGCCTTTCATAAAAAACATAAAACTACACAAAAAGATGAACATAATCAGAAATAAAGAACAAAAAAAGTTCAAAAATGGATCAGTGAAATGGATAGTTGATATATTACTAGTAAAAGGATTGATAAATCAAACAGAGTGAAGCAAAAGATGGAAACACAGCAAGATTCTTGATATTGATAATAACTCAAAAGATTAACATAGAAAACAAACTACAGAAACAAAGGAAACCGTTATCTTCAAGATTACTTAGTAACGCATAAACACAGAGGTTAAACAAAAAGTTAATCACACAAACGATTTAAGCCTTATTATTATTGTCTTTTTGTTTCACATACTCCAAACAATTTCCACTGACACTCCAAACATTTTATGGGTATAAGCGTTCAAAATTGAGAGTTTCAGAAATTCATAAACCTATCAAACAAGGTTCTTAGGGGTAAGACAATTTCAGGATCATAAACTACATAAATATCTTATGTAGTGTTACAAATTACAAATGTTCACAAGCCAGAGTAAATTAAATATATGCATATATATACAAAACAAGGCAAAACAAACAGGATAATGCCATCTTGACAGGACATAATTGGAAAATGTGTACTTACATCGGCTTTTGTATCGGCGACTATTCCGAGTACATTATCCCCAACACTTGGTACATACTGCCAGCACAAAAACAAAACAAAAAAACAAGCTTAAAAACAACATGTTAGCTCTTAACATACACAAAGGTAAAATATTGGACACAATCAAAATGGAAGGCAAAACATTTGCAAGCATCACATGCCCAAAAGCTAGAAACTTAATGTTATAGTTAAACCATGTATTTCTTTTATTTGAAAGTAACATATCAAGAGCACTGTACCATAGAGAGCTCAAAAACTAAATAAGTAAATAAAATCTGCCACCGAAACCTATAAAGTACAAAGATTGTAATCGCTTCTCTTCCTGGTTAGTAAGAAAATTATGAGATGGATAAAGGTGTTTTACACTAACAGCCATGTCGGATTTGTGTTTATTGCTGATACACAGGTTTTGTCGGCAATTGTGTGTTTAACAAATTTGCTAGGAACAGAAAAAGGGCAATTGCTTTCCAACTGTAATTAGAATAGTATGAACAACCAGTTTATAACTGCCTTCTAGGAATTAGCATGGTTACATAGCTCGACATGTTCTTTCATTTTTTCAGCTTTCTAGCACTAACCTCAAACAAGAAATTCACAAACCAACGAATCAAAAATCATGATATCCACTTCATTCAAACACACGCCCTAAATATTCATCACATCATAATCAAAATGTACTAAATTCAAATTTACGACAGTTATGTATAAAAGCTACACCAACAATCACACTAGTAAAGACACTTAATCCAAAGCGAGCCAAAACTCCACACGAAATCGGAATTGCTTTTAGATTGAGCGAAACTCACCCGCTTATCAGTGGCTTCAAACAAGAAATTCACAAACCAAAGAATCAAAAATAGTTTTTATCCTAAATATTCATCATATCATAATCAAAATATACTAAGTTCAAATTTACTACAGTTTTAGCCCAACCCATTGACGTTATTCACAATCCGATTGAATAAAACTACACCTCTTAATCCAAAGTGAGCCAAAACACCACATAAAATCGGAATTTCTTCTACATTGAGCAAAACTTACCCGTTTATGGGAACTTTCTACCCAGTACTTATTTGGCTTTGAATACCTCAATGTCCCAGCTTTCATTACAGATATAGCATCACCATCCTGAAAATAGGGACAAAACTCATCATTAAGAATCTGTAGCAAATTTAATTCAATCAATCATAGACAAAAAATTGTATAAACTAATTGCTCCATAGACTGAAACAAAGCAAATTAGTCGAAGAATAAAAACCTGACGGAGACCGCCCCCAAGCTTGATAGTTTGGTCAGTCATTTTAGAGAGGTCCAACACCACATCTCCAGGATACTAAATAAATAAATAAAAAGTTTGAAAATTCAACAGTAATACGCCTAAAATCTACACATCAGAGTATATACATGTATGTATACGCATTCAAATGCACTCGTACCACTTCCTGACCAACAAAGCTTGAAGAGGAAATCGAGGGTTTTGATTCCATTCTTCCACCGTTCCTCTGCCAAAATTGAAGAAGTCAAGAACAACTCGAAGAACCGCCATTAATGACATTTAAATTAAGGAGTAAAAAATCCAGAGCCAAACCTCAGATTAAGCTGGAACTAAAATCTTAATCACCGGTAGCAGCAGCAGGGTAGAAGAAGAAAGAGGAGATAAAAAAAAAAAAAAAAATTAATAACCTCACCGGCGACAGCAACAGCAGCGACAGATTGAGCGGAGCCGGAGAAAAGAAGAAAGAATAGGAGGGGCAAAATAGAGAGACAAGGGTGGGGGCGGGGTAAGGGCGGCGGCGGATGTTTTATAGAAGGACTGTTTAGATGTAATAAAGTTAGGAAGAATGTGATTTAGATTTTAGAAATTTGATGGATTTATATGCGTTTAGATAATAACAGAATTTAGATTTAAAATCTAATGGATTTATATGCATTTAGACGACAATAACATATTTTAGATTTTATATATTGATTTAAACGAATATTTATATATTTAATTGGATTATTTATAAATTAATATAAATTTTATAAATTTATAAAATAATTTTTTAATAATTTATATTTTTTTTAATTCAAAATAATTTTTATTTTAATACATTTACAATTGTTTTATCTTACCGTTGATATATTATTTTTTAATATATTTAATTTTATTTATTTTAATTTAAAATTTATGAAAATTTTTGTTATTAATTATTAAAAATTATAAAAATATTATAAAATATTTATTTTTATTTTTTAATTTGAAAAAAATATTTTTATTAAAAAATAATAATATTTTTTATTAAAATTATGTAAAATACTCCCTTCCGTCCCAATATAGTTGTTTTGTATTTTCATTTTTGTTTGTTCAAAATAATTGTCTTGTTTATTTAGTAATTGTGTCTCCATTTTATAACGAAATTATTATTACTTTTTCAAACTACCTATAATTATTACTTTAATTTACTTTTTAAAATCATTCAAAAAAAAGTATTTTAGTCTTTTATATTTTACTTTATACATATTTTCAATTAAATATTATTATTTTTTAATTCTCATGTCCACTCCCAGTAAGGCATTTTTTGTGGGGAGGAGAAACTATAAAATAAGAATTCTTTTGTTTAATGTAAATTTATATAATAAAAATATATATAAATAAATTAATAGTATTTATCTTTTCTATTAGATTTAATTTTAATAGATTTGTATATTTTACGGATAAAATAATTTATATGTAATAATTAATAATAGTAATTATTTTAAATTTTTTAAAAAATTTAAAATAATTAATAAATACTACAATAAAAATATATTTATATGTATGAAATAAAAAAAAACAAATTGAAGTGAAAAAACTCTTCTAAAATATTGGATAGATTAGTTTTTCAAAAATTAGTTTTTTAGTCTAAAAAAATTAATTTACCAAACACGTAAATTAACTTTTCAACTGATCAAACAACTAAAAGTTATTTCCCAAATACCATCTTAGTCTACTAACCTCCATTGCTCTGGGTACATTCAACCTAACCTTCATTGTTCCGCGTACATTCAACTTGAAATGTATCAAAAGGTCTCCGACTTCAAGGTATGTTTGCAATTTTGTTCGAGTTTGTGTTTGTATTAGAGTTCATGTATGCGTTGGAGAACAAGAGCTTAGTTGATAGTAGCGAAGGCGACGTCAGACGAACAACTATTACGTACAAGAATAGGAGCTCAGTCGGGAGCGGCGGTGACAACAACGGACAAAGCAATTGTTATTTGTGTTTATGTTAGAGTTTGCGTTCGAGAACAGAAGCTTAGTTGAGAACGGTGAAGGCGATATTGGACAAGCAATTGTTATGTGCGAGAATAAGAGCTCGGTCGGAAGCGACGGCGGCAACGACGGAGCAAACAAGTGTTATTTGTGTTTACGTCTTCTGATTTTTGTTTAATTTTCTCGTTAAACTCAAATTGTTTGATGCGATCTCATTTGACTTTGAAAGGATGATCATCTACTATAAAATTAAAGTATAATTTGTATTTACTTATATAAAATACATCTATAGATAAAACAAAAATATTCAAATAATTAAATAAAAAATATATATAGAATATTATATTTTTATAAAATAAGTATATATGAAAATATTATATTATTAATAATATATAATAATTATAGTATAATATTATTTTTATATATTAGTAATTTTAATTTTATAATATATTATCAATTAATATATTAATTTATTTTAATTGGTTAAAATTTTGGTATAATATTATTATATAATGTTATTATATGTGTTTATGTATTATTAATTAAACAAATTTAATGTGAAAATGACAATGGAATAAAATGTATATGAAGAAAATTAATGTTTCATTGTTCAAGGATAACCTGATGACGTGTGGAGAGAACTTGTGACGGTAAAGTATGATGTAATATAAAAATAACGACGTGTAATATATTGTGATTGTTAAGGGACGGAGAGAGTAAATAATGACATGTACTTCTCCGTCACAATTTATGGTGTGTTTGTTTGGAAATTAAGATTTGAATAATAAAAATTTTGAATTGAGATTGATACGATATTTTGAATGTAAATTTAATTTTTAATAAAATATAAAAAAAAATAAAAAATAAAAATTCGATTTGATCTTTTTGAAAAAAAATTAATAAATAATAAATTTGGAGAAAAATTCCCCAGACAAACACACCTTTAATGTATCACTTTAGTCCGTCGTACTCAAAATACTTATCATTTTCTTTATTTTAATAATAACTTTAATTAAATACATCTTTTATACTTCCACTTCAACACTATTATTTTTTAAAGAGAAAAAATTAATTTTGGTTATAATATAATCAAAATTTACCAATTTTAATTCAATATAAAAAAATTATCAATTTTGGTTTCATTATAAATTATTTTTAATCTAAAATTAAAAATAAAATTAATAAATTTTTTATATTGAAATCAAAATTAATAAAATTTTTGCATATATTAAAACTAAAATTGACTTTTTTTCTTTTTTTAAACTATTTGATTGGAACATGCCCGGGTATATCAAATATCATAAAAGTTTTTGCCCTAACTTCAAATCACATTCCCAATTTCTTGCTCGGCTTATTCTTTCGTTTCTTTCTTTTTCCTTCATTAATAAAACTAAACTCTCAATCGTCGACGGCGTCGTCATCCCTTCTTCATTTTCGTAAGTTCAATTCTTACACTATTTTTATGAATTATTCTGTTATCAAAGTTTCAATGCCGACTGCCATGGTATTTAGGGTTTGAATTGTTTGATGCTAGTATAATTAACTGTTTTAATCTTTATTTTTGTGTGATTTTTGAGGAACAGTAGAATTTCCTATGGATCATTGAGAATAATGCGTTAATCAACTGTTGCATCTTTGATATTTTTACCCTGTCTATCTGATTTTCCTTTTCTATTTCCTGTTTTTTTTTTTGGTTAGGAATCTCTGTTTCATTTTTCTTCCTTGAAATGAAATATTTCCAAATTATTTCAGTTTGTTCATTTATTTCCTTTATAGTTGTTGAGTATTCGACTCGTTAAACCTAATGTAGGATGCTATTTTAATAGCATACTATGTATTATATGTGGTTGATTGATGGACTTACCTAATGCCCTATTTGGATGGGCTTTTGGTTTCTGTTTCCGAAAAAAAATTTATTCATGTTTATATTGTCTTTTACTCAATAATTATATAGTTGATAATTTAATATTTTAAAACATAATTTATAAAATTAGAAAATAATGTGTATAGTAAAATTTATTTAAAATTAATTATATTTTCATTTTTAATTAAATTAAAATTAAAAATATAATTTATATATGAATTAAAATAAAAAATATATTTCAATTAGGATAGATAATTTAAAATTATAATTTATGAAATTTTAAAATAATTTAAAAAGTTTAATAATTGACTTCTGCATAATTTTTAAGTCAATTCAAACGGGCAATAAGACTGGAAATTCTAGAGCCACTTGACTCAAACTTGATTTAACTTTCCTCGATAGTCTGTGAGTTGGCAAGATTATGCTATTTTTGTAAGTTCAAAACACTAATTTTGAATTATGTGCTTGTTGGACTAGTTCTAATCTTATAGTTTTGTATTTTAGCTTTGGTCTTTGGTTTAAATAGTGGTTAGATGTGGTAAAGCATTTTTATAGGGAATGGTGAGAATTACATAATAAAGAAATTGAAATAAAAAAAAAAAGACTCGACGAGGTGCTTTTGTTTTCATATTATTTGCAGATTGAACAAGAAAAAGAATCCTTATGGCATCTAAACATTTCAGTTGGGAGATTTTGTAAATATTGTGTTTGGGCATTTAAATGTTGGAGTTGGAGACTTTGAAAAGTTGTGATGAATGATGATTATATTGTACATTAGTTATTTTGAAAGTTTTATTTTTTTGAACTTTATTATGCTGTTATTTAAAAAAACTAAAATAAGATAAGTTTGATTGCATGCTTGGATTTTGAGTTTTGGTTTTAGATAGTTAAAAAAATTAAATTTAATTAATTGTATGATGTGAGTTTTTAATGTAAAATTTATTTTTAATATAGTACTATATAAAAAAAAAAGTGTTTAATTTGATTTTTTTTTACGGAAAAATTTATTAAATAGTAGAAATCAACCATTAGAAATTTATAAATTTATTTTCACTTTCCTTTTGTGGTTGTCATCTAAATTTATTTGCACTTCCCTTTTGTGGTTGTCATCTAAATTTATTCTTATTTCATTTTTTAGTAAAAAATACCACTTTTTTTTTTTTTTTTTTTTTTAACTCTAGAAAGTAAAAGTTTATATTATTATCCAATTTTTGTAAAATTCGTGTCCGGTCAAATGAACACACAATTGGATGACGAATGAAGTATATTTTTTAATATTGATAAAAATCTTGTGGGTTGGCTGTTTGGCTCTGCGGTCTCCTCACCAGCCAATGGGGTGCTGAATAAGAAAAGTTGTGGAGCAAAATCAAAATCAGGGACTAGGGCTAAGAAGTGGAAAGTGACCCATTGGGTCCACCTGAAAATTTTTAAAATAATAATAGTAAAAATAAAAAGGTGTAGTATTCATGTCGATTGGTTATGGCTTTATCCAAGTCTGATCTTTGTCAAGTTTCCTAACTTATCTGCTCCAAAATTAGGTAACACCTCTTGTGATTTTATTTTGATTTGTGCTTTTATTTTGATTTGTGCTTTTTAGATGAAAACAGTTTGCTAGCTGGCGTAATCTCATACAAGCTGCAAATGCATCAAACTTGTAAGTTGAGATGTTCCCTTTCATTTTAACCTCTTATTGCTTAAAGAAGAATAATTTTGGGAATGTTTTGAGGAGGCATTTGCAGCCATTAGGATCATTACAACAATTTTTAGCATGTTGAAAGTGATGTGATTTCATTTTGATGGTGGCTAAAGGGGAAGCAAAGTGTGGAAATCTTGGGTTGTGTTTCTTTTTCAGCTTGAATCGGGTTTGGAGGTTTGGATTTTTTATTGAAATAATGTTTCCTGTGATGTTTTGTGAGGGAAAAAATATTCTATACAAATAGCAAAATTGTATAAAAACCGAAAAGAAACTCATCCTTGCTATTTGTTGTTTCTATTGCCATCGCTCTATTCTTACAACATTATTTTTCAACTGTGATTCTCAAAAATAATAATAATAAACAAAAAATATTTTATACAAAAATAATAAAAATTTCAAATACTTACTATAAAAAGTAAAAAAGTCAGTTACAAAAAGTCAAAAAGTGAAACATTCAACATAAATATATTTAAATCATTTCATCTAAAAATACCGGGTGAACGGAGTAATTATATCACCAATCACGTCTATGCTATTTATTTGTCTATGTTAGAGACAATTTGATTAATCAATTTTTAATAAGTCTTGCCTTGTAAAATAGAAGAAAAGCCTTGTTTTTTTGTTTATTTTGACAATAAATGTGGAACATTGTTTGTGAATCTGTTTTTATAGGATCCATTAGGTTTTCTTCAATATAATTGATATTAACTTTGAATTTAATTTTTAATTGAAGTCTTCATTATTTATTACTTTACATAAAAGTCTTCAAAACCTTTGTTTGCTGATTGCTTTATCTATTCATTGCAGAATTAGAATGGCATTCACTCTTAGGACGTTCAAAAAATCTAACTTTGTTCATAGAAAGAAAGATTTTTATAATTTCACTGGAGAACTTATACGTGGGGAACCATATTTTTCCCTAGAAAAATTTGCTTCTCATCTAGAGAATTGTACGAATGTCGATTCGTTGAGAAAGTTGCATGCTTGCTTGGTTACTCGAGGGCTTGAATATAATGGTTACCTAGGCTCAAAGTTGATTCATTCTCTCGCAAGATTTGCTATTTTGACTGAAACCGGCCATGTATTTGATAAAGTCATCAATGGCGATGATATTTACGTTTGGAATTCAGCTATGGTTGGTTATTTCAAGGGAAGGTACTTCAATGAAGTTCTAGGGCTTTATTTGAATTTGAGGCGGAGAAATATTAGGATTGGTAATATATCAATTGTCTATGGGTTGAAAAGTTGCATGGAATTGGGAATTTATGAGTTTGGAACTAATCTGCAATCAGATTGTTTTAAATTTGGAGTGAGTTGCGATCAATTTGTGTGTTCTTCGTTGATTGGATTCTACTCAAAGTTTGATCGTATTTTGGATGCATCCAAGGTGTTTGATGAAATGCCCGACAAAGATGTTGTTGCTTATACGTCCCTAATTACAGCATATGCTCGCTCAGGCAATCCGTACTCGAATAATGCTTTTACACTTGCCATTGAAATGCAAAGGCATCTTTTCAAACCGAATCGGGTGATGTTGGTGAGCTTACTTCAAAGCGCTTTGCAGTCGGGAGCTCTAGACAAAGGTAGATCAATTCATGGTTACGCTATTAGGAGATGCATTGGTTTTAGAGATGAAATTTTTGAAATGAGTTTAATGAAACTATACTTAAAGCTCGGCGATACTCGCAGTGGTTGCATAGTGTTTGATAGGATGAAGACGAAGATCATTGCTTGTTGGAATGCTTTGATTTCTGGGATGCTTCATTTGGGACGGCCATTTGAGGCTTTGACTGCGTTCAATCAAATGGCTATTGAGAATCATAAGATTGACTTAATCTCTTTATCAAATGGGCTAGTGATTGCAATCAACTTGGGACATTTGCTTTTGGGAAAAGCCATTCATGGTTTTATACTTCGGAAAGAGGTGAATCTTGATCTTGTTGGGACAACAACTTTGATTGATATGTATGGAAAGTGCAGACACTTGTCAGGTGCAGTGAATGTCTTCAACCAAACATGTGTTAAAGATGGTGTTTTGTTTAGCATAATGCTAGCCGGTTATCTATACAATGGATTTTTTAACAAGACGGTGGAAATGTTTCGCACAATGGTAGCTAGGGGTCTCGACGTAACCGCAAGCACAATCATCAACGTGCTTTGCGCATTGTCTGAGTTGAAAGATATTGATACGGCTAAATTCGTTCATGGATGTGTGTTCAGGCAAGGGATGGAGACGAATACGGACATTGCGAATCAATTGATAAGCATGTACTCGAAATGTAACATGATACTATCCGCTCGGGTTGTATTTGACACGACAAGAAACAAGGATAGGGTGACGTGGACATCGATTATACAGAGCTATGTGAGCCATGGCCATGGCGACGAAGCCATTTCATTGTTCTGGTTAATGCAGAGGGCATGTATACGACCGGATTGTGTCACCTTCACTTGTCTAATTCAGGCGGCGAGTCACCTCAAATTCCTAACGGAAGTACATGCACGCTTATATCGTACACATATGCCCGATGTCGCTTTGACAAACTCATTGATCACCGCCTATGGTAAATGGGGGAAGATTGATATGTCAAGGAATTTATTCAAGAGCATGGTTGAAAGGCAACTATCGTCATGGAACACGATGATTGCTGCATGTGGGATGACAGGCAACTACATTGAGGCTATGGAGTTGTTCACCCGTATGAAAAGCACGAATCTTCGCCCTGATGAAGTTACATTCAAGTCAGTGCTCTCGGCTTGCAGCCATGCCGGGTACGTTCAAGAAGGATTGGACATATTCAACTCGATGAAGGAAGAGTATGGTATCATCCCTACAGACGAACATTATGGATGCGTGGTGGATATGTTGGGGCGAGCAGGGCATCTTGAGGAAGCATATGACGTTGTAAGACGGGCTAACAATGGTTCGACCCTTGGAGCATTGCTTGCAGCCTGCAGGATCCATGGGGACTCGGAGATGGGAGAAAGAGTCGGGAAATGGCTGTTGGAGGTGGAGCCGGGGAGTGCCAGTGCGTACTGTTCGGTGTCAAATATGTACGCTGTAGGTGGTAGATGGGATGCAGTGGCTTCAATTGGAGCTGTTGCTAAGGAGAAGGGGCTTAGAAGGGCAACAGGGTATAGTCTTGTCGATGTCAATTGAAATGCATGAAGATTGCCGAATATTGACCCCCAAACTCAACTTGAGGTATACCAGATTGGTTTATACCAAAGGGGTAACAATCGATAGATGAATGTGATGTTTTAAATGAAAAATATAATATTTTTTTATGGGGATTGAGAGATTGAATGGTAAAAGAACAGGTAATAAAAATCCGAAGTAAACAGACTATATGTTTTTAATGTTATTTTCAATGTTACTATTTACAATAAAAATGTGTTTGTCTTTAATTGAATATTTATGTTAATTTTTGAATCTTTTATCTTTTGAATAAAACATTATAGCCCCTATTTGTTTTTTCTTATGCTAGGTGAATTGGAACTGGACCTCAATCATTGCGGAAAACGAAGATCCACACGAAAATAATGGTTGTACTTTCCAGTGGGATGAGATTTCTCAACTCTATTACCATGCCAGGTATATTTTCTTTTCCTCCTCTGTAGTTTTGCAAATTTGATTTATTTTTGCAATGATTTACAGAATTGTTTGATTGTTTATCAACAAGTCTTTTCCAAACAATGGTAGCAATGGTAGCATTGATTAAGAATCTATGAACTTTAGTTTTTTGAATGTTGTGCAGTACTGGATTTTTACCATGATCCACAAGCAGGTTGGTATTACTATTACAGCAGCAGGGATGGACTTTATTACAAATTTGAGGATGGGAATATACTGTGCTTAAAGGATATCAGGTGTTAATTGTTGTTTTTAGGGATCTATTTACTTTATGTTTTGTTTCAATTTATTTATTATACTACCAACACGATTCTTATAAAAGAAAAATACATAATTTCTTCTCAAAATACATCACGGAAAAACCGCTATTCAAAACAAGAACTAAACTCAAGTAAACATACTCTAGATTTCTATCTAAGATATGACCCATTCATAGTTTATTATTTACTAAACATGACTAGTTAATCTTCATGTTTTAAACATGACCTTGAGGTAAGTGTAATCCTTTTAGGGTGTGTTTGTTTGAGGGATTTTGTGGGATTTCTACTATTTTCACAAAATTTTTCCTCCAAAAAAATCAAATCAAACATTTATTTTTTATTTTTTATATTATACTAAAAATCAATTTTACATTCAAAACATCACATCAATTCTTATTTATATCACATCATACAACTATTCAAATTCAAAATTTTTACTATTCAAATCCCAACCCAAAATTCAAACCCTCAAATAAACACACCCTAAAGTTTAATCTGTTTCAGGCTTGGGATCAAACTGAAATGAATGATGCTAATTGTCAAGGAGAAACACTGAAGACTCAAATGCAAGGAAAATAAGTCTCTGAGGTGCCATCACTAGGTGAACTAATATATTTATTGGGGTGTGTTTGTTTGTTTTTGTGATGTTCTGGAGATTTTTTTTTTTTTTTTTTTTTTTTTTAAATGAAAAATAGTTGTTGGATTTATCTTATTTGGAAGGGGGCATGCCAACAAAATACACCCTTCATCTTTTCAATATTTCCCTTATTTTGTGCTGCAGTGCTGATTTTAATTGGAGTATACTTGACCTTGATTGCAATTTACTCTTAACCATAAATGAGTGTTCATTTTTGTTTCAAGAGAAGAAATGGTTTGATTAGGCACCCTCTGTCAAGCCATTGATTTTCCAGCTTGCTAGTTACAGTTTGTGAATGTTCAAAATGATACTTTCTGATACCCCCAAGTGTAAAAGGTCGATATGTTATATATATAGATATCATATTACATTTATTTACATGCTCCTTCATGTGTTCGTAGAGTTCTTTTAATAAAGCCTTGTACGTGAAGCACTAGAAATAAATGGGATGATGGTAGGGATTCAAGCATGGTCCTAGTTCTTTGACGCCATGTTATAATGACCACATCCTCTTAAAAAGTTTAATATAGTTATATGTATCTCTCTCTATATATATATTTTTTCATATATAATTCTCCCTATTAACTTGGATTGCTTGGTCCTCGTTCCTGTACTATGTTTCAGTCTTTCGGAAGCTGCTGTTTCATTATTTAAAAGGCTAAATTGCACAAAACTTACGTGTCGTTTCATAAAAATTGCATCAAATTCTCCCTCATAATTTCATAAACTCTGTGTCTAATCCCTCGGCAGTCCTTATTTAATGGTATTGACCTAAATGCGCCCAAACTGTGGATGAATTTATTTCTAATGTTTAGGGATTTAGAAATTGAAATTCTAAAATTTATTCGCAATTTGGATGCATTTAGGTCAAATACCCTTAAATAAGGACTGTTGAGGGGTTAGACGCAGAGTTTATGAAACCACGAAAGAGTCTGACGCAATTTTAAAAGTACAGGGGATTTGACGCAATTTCATGAAACTGACATGTAGGTTTTGTGCAATTTAGCCTATTTACTTAAAATGATTTCTTGTGTTTTGAGCTAATGATGCAATGTCTTCCACTCATTGTTTGCATCTTTTTTTCTCTGAAATGTTCCTCATCACGATATTCTTTCTATTCTGGATGTGTCTAGACAGATTCCTCAGCATTTGAAGGCAGTGATCACTTATCAGACAGAGTATCCACCTCCTCCACCATCAGAATGGTATGCTCAATCTCGACTGTATTCCATCATTATGCATGATTTATTGCTGATCCTGTCTGCATGCCTAAGCCACAGATCGTCTGCAGGCTGGAAGACACTCTTATAGACATGTACTTATCAGGCTATCCTAATCAAACAACTTATGCTGCTGATTCCGACATGGCAACACCGGTTGAAACTAATGATTCGGGTGTGTTTGTTTGAAGTTTTGGATTTTGAGTTGGAATTTAAATAGTAAAAAATTTGAATTGTAATAGTTGTGTGACCTCATATAAATAGGTGTTGACGTGATATTAGTAAAATTAATTTTTAATACTATAATATAAAAAAATAAAAAATAGATATTTGATTTGATATTTTTGAGGTGAAAAAAATTGATGAATCAAACGAACACACATTGAATGGCTAGGCTAGGTTGGACCAATTGATATTTTAAGACCATTGTAGTAGAACTTGTGGTGTATCATTTGTAAATGCTGAACTGGAGTTGAGTAAATGTTGAACTGGAGTTGAGTATTTGAAATAATAATAATTATTATTATTATTTAATTTGATATTTTTGGAGGAAAAAAAAAATAATAATAAAAACGGTGGTAAATTTTTTTAAAAAAACACAACCTATTATTTAAATATGTATATTAAACTTATGTATGTACTATAAATAGAATATATATATATATATCTCCTTAGGTATTATCTATATTTTAATATAGTGTATTTTACTTCTCTACTTAAAATATGTTTTATTGCTTGAAACTTTTAGATATAGAAGATAAAGAAAAATAATTATATGTATATATATTTTAATTCTCGAGGTAAAATTATAACTTTTAGAAAATTAATAATGTAAAATTTGAATTAAAAGATATTGTGTATGAAATATGTTAATTTACTAGTGATAATGGTGTATTAAAGGAAAAAATAAAAATAGCAAATAAAAATTTAAGGAATTAGACTTGGATAAAAACAAGCACATTTTTAAGTGGACAAATCAATAAGAGCTTTGTCACCGTCATCTATGTTATACATATTTCATTAATCAAACATTTTCTAAAATGTCTTTTTTAAATATATACAAGCACACACGTGTTTTTAACTATAAAATAGTTTTCGTGTATTTATAATTTTAGATGGTTTTGAGTATTTCAATTCTTAAAATTATTGTATTTAAGAAAAAAAATATCTAAATCATCTTATTGTAATTGTACTACCTACTTAATATAATAAATATCCTTTTCACTTACACTATATTACACATTATAAGTGCAAAAAGTAAACAACAACCTACAAATGGACTAGTAAAAAAATGAGAATAACCTTAAAGATTGCAAACATAAATATCATTATAATAATATTATAAAACACTATTAAAAGTATTTTTGTTTTTTTCCCTTAACTTGTACTACGTTTCTATAAAATAATTAATGTTTCTATAAAATAATTAATATTGCAAACATAAATGAGACTCGTACTCCCCCTCAAAGTACTCTTTTTACCATTTTCGTTAGTCTCATTTCAGTATTTATTTTCCTTTTATTTAAATTACAAACATACAATTACACATACACTTACTTTTTACATAAAACAAAAACATCAAATCAAATATTCTTATTTTCACTGTTTTCAAAATTCCAAAACCCTGCTTAGCTTAACTTTCTGGTTTGCTGAGGCCCAAAATTCATGAAATGTAAAGTAATCAACATTAATGGCCAGATCTAATAATAATAATAAAGTTGGTTCCATTAAAAATCCAATGATCTGAAAAAAAGGGATTTGCTAAAACATAAACAAACTACAACAAACAAAAACGAAATGTACCTGTGTTCGCTTAACAAGTTTCTTCTTCTTTAACACCACCAACTTCTTCTTCATTCTGCACTGTCTGTATCGGCATCGGAATCGGAATCTGCGTCGGCGTCTCAGTATTTTGCGTCGGCGACATCTCCGTATTCGTCTCCTCTATTTGCATCTGCACATCCTCTGCAACGGCGACGACGCTCTTGCTCTTCTCCTGTAGTTCGTCGTTTAGTCTTTGAATCTCCGAATCTTTTTCTTCTAATTTCTCTTGCAAGATAACCACCTAAACCAATATTACCAATGCCACGTCTAAGTCTAAGATCGAGTTGGGAAAAAAGTCGAAGATAGAAGAAAAAGTATTAAGTACCAATTCATTCGATCTGTCGACATCGCCGGTCAATTTCACCATTTGCTTGGATACTTCTGCAGACGATACAAAATGTTACGTTTCGAGAGAATTTCGAAAAGTTGTTTATTAATAATGAAATTGGAATCTATCTATACAAAACGAATAAACTCAAATAATAGCTACCAAATTTAAATAACATTAACCAAAATATCTTTCTTATTTTAAAAAATTATTCATACACTAATACCAAAATATTTTTAATTTCTACTTAAATAAAAAATATATCATTATACGTACAATTACTTTATAAATAAAGTCAAAAGATAAAAATGTAAATAACTTACAATTCCACGACTAATAAAATAACATTATTTCTTAATCTACTACAAAATTGTCCCATTGATTTGGGACGGAGGGAGTATATCTCAACACAAATTTCCAAGTTTATTTATTAATAATTAAATTAGGATCTACTTATAGATATGATGCAAAAAGAATAATTTCGAATAGTAACTACCGAATTTAAATAATATTAACCAAAATATCTATTAAAATGTATCTCAGAACAAAATGTAAATATCAAACTGCTGCCGAGCAAAAGATGGAGGTGAATCTGACCTTCAAATAGACTTCTGAGTTCGTAATTTTGAGTTCTTTGCACCGCAAGTTTCATTGATAGCTCGTGGATCTAAAAGAAAATCAAGAAAATAAAGTAAATAGAACGAATTCACCCAATAACACAAAGATCAAAAGCATTGATCGACAATATGGTCCATTCACTTTTTACTAATTTATCTACATTAAGTCGATAACACCTAGCATAATGTACTTATTTAAGTCTACGAAAATATCATACGGTAAAAAGTAGTACCTTCCCTTCTTTGGCCTGGTTGCCCATTTCTTCGTTCTCTTCTTGAAGTGTCCGGCATTTTGCCATTAACTGCTTCCCCATTTTACTCTGTGTGGTGAAAGTAACGGCGGATATATGATCCTGCAACTCTTTGACTTTGTTCTCCTTCTCTTCCACCAAATTCTGATGGACACGACATTTTTTACAGAGTGCAATCAGTTTAAAATACTCTTAATTTTTACATAAATTGTAACCAATAAGAAAACAATATGACGTACAAAATCTATATATATACACTATGATATGTGCAACAATATATGTATGGGCATGAAAACTTATCATTAGTGAAAAACAATATCGCTTTTGGCTATGATTACAATATACAAGTAAGAATCTAAGTACCTTCAGTCTCACAAACTCCTCGTGAATAGCTGGATCTAGCAATAATCTCCTCGCCTATCATGTTAATCAGAACTTTTATTATTAACAAATGAAGAATTAACAGATTGCCATCTATAAAAGATAAAAGTAATTTAACATACACATTCCTAAAGACAATATACAAGTAACATTCGACCAGGTCTATTCTGGACATTCACAACTTGAACAGAATGCAGTTTCTTCGATGATTGAAAAAGAATAACCACACGTGTTGTTGCTACACGATGACTTACAGTCAGCTTGCCAAACCGATAATATTTATTAGCATCTAAATCATAAGGAACACTGGGGCCGCGATTGGTAATGGCACAACCATTGATTTTATTTTAAGGATGAAGATCAGACAACATGAAAGCAATGATGTAACGTGTATCTATTTCCCTATAATACCTGCAATGATGGTGGTTTCATTTGAGCTCTCAAATCCCGGACAGCAGACTGGTTAAGTGTTCAAAGAAATGAATCAGAACATGAATTAGGAAGAAAAAAAATGCGCATTAGGTATCAAAACCATGTTTAACATTATCTTAAGCATAAATACATAAGAAACCACTCAAAGCATGTGCTTGGGAAAGTTATGGTTTTATACAATCATAGTGAAATACATGGGAAAAGATTAACTTTATAAGCCAAGCCATCAGCAAATGCCAGCATTGTTCCTTAGCTAATGTGAGGTCCTCTTCGCCACAAAGTCCAAAAGATAAACAGATTTTATCCTTACAAGCTATTTGTTGTTGAAATTCTTATACAATAACTAATCACACATATAGGACAAGGACATTAACAACATTTTATTCAACTCATATATCTATGTTTGGTAGCTGAAATCTGGTTTTAATCAATTCTTCAAACAAATAAAGAAATGAAAATCAAGAAAAGCTGAACTGCACAAGGAAGATTTGACTGGAACCCACAACGAGAATTTTAACACTCCTTTAATCTAAGATTACTTTTCAATTGACCAAAAAAGGCAGTTCATAAGAAAAAAGAAATGGCATCATGTGTTAGTGGATCAAGGGGCATATCCATCCGTACACACACAAATCTTGCTTTTATTATAAATATATATTAATGTCAGTAGCTTTGCTTGATGCTTTTAGTACCAAGAATTCTCAAACACAAAACTAGATGGATTGCAAGCACAAAACATATGTCCAACATAATAATAACTTTCTCACAGTTAGGCACATTTTCAGAATATTTAAATAACAAAACAGGAGATTAGCATGCATTTCAGCTAAATTAATGAAATGCTGCTAGGAATCCATGCATATCCTCCTACACTTAACGATGCAAACATGAATAATGACTTCTCACCTTTAACTCAGCTATCTCCTGCTCCCGCTTCGCAAATGTCACAATAAAAGCAGCTTCTTTTTTCTTTGCTTTCTCAAGCTAAAAAAATGAATATTTCGTTAAATTATAGATCAACAAACAAACACTGAAGTCCTGCATATGCTCATACAAAAAATCAACACTCACTTGCTCTTTCAAGGCCTCCTCAGAGGACCTCAGCGAATTAAGGTAGTTGAGAACAAGTTTTGGTTCTGGCAGAAAATTAAGTCGATTTCCACAAATAAATAAAAATATCCCATACTATCATAAAAGCTTCTATAAGCTGGAAGCCAAAAGACAAAATGCCAATTTTGAATCCCAAACCAGGAGTTGCGCTGGGTGTAATGAACGATTCATTCTGGAAAGATGAATGCCAATTTTGAATCTCAGATTTCGCATCTTCAAGTGCTTTCTGAAATAAAACAGATTTTAAATAATAATAATGATAATCTACAGGTTTTAGGAACAAGGATATAGACAGTACTCAGTAGAAATATAATGACAAAAGGAAAGGCAAAGCATAAGGCACATACATACCTGACATCTAGCGAGTTCAGCTTCACGGTTCTTTAGGCTAGAGAAAAACAGACAGATGAAATATGTCACTTATCTAGGTAAAATCTAATGTTGTGTTTGGTTGGAGAATTTTTAAAGATTTCTACTATTCTCCAATTTATTTTCTCAAAAAACATCGAATCAAACATCTATTTTTTATTATTTTATTTCAATAAAAATCAATTTTATTTTCAAAACATTACATAACACCTATTTATACCACATCATACGGCTATTCTAATTCAATTTTTTTTACTACTCAAAACTCAAACCCAAAATCCAAACCCCCAACCAAACACACGTTTTGACTAGTCTATCACATAAAATAACATCCCAATCAATAAAGGAAGAATACCTCTCACGAAGCGATAAAATCATTCCAGTTGTAGTACCAGGTGCACTCTCCTCTACTTTCAAGCTGGCCTTAGAGTGAGGAAAATAATAAAAAAAATAATAATAAGATCAAGTGAAAAATCTTGCAACTATTGTTCCTTAATTGGTCAAACAATAACTGGAAACAATGTGGCATTCTAAAAAGCATGAATTCAAACACCTATTTTTTTTTATATATATTATACTAAAAATTAACGTATAGATTCAAAACATCACATAATACCGATTTATATCATATCAAACGACTATTCCAATTCAAAAAATTTTACTATTCAAAATTCAAACCCCCAAACAAACACAAATAACATATACAAAGCAATGCATATTTTGCTTAGTGCTACATAACATGAAGTTTGATAGTCGAAGAATTCAATGCATGCTATAAATTCACAAACCTTTACCAATGTATCATAAGTTTTTTTTTTTTTGATGAATGCAACTCATAATTTTTTTTGATCGGAAAATGCAATTCATAATTTGCGTGATCAAACAGTGGTTATAGAGATATCCAATTCCACCTCTTTCCTTCAGATTTAATTTCCATTGCCTTAAAATAAGAACATAACTTCAAAATCCCCAAACACACAGAAATAACTAATGCAGATCAAAGCGCTATGATAGCAAAGATTAGAAGAGAAGAGAATACTGGCCAAAATACCTTTTTCGAGCCAAAAATATCGTCTTCATCATCGTCGAGGTCAGCAAAGCTTCTTTTACTTCCTAACACACAAACACGAATTCATAGCTGAATCGTGAGACATTTGGTAACGTATCCATCAATTTACTCAAACAATTCATTTGAACCCCAAAATAACAAAAAACCTGGACGTCTTGCGGAAAAATCACCTCCGAAATCATCATCCTGCAATTTATTCAGCAGGTAAGTGCCGCAAACACAAACGAATTGAAGGAATGAGAGAGATTGTTAGAACTTACATCATCGAAGTTTCCATGCGAAGCCATTGAGATTTTGAATTGAAGTTCGATTTGAAACCCTAACTGGAAACGGACGGATTGATTTGAGCACCAGCGTATTCACTCAGATTATAATCATTATTAATATTTACTATTATTTATTGATTATATTAAGTTATCATTATTTAAGAAAATGTCGAGTAAATCAAAATTTCTATTTAAATCAAAACCAGAGAAACCACTGTGAAGTGTGAAGTGGCTTTGTGGCGCGGAATCGTCCCCTCACCGACGTTGCAGGAGAAGTGTTGATTGTCGACGGTCGCGAAGCGAGACTAACGTACGGCCTGATGCACCGGGCGGAGGCTATTTCCGAACGATTTTCCGGCGGTGGGAGTTTGTAGGGGAAAAAAGACGACACCGCGAAGGAGAGGGCGGCGGCAGTAGGAGGGTTAGGGATTGTAAAAGATGTTTATTTTATAATATTATAATAATTAAAAATAATACTTTTTCGTTCCACAAAACATGATAAATTTTAAAATAATTTTAATTTTAATTTTTTAATGCAAAATACTTTATGTACTGAAATTATTTTTTAAAAAATTATTCTATCAATTGAAAATTAATGTACAATTAATATACAATTAGATAATAATAAATAAATTGATTTTGATCATTTAAATGCAATTAACACACAAAAGTGAATTGTAATTATAAAAATTTTAAAATAAACAATAAATTAAATTTTTTGAATTGAATTGTTGTTAAAAATAATTCATTATGATATACTAAAATTTATACAATATACTATATATTAAAATTTTTAGTTTGATATTTTTAGTCTGATATAATTTGAGGTATTTTTTAAATATACAAAAAAATAATTATTTTTTATATTTTGATATATATAGAGAATTTTTTTATGTGCGGTATACAAATAAAAATAAAGTGGCACGCTAACTAAAAGCATCAAATTAAATCAAATCAAAGAATTATTTTTTATTTATTATATTATAACAGAATCTATTTTTACATTTAAAATATCACATCTAATATATATTTATATTACATCACATTATTATTTCTAATTCAAAATTTTACTATTCTAAAGCAAAATAAAAATTCAATACCAAAATTTTACAAAAAACATACAATATTAGAAGTTTTGGGACTTTTCTATTACTCCCTAGTTTACCTGCATCATTAACATTAAAAATATCATTATATGTCTATAATTTTTTGAACAAATGCCTTGCAACAGTACTATAAGACAATGAAAACTTAGAGCCTTAGATTTATTACATATTACCAACAATTTATCCCGTGAAGGATAACGTAGTATTATAATGATTGAATATGTGTCCGTGAAGTCGTACCTTCAAATTTATTCGACATATACAAACTAGAATTGGAATCTTCTGAGAAATGAATGAAAAATCTACCTTAAGCCAAATATTGTACTTCATCAATCCTAACAAACAAAGAAAAGTTAATCTTTCAAGATACCAAAGCTCAATCGACCTATTTTACAAATTATCGTGAGATTATGAATTTAAAACTCATAAACGACTATTATTTTCAACCCTGGCTCGTCTGCACTCTCGTACGTCCATTGTTCATTTGAACAATCTAGAATTGAAATATTTTGATAATGTAATGAAAATTCGAGCTTTCGCCAAATATTGAACTTCATCAATCCAACAACAGGTGATGAATGAGATAATCTTTCGCTATAAATGAACCAAAATTCAATCAACATATTCCAAAGATAACTGTGAAGTTATGAATTAGAAAGCCAATTATTTTCAACTCCGGCTCGTCTGCCCTTTCAAGAACTCATCATCATTAGGACAAGTTAGGATTCAAATGTTTCAAGAAAGTAAAGAAAAATCAACTTTACGCCAAATATTGAACTTCATCAATCCAACAAGAGGAGAGGAGACAATCTTTCGCAATAAACAAATTAAAACTCAATCGACAGACTCCAAAAATAACCGTGAAGTTATGAATTCGAACACCTGTCATTCATTGAGACAAGTTAGGATTGAAAACTTTCAGGAAAGTAATGAAAATCTGACCTTACGCCAAATATAGAACTCTGTCAAATCAACAAGAGGAGAAGAGATAATCTTTCGAGATGTACGAACCAAAACTCAATCCATAGGAGAACAGGCAAGTCCGGTAACCTGAAAAAGCCTTTGAGCAATTATCTCGGCATGTAGAATAACTCCTCGAAAACTTCTGTACATTTTTCCTATATGTACCTAGATTTATAATAGTGGAGAATCGTCGATATTACTCAAAAACAGTTCATACTCATACATTTCCAGGGTACCAGTTTGTAGCCATCTCAATATCTCATTGCTCGTCTACTAAGCATAGTTCAATGGAAGCTTTTCTCATGGCGTCCCGAGACCTTTTCTTTTTCCGGACTTACCAAATTCCCTGCACTGTCCTTTTGGCTCGACATATGAGTTGACGTGAAACCACTGAATAACCAGACGATCCTCAAAGTTCAAACCGAGAAAAAATCCTGGAAAATTAAGAGTTTAGTCAAGTCTTAGAGTGGATGGAATCAACAACTTTTTAAAGCGATTTTACCTGCAGATGTCCATTTGCAGAACCTTTTTTCTTCATTCTGCTGGATGTGATCTGGACGTGCCTGGTGAACATTATACAAGGTATTTGTAGATATTCAACCAAACACAAATACCGTTCATACTAAGAAAAAATCGATCTGATTAACATTGATCAGTAGAGCCTACGAATTACGTCAATAGTACAAGAAACTTATACTACATCATCTGTATCGGTTATGTAGCACACTAGACTAGGCAAGTTAATTCATACTAGTTCGGCTATATGGCACACTAACTCGTTCTTTGCAATTGTCAGGGTAGCAATTGCAAGTAGAAGAGCATACTGTCTCGATCCTTATAATAAACATCTGATATACGGCAACGATTAGGATCATTTCTTGACCTGCAAAGATTTGAGAATCCATTCAGAAACAGAAATAACAACACACTTGTAATTACCATTTTATTATAATTCTATTTCTTGAAATAAGTTGGAACATAATGAAGCATGAATATAGAGAAGTTGGACAATCCAAAAACTCGAACTTGCAACACTGTAAAATTGAAACTAGCGGAGTATATTGGATTGTACGGATTTTGTGTCTGGCGATGTTTGGTTAAATTTAAACGTATGAAGAGACAACACATCTCCCATTCCATTTTGATGAATAGACATATGTTAGCTAACTCACCTTCGAACGTGCAGATTCCCGAAGAGAATAAGGAGACCGGGAAAAGAGAATTTTGTTTCCCTTCCTATCTTTCTTTATATTGCTGCCAGACTTACCAATTTGAAGCCCTTCGTTTGCGATTGGAGATTCATATGTCTGATCAGTTGAGTATGAAGCAACCAGGCCAGACGAGGAAATTGTTGAAGAGTCTTGGTTGATAGACAGTTCGCGTAGGGAAGTGCCTGGACAGTAATGACATCTAGTGTTATGAACGTAACTCGGATAAAATAAAGAGCAAGCAAGAATATTCTTCTACATAATCGCAAGGCAATACAGTAAATCTATTATAGATTTCACCAAATATAAATGCTAAAGATAAGATGTTCATACCATGTGCTGCAGCTTCAAGAAATTTCTCTCTCATAGTTCTAACAAATTTGAATAATCCATTGGTTTTGTTTAACTCCTTAATCAGCTCCTTTGTGTCATTCAGATGTGGATCGCATTTAATCACTAAAGAGAATTCCAAAGGAGAAAATGATAAGTTATGTCGAGTGTAGGGAAAGTCGACAATAAGTAATACTTACATGTGTATATCTCATTTTCATGGCGCAGGGTAAAGGAGTACTCCTCGTCCAGCTTCTCACAATTAATGTTAGTGAATATGAATTTTACACCTACAACAGGGTGGAGAGAAAGTAAGAAATGCTCTCGTGGCTAAAACAGATTTATTCCAAAAAGTGTAGGCATCTAAAGAATTACGCACCATGACCAGATTCAACACGGAAGCCAAGAACCTTGTTATACCATGAAATAGCATCCTCGACTTGTTCTTGATGCTCCTTGTTCTGACTACATTGTTTCTCAGAAGTTGTCAAAGCTGTTTCGATAAAAGAAAACAAAGAAACAACTAAAATCTGGTGTATATCACAGTCAAGAATTTAAATTTCACATAATGAATATGCAAGAAAACACTAATGTCCCAAAAACACTCTAGCCCGATCCCTCCTATGTTTAGAAGACTAAATAATTCAGAATCCAAAAAAGATAATTTAGTTCCTTGAACATCTTATCATTGGCGTAAGAGTTTCCATCACAATGTGAATTTCTATGTTCATTTCAGTTTACAAGGCCATTTCTTTTCCTTTTTTCGATAACCACTCCATAATTCTACAAGTAAAGGCCACGTGATAGATTTATGGATACTCATTAACCTTCAGAATGTTGAGATAGTATAGCAGCATATCCATCTTTCCTTTCCTTCTGGTCCTGCACATTCTTTTTCAGTTTATCAACTTCAGCTTTCGTAGCAGATATAGACTCCATTAGTGCCATCTGCATTGCCTCTTTCCGATTCTTCACTGTAAATGCAACGCGAAAGGGAAAAAAGAAAAAGTTACATACTCTCAGACAAATTTAAAAACAGAAAATGATAACTTCCAATGATTAACATCTATATTTATGTAGTAAGTAGTAAGAACACATAACTACTACAGCATTTGCAAAGAGAAAATTTGTCGCTTAACCAGAGGTTTGAGACTGCAAGAAATGATTCCTATTCTAGGAATTCCCAATTCAAGAATGTCTTCTAGTGTTACATGGACCTCAACCTAGTTGATGTTACATCACCGTAAATGCTTAATTAAATATATCCACTCCGGTTTCTCTCTTTCATACCTATTTCTCATTACGATTTTCCAACCTATGAATTTCACAAGAATATTGTTCCATGTTCTTGTGCACTAGGACAAAAGGCCAACAAAAAAAGCCTTCTTTACATGTTTAGACTCTAGTAAAACCCACCGTTGTACATCTAGATGTAAAAGTGTACAGTAGTATTTTTTATTAACATTTGTGCTCTTTTTGTTTGGTTTTTTTTTAAAATCACTATTCAATTATTTTTTTTCTAAATAAATTAAATCAAACATCCAATTTTTATTTTTTATATTATACTAAAAACTAATTTTTAGTCAAGACATCACGTCAAATAACTATTTGAATTCAAAATATAAAGCCAAAATCTAAATTCTCAAACAAACACACTTTTTTTCGAGAGAATCACCAGCCAAACCAACAAAACTTTAGCGGCCAACAGTAAAATAACACAATTTACATTCTTATTTACAGCTAAATCATGCAGATTAAATTGTTGAATCAAACCATATGAGAAACACAGAGAGCTACCTGCACCATTGCTCATTTGCAATACTAAGGGACAGCCATACAAAATTCTTACAAAATCTACAGCTTGACAAGAACACATACAATTTCAACCTCACTTCACAAAACATTAAAATTTTGAAAATTAATAATAACAATTCAAATAATTTTCACTAAAGGGTAAATTTGATTGAACCGAAAGCTGAGAAAAATACCAGCAAGAGACTTCACCAGAGCATCCTCCGCTTCCTTCAACTCGCCTTTAACCTGTTCAAGTTTGCCTGCCAACATATATAAATTAACTAATTTAAAAATTCCTAAAAAATTCAACCCTAAATTCCCAATTCAAACCACTACTTCAAAAAATTAAGCACAATTGATTTAAAAAATCGTCATTGCCTTGAAGCAGAACGGTTCGCTGAATTTGCGATTTGGCGGAATCGAAATTATTTTTATAGGAATCATCCAACGTGTCGAGTCTGTGCTTCTGAATTGGCATTTCACTTTCGCAGGCTAACCGCATTTGAGCAATCCGCGTCAGCGTAGAACTCTCCACTGTGCCCTCCATTGTTTCGAGAAAGCACTGCTGCACAAGTGTGTGCGAGACCGGAGACGGAATCAGTGGGAATGGAAAGAGGATACATCGCTTTGCCGCCCGCCTAGACTTGCCGATCCGGTTCGAGATTCAAACTGAAACCGTCGTTCCGACGGTTCGATTGCGGTTTGTTAATTTCTCAAACCGCGATCAGCCGGTTTATTTGAACCGGCGGTTCTGCCGTTATTTATAGTTTTACTTTGAACCGGCCGGCGGCTGCTATTGCGGGCGGGCCGTGACTGTAATGAAGAAAGAGGAGAAAAGAAAATGACGGAAAGGAAAGAAAAGAATTGGAAAGAATTTAAATATAATGATATTTTTAATATTAAGCAGGTAAATATAAATTTATTAAATAAACAAATAGAATATATATTATATTGGGTAAGTTGCGTTATATCCATGTGCATTTTATTATAAAATATTTCATATTTTATTTATTAATTAAAATTCTCTTATATTATACTCTTTTTGTTCCAAAAGGTATAATTTTATTGGGTTGGACACAGGATTTAATGGTAAAAAATAATGATAAATTATTTTTTTGCCCTCACGAGTATATTAGTATAAAAAGTAGTGATAATTATATAATAATAATACAAAATAATTTTACGGTGATATGATTATTTATAAAAATGAGAATATTATTTTGGAACGGATAAAAATGGTAAATAAAACCATTGTATTAAAATGGAGGGAGTATTGTGTAAATTATTATTTTGTATGTATATTATATAATTTTTATAATAAATGTAGTTGTAGCATACTATTACAATTGAAGCCTCTAATATATCTATTTAAAAAAAAAAAAAAACTATTACCGTTTAAAAAAAAAAAAACTATTACCGTTAAATATGCGGAAACTTAATAATCACTCTTTTGTAATTCTAATTATTAGAAAAAGAATACTCCCTCCTTATCGTCTTTTTCACCGTAGACACGTAAAATTATAAAAGGTATAATTAATAAATAATTAAAAATATATTAATAAAATAATTATTATATAATAAAAATAATTTTATATTACAATTAAAATAACTATTTAGTTCAATTAAAATTTAAAAAATTATAAATTAAAGATTTAAAATAAAATTAAAGTGTACAAGCGATAAAATAAGTGAAACAGATGAAAATGAAAATAGAAATATGAAAATGGTATGTGGAACGAATAGAATATACATACTTGCGATTCTTGTGTATATATATACACACACAACTTTGCACATTACTATTACTCCATTCGTCCCATAAGTAAATATTGATTTGTTTTTTGGACGTAGTTTTAAAAATATTAGTATTATATTGGAATATAGTAGGAATAAAGTGGAAATGACTAAAATAACCTTATTAGTATGTGTGATATAAAGATATTTGTAATATTAGGTAGATAGTACAGTTACTAAAAAATAAAATTGATATTTTGTTATTGTTATGAAACAGACTAAAATGGAAAAATGCATACTTTGTTATGGGATGAAAAGAGTATTATTATTATTATTATTAGGGTAAACTGTTTTTTTAGTCTAGTAACTGGACCTCTTTATCATTTTAGTCCTGTAAGTGGAGCCTGTCGCAAACTAGTCCCATAAGTGAAAATTTTTTGTTGTTTTAGTCCTCCGGCGCCGGAGACGCCCGCGTGGCTCGCCGGAGGTGACGTGTCCGTCAGGTCAGCGACACCTGACGGACACGTGAATTTATTTATTTATTTATTTTTTAATTTTTTTTAATTGGACCAAATAAAAAAAATAAAAAATACAAATAAAATTTAAAATAAATTTAAAATAAGTTTTAAAAAAAAATTTAAAAAATGAAGAAAAAAAAAATCCACGTGTCACCTGGCGGACACGTCACATCCGGCGAGTCACGCGGGCATCTCCAGCGCCGGAGGACTAAAACAGCGAAAATTTTTCACTTATGTGACTAGTTTGCGACAGACTCCACTTACCGAACTAAAATGATAAGAGGGTCAGTTATGGACTTAAAAATCAGTTTACCATTATTATTATTATTATTATTATTATTATTATTATTATTATATCGAATAAGAATGTAATAATTGGTGTCTAAAGACAATAATTAAAATATGTTTTAAAAAAGAGAGAAAAAGATAAAGTAAATTATATATATTATAGGATATAATTATTTACAAATTAGTTGAGATCTAGAAAGTTTGCACTATATATATATATATATATTTATAGTTTAAAGACTGCTCAATTTTTATTTTTATTTTTTATATTTTAAAAATATTGTATAAATTTTTTTAATTTAAAAAGTAATAATGTGCAATTTTTAAATTATTAAAGTGAATAATACATTTTATTTATTTATTTATTTATTTATTTTTTTAAAAAAAAAGCATAAATGAGTTATTAAGCAATTTTATCTACTTTATATTTACGTTGAAAGAATGGAACAACACTCCAAAAGAAAAACACAAACTAAAACATTTAGTTAGGCCATTAAGCAAAAGGGACAATAATTGATTATTAAATAATATATTTAATTTCAAAATAAGTCTTGAAAGTAGGAAAAAAGATAACACACCAATAAAAAGCTACAAAGTTATGCACAATTAGCAACAAAATAATATATTTTTTTAGTAGAATTGATTGAATGAATTTGTTAAAAATAAAAAATAAAAAATAAAAAAAAATTACTCCCTCCGTCCACATAATTTGTTCCTATTTTCTATTTTCGTCTGTCATACATAACTTGTCCTTTCTATTTTTGGAAATATAATTATGCACTTTAATCGCATTTTAAATTTTAAATTTTATAAATTTCTTAATTTTAATTAAATTATTTACTTATCTTAATCTTAATCTATAATTATTTTTACTAAATAATAATTATTTTTACTAATACACTTCTTAATTACTTACTAATTATACTTTATCTAAATTCCCGTGTCTACGGTAATACGCCAATGTTATATTGGAGGGAGAGAGTATATAATAATATAGGTAAATTTATTGCATGTTACCCACTTATGTTTTTTTCACAAATGCAAAAAATATTTTATTTTTTATTTATTAAAATAAACACAAAACACTTTCTTCATCCATAGTTGAGTTTTTCGTAAATAACCGGATTATCTAAGTGTTATGCAAATAAATTAAATAAAATATTTTAAATATAATTTTTTTAACAAAAAAAGAAAAAAAAAAAGATCAACTATTTATTTTACAATTTATAAAAATTTAGACGACTCGCCTTCATTCTACAACAAATAAAAATGAAGAGTTCATTAATTTTTAATTATTTATTTTATTCAAAAAATAATATTTAAGATATTTTATCCAATTTATTTATATCATACTTGTATAATAAAAAACATATATATGAGCAATATTAGCGTTTGAATAAAAGAATATTCTATATTTATTGTAATATAACACAAAAAAGTTCATATAATAAATAAAATATAAAATATTGGGAAAAAATTATTTTTGTCCTAATATAACCAAAATTCATCAATTTTGGTCAAATATAAAAATCTTATCAATTTTGGTCCAAATGTAATCAAAACTCATCGTTTTTTTTGTCTCAATATAACCAAAACTCATCATTTTTTATCCCAATATAAATTTTTTATAACAATTTTAGTCATAGTATAACCAAAAGTCATCATTTTTTATCATAATATAATCAAACTTTATCTTTTTTTGTCCCACCGTCAACAAACCTACAGAAAATGCTGCAAGATTGTGCAATTTCTTCAAAAATAAATATAAGGTTTGATTTCTTTTCACATCAGCATTTTCCGCAGGTTTGTTGACGGTTGGGATCAAAAAAGATAAGGTTTGATTATATTGGGACAAAAAAATAAAGTTTGGTTATATTATGACAAAAAATGATGAGTTTTGGTTATATTGTGACTAAAATTGATAAAAAAATTTATATCGGGACAAAAAATATGAGTTTTGGTTATATTATGATCAAAATTGATAAGATTTTTATATTGGGACCAAAATTAATGAATTTTGATTATATTAGAACCAAAAATAATTTTTTCCTTAAAATATTTTATACATTTATAATAAAAACACATGCGATCGTCATGCAATTTACCAAAAACCACACACAAGTTTAGGTGATTTGGCAAAACACCAATGAACTCTCTAATATTATAAAAACAGCACTTCAATATGTTTGTTTGTACATGATATATCTTATTGTTTGATTAAAAAATTAAAAATAAAATTTTGACTGTGGCACTACATTAATAATTTATTTTTTTAAACGATCATCTCATTCGACTCTTTTAATATTTATTTCCAAGCTATTAAATTCAACTGGAGATTTATTCAAAATATATTTGAAAATAGCGGTCGTAGATTCTCAAATTTTTTAATTAAATAAAAAAATAGAAGAATTTGAATTAAAATTTTACGGGAAAGTCACACTAAGCAAACCGGGGGTTTGAAACTAATGACCTCACGGTCACAAGTCCAACCCTTACACCACCAGACTATCCCTTAATTATATATACATTTGTTTTTTCTTTTTTTTTTTCCAAAAAAAAAAAAAAACTTTTGAGAATGAATATATAGTCCAATCAATTAATTTAAACCGTATCTCTACTTGGAGATATCATTGCTTGTTTCTTGAATCGATATCATAAAATTTAATTTTTATGTGCATATTTATTTTGATTATTTTGATATAAATAAATACAAAAATATAAGGATAAATTATATGATACCTCTTGTGTTTTTGGTAAAAATGCATAAAAACACTCTATATTTTATTTATTGCGTGAAACCCTTTGTATTAATATAAAATTTGCACGAAACACCCTCATTGTCCAAAACTGATATTTGATTTCAAATAAAGATTTAAATTACGCAAGTTTAATACAAACAAAAAATATAAAACTTTTTAAAAATTTTTTTTGAATAAAATAAATAATTAATTAATCTTTCATTTTATAGTTTTTGAAAACAAATTGTTATATGATTTTTATGAAAACTATACAAATAAATGATTGATGAATTATTTCTTTATTTATTTTTATTCAAAAAAAATTATTTAAAGTATTTTATATTTTTTATTTGTATAAAACTTGCGTAATTTAGGTCTTTTATTATAATCAAATATCAGTTTTGGACAAAAGAGTGTTTCATGCAAACTTTACATTAAAACAAAAATTTCATGCAATAAATAAAATATAGAGTATTTTGTGTATTTTTACTAAAACACACGGGGCTATTATATAATTAATCCAAAAAATAAAATAAAATAAAAGGAAATATATAGGAGTGAGTCACGTGAGTAGGGTGTGGTGCACATGGAGATGGTGATGGCGGTATGTGCTCGTGACTTTTGGCATGCAAATTGACATAAATTATGTTACAAGGATGTCTATTAGGAATCTAATCACGAGCCTCCCACGTGACACTTACCAAATGATTGTGTTATAATTATCCATACCTATTTATTTATTTATTTATTTAAAAGTCTATCATAGTTACAAAAGATTTTGATCCATCATATATATATATATGGGTATTTTTTTATTATTATTTTTTTACGTTTTAATATATGTCCAAAAATAAATGATTTTTTTTATACTGTATTGAAAGTAGTACAATTTAATTAGTTAATAATAGTAAATCATAAAATTATTCTATTATTTTTTATATAAGTAATATTATTGGTAGTTTTAAAAATAAAATTAATAGATATGATTAAAAAAAATTAAAATATTTATTTAAATATTTTAAAAATTACCATCATATTTCAATAAAAATATATGTAATATGGATAAATAAAATTATATATATTTATTTATAGTTAACATAAACTATTCTTATAAAAAAATATAATTTAAATATAAATTAAAAAATATTTATTTATTAAATGAAAAAGTAAAAATAAAAAGTTTTTGAGTGAATTTTTGTATAATGTATGATGTTTTATATTGTTAAATATATTTTGAATTAGTAAATTTTACTAAATATAAAAAAATATGTCAAATAAACTAGGACAAGTTAAAATGGAAAAAAAAAAAAAAAAAAAAGCCAAAGGGAGGGAGTAATATTTGTATAAAAAATGAGTATTAAATATAATGTTTTTTGAGAAAGATAAAATATTTGAATTGTAAAAAAAAAAAATTGAAAATACAAAAAAGTAAGTTACAAATAATACCATGCACATATAAATAAAGGGTATGTTTGACTGGGGATTTCAATTTTGAGCTTGAAATTTAAATAGTAAAAGTTTTGAATTGAAATTGTTGTACAATATGATATAAATAGGTGTTGATGTGATGGTTTAAATATAAGATTGAATTTTTAGTATAATATAAAAAATAAAAAATCAACAACATATTCAGCTATATATTTTAAAAATACGGTGAACAATATTTTTAAAAATACAAAAAAAATTCATATAATTTTTGAAAATATTATGCCATATTTTCTATGTTTTGTTGGATGTATGCAATTTATTAATATAAAAATAATATTTAAATTGAATAGTTAACTTTTTACAAATATATATATATATGTAAATTCATATACTTGTATTCATCCAATATTTTTTACCAATAGATTTTTAATTAACACAATATAAAATATATATAATTTATTCACAAAAAATTAACTATTCGAACATAAAATGTTACTCATTGGTCAAGTTAGAAAGTATACATATTTTTATTTTGGTACGTCCAATTACAGAATAAACATTTCATTGAATACTCACTTTTTTTTACATATACACTTACTTTATATCACATTATTACTTTTATACAAAAAAAAACAAAGTCATTTCACTACTTTTAACTAACCAAACACCGCGCCAAAAATAAATGCTTATTTTGTGTGTGAACGGAGAGAGTATTATTTATATATTTGATACGATGACTATGAAAAAAATCTCAAACTAAAACAGTTAAATGCAATTAATTTTGAGCTTTTTCATCCAATATCTTTTTCGATGATATAATTTTTTATAAATATTACAAAAAATCTAATATATAAATATTCATTAAAAAAAAATTAATACAAAATCTTATTTCTTTTTATATTACTGTATCTAGGGGTGGGCAAAATATCCGAACCGAACCGCAGAACCGTCGAACCGAACTGAATCGAACCGAATTTTCGGTTAACCGAGCAAATTCGGTTCGAATACAAATACTGCATATTTGGTATTTGTTCGGTTCGGTTCGGTTTCGGTTTCTAACCTTTTTTTCGGTTCGGTTAACCGAACCGAATAATTTTATAATAAATTAATTATGTTATATTATATATTTATAATTTATTTATATAAATTATCATTAATAATATACATTACAGCCAGTCCCCCAGTGCAGACCGGTTCAAACCCAGTGCAAACCGCCAAACCCCATCTCCCAAATCTCAAACTCGATTTCACAACCCTAATTTCTTCGTCTACCTCCTGGACATCGGCGGTACTTCACCTGTTCACCATCTTGCGATTTTTCAGCCAATCAGCGGCGGCTTCATCTTGTTTCTGCGATTTTTTATTCCATCTCTCAGCACGGCTTCACCCCCTCTTCTGCCGTTTGTGTGCAACTATCCAGACAATCGTTTTCAACTCTTCGCGCACAATACAACTACAAAATCTTTCGGGTAACAACTACAAATAGTCGATTCAAGATTATAAAATCTTTTCCATTTTATTTACATTGTGCAGAGTTTTTTATTGTTTTTTTAGTGGACCGTTTTTTTTTTCAAAATTTTTTCCAAAATATAAATATAATTGTGCAGGTTTTATTATTATTTTAACAATTAATTGCAGTGCATTATTATTGATTTTTTCTAAAAAGAATTATTTTATTATCTTATTTTTCAGGAATTCGACGGTGAAAAGATGCACACGCAGATTTATTTTCGTGGATATTGTAATTTGACTTTTAAATATACTTTATGTTTCATGTTAATTTGTTTTTAATTGAACTGATATTGTGTTGTTGTTTATGAGTGTTTCAATTCCAAAAGTAGATTTATTTGTCAATATTTGTTTGAATTCGGTTCGGTTCGGATATTTGCAAATAGTACAAATATTTTCAGTTAACCGAAGATTCAGTTAACCGAAATTTTCGGTTCAGTTTCGGTTCGCGGTTTCGAATATTTGTTCGGTTCGGTTCGGATATCAAATACCTGCATATTTGCAAATATCCGAACCGTGCCCACCCCGGACTGTATCTAATTTAAAAAACAAATTCATAAAAATAAATAAATAAACAAACGCTTTGTAAACTACAAATAAGTTAAATGCAATTAACAAAAAAAACAACCATTCCACTTCCCACCCACAACCTCTGTTTCAGACATCAACAAATCCCCAAATATTACACACACATACACATACGTATATGTGTGTGTAAAACAGACATGATGGGGAGGAGTAGCTGTTTCTTGGATCCAGAGATTCTGCCACTTTTGAATACACTATAAACTATTTTATCCCCTACCCCCTACCCTACCCTACCCTACCGCACCCCCACCCCACCCCACCCCCACAATTAAATCCCACGAGAGTGCATGATTGATTCCATAGTCCCTCCAAGATTTCCCATACCCCTTTCACAAATTTGACCATAACCACTCACACAGTGTTTTCTTCTTCTAATGCCTGTCTATCATCATCAACAATCTCAAACTCATCTTCTTCCATGGCCTCTCCTTTTCCTACCATTTCTTTTACCAGTTTCCTCCCTCAACTCACAAGGACAGACCCTCCTGTCCTGGAGCCTCATCGGCGCCGGCGCCGGAGCCGGCGGCTGGGACGCCGGCGACCCGACCCCCTGCCGGTGGCCGGGGGTCGGCTGCAACTTCAACAATGAAATTATTAATATCGATCTAAGGTACATTGACATACCTGGAGGAGTAGTCCCTTCCAACTTCACATCCCTCAACACATTGATCAAACTCGTCGTGTCCGGGGCCAATCTGACGGGGCAGATTCCCTCCGAGATCCTTGGAGGGCTCCCCGAATTGAAAATTTTGGATTTGAGTGATAACGGGCTGACCGGAGTGATTCCCGATTGGATTTTCCGATTGCCGAAGCTGGAGAAGCTGCTGCTCAATGCGAATCGTCTCGAAGGATCGGTTCCTGATTCGATCGGGAACCTGACGGCGCTCGTCGAGCTCGCCGTCTTCGATAATCGTCTCAGTGGCCGGATTCCGGCCAGCATTGGGGATTTGAAGAGGCTGCAGGTGATCAGAGCCGGTGGGAATAAGAATCTCGAAGGTCCGGTCCCGCCGGAGATTGGGAATTGTACGGAATTAGCGATGTTAGGTCTGGCGGAGACGAGCGTTTCAGGAGCTCTGCCGGCGGCAATCGGACGGTTGAAGAAGCTCGAGACTTTGGCGATATATACTTCGCTCATCTCGGGATGGATACCAGAGGAAATCGGGGACTGCATTGCCTTGAGGAATGTTTATCTGTATGAAAACTCATTGTCGGGATCGATTCCGTCACAGCTCGGGAAGCTCCGGAGTCTGCAGAGCTTGCTGCTATGGCAGAACAATCTTGTCGGGACGATCCCGCCGGAGATCGGGAGGTGCAGAGAATTGATTATCGTCGATTTGTCGATGAACTCTCTGACAGGGAGCATACCGGCGTCGATCGGAAATCTGAGCTGCCTGCGCGAGCTGCAGGCGAGCCTGAACCAAATTTCCGGCGAGATTCCGGCGGCGATTGGGAACTGCACGGCTCTGACGCATATCGAGCTCGACAACAATCAGATCGCCGGAAGCATTCCTCCGGAGTTAGGGAACCTGCCGAACTTGACGCTGTTGTTCCTATGGCAGAACCGGCTGGAGGGGAATATTCCGGCGAGTTTGTCAGCCTGTCGAAAGCTGGAGGCGATCGACCTGTCGCAGAACAGTCTGATCGGGAATATTCCGGGAGGTGTCTTCGACTTACAGAATCTGAACAAACTGTTGCTGCTGTCGAACAATTTATCCGGCAGCATCCCGCCGGAGATCGGGAACTGCTCATCGTTGATCCGGTTCCGGGCGGGGAATAATAAGCTGACGGGAAATGTGCCGCCGGAGATCGGGAGGTTGAAGAATCTGAACTTTCTGGATCTTGGATTGAATCGGCTATCGGGGAGCATACCCGTCGAGATATCCGGGTGCCGGAATCTCACATTTCTCGATCTCCATTCAAATTTTATAGCGGGAAACTTACCGGCGAATTTAAACCGTCTCGTGAATCTTCAATTCCTCGACATTTCGGATAATCTTATAGAAGGTGCATTGAGTCCGTCTCTCGGCTCGTTGAATTCCGTCACTAAATTCGTCGTTAGGAAGAACAAGATGTCTGGGTCGATCCCAAGTGAACTCGGTTCATGTTCCAGGCTGCAGTTACTTGACTTAAGCGACAATTCGTTCGACGGCCGGATTCCGGGGGCCTTGGGGACGATTCCGGCTATGGAAATCTCCCTGAATTTGAGCTGTAATAAACTCACCGGTGGAATCCCGATGGAGTTCGCGCAGCTCGATAGGCTAGGAGCGTTGGATATTTCTTTCAACGAGCTTTCCGGCGACCTTCATTACATATCCGGCCTTCAAAACCTCGTCGTTCTCAACGTCTCCCACAACAACTTCACCGGGGACATACCCGACACTCCGTTCTTCGCCAAGTTACCGCTCAGCGCCTTATCTGGAAACCCCGAGCTGTGCTTGTCTCAAAACGGATGCGACGGCGGCAGCGGCGATCCGCGCAGCCGCGGCAAAGCTGCAAGGGTAGCAATGGTGGTTCTTCTCTGTATAGCATGTGTGCTGTTGTTATCGGCACTGTACATTATCCTCGGAGGAAGAATCCCGTCACACAAGTTCGATTCCAGCGTCGAGGGGGGTGCGGAGCTAGGCCCCCCGTGGGAAGTCACACTGTACCAAAAGCTCGACTTGTCCATCATCGACGTCGCCAAGTGTTTGACGGACATCAACGTGATCGGGCACGGCCAGTCGGGGACAGTCTACCGAGCAACGATCGGGTTGGGATCCACCGTCGCCGTAAAACAATTTCGCGTCTCCGACAAGCACTCGGCGTCGACGTTCTCGTCGGAGATAGCTACGTTAGCCCGTATCCGTCATCGAAACATAGTCCGGCTGCTCGGATTCGCCGCCAACAGGAAGAACAAGCTGTTGTTCTACGACTACTTGCCGAATGGAACGTTAGCCGCACTGCTGCACGACGGCTGCAGTGGGAGAGTCGACTGGGAGATTCGATTCAAGATAGCTTTGGGAGTCGCCGAAGGCCTTGCGTACTTACACCACGACTGCGTGCCGCCGATACTCCACCGTGACATCAAGACGGATAACATACTCCTCGGAGATAGGTACGAGCCGTGTTTAGCAGACTTCGGACTCGCCAGGTTTCTCGAGGACGATACGCCGTCCTTCTCCGCATACCCGCAATTCGCGGGCTCGTACGGATACTTTGCTCCCGGTATATATAATCCTCCATTTTCGCGTATTCCTCCAATTTTTTTTTTTTTTTTTCGATTTCTGTTCTAACTTTGAGCTTCTGCAGAATATGCATCCATGGTGAAAATAACCGAGAAGAGCGACATATACAGCTACGGCGTGGTGCTGCTAGAGATCATAACCGGGAAGAAGCCAGTCGACCCGTCGTTGCCGGAAGGGCAGCACATTGTCCAGTGGGCAAGGGATCATCTAAAGAGCAAACGAGATCCTGTCGACATTATCGACCCGAAGCTCCACGGCCATTTGGATGAACAAATTCAAGAAACGCTGCAGACACTCGGAATAGCACTTCTCTGCACTAGCAACAGGCCGGAGGATCGGCCGATGATGAAAGATGTGGTAGCCTTGCTGACGGAAATTAGGCATGAGCAAGTTTCATCGGGACATGATCAAGCTCCCAAACCTGCAGCTAGAAAATTACCCGGCAGCCCTGCTCGGACGTCCCCTAATCATCCCCCTCTACCATACTCGTCTTCCTCCACAAACACTGTAGAGATTTAGGATACAGTCAGTAGTTTGTTTAGCACAGTAGTTACTCAAACAAAAGCAGATGTCAAGAAACTATAAATCAATATCATGATTCCATTAGAGTCCTTTACAGAAAACTCATTTTTGTGCCATTTCAAGAATACACAAACAAAAGGGTGTCACCAATGGGGCCAAATCACTAATTCTTGTTTCTATTCCCTAAGTTAAATGGATTACAAAAAGAAATCATTGTACAGTGCACATAGTTTGTAGGGGACACACCCTGTCTCATCCCAGCCACAGAAATTGCAATTTCACCCATTGCAACTAACACAAAAATGCATTTCCAAATCCATACTAAAAGTCATAAATGTCAAATCTTTGTTCTAACAATAACAGGTTCACCAACAAATGCAGAAGAAACATCAATGTTCAATCTTCAATCATTATTCACATAAGAAGAAAAAAAGAGCAGAATGGTACATATTCCAACACTTCTTTTTTATCTATTTATTACAGGCACAACAACACTTTTTATTGCAACCATAGCCATCTTTTTGAAGTGGAAAAAAGATGCCTTTTTCCCTTCATGGCTATCTGCACACAGAGTCAGATCATTTTGAATGGAACCCCACATGGGGTTAGGGTAGATCTGCTGATCTACCTGCCTTTTATTTTTTATTTTTTTTTCCTCGGTACACTAGTATGCTTTAGAAAATAAAGGTACAGTAGAAAGATTCCCAACTTGGATTACAAGAACAGTATCCCCTTCATTGCAAGGGTTCCTCCACATGAGGTATATGCCAAGCCACATGATTTTTGGAAAGTGTAAGTAGCACTTTATCACACTTGAATTCATTATTGAACACTTCAACCCCTCTATGTATTGTCACACTTTAAAGTTTAGTCACCAATACTTCTGGCATATTTACTCACTACATGTGAGAAAAGCATGCTTGTAAAACATGTAAATGCAGAATGCAACTATGTCAATAAAAATGAGGAAATTGTACCTACAGATAGAAATAGATCTAAGGAAATATATGTGTTTTGGCTCCACTATTCAGTCCGCACGATTCCCAATAAAATATAACGTTTCTTCTCACAAAATATTACAAAATGTTAGTTAAACTCAAACTCAAACTCAAACCAAAGCCAAACAAACTTGCTAATTCTACCTAAAGATAGAAATGGATCTAAGGAAATGTATATCTTTGGCTCAACTATTCAGTCCGCACTATTCTCAATTAAAACATTATATTATAAATGTACTTAAACTGAAACTGAAACTCAAACCAAAGCCAAACAAACTCGCTAGTTTACATTTTGTAAGTAATCATGTTATTTCTTCTCTTTCCCTGATGGATAATTCTTGCTTCTACATGATAATACTTCATGTAAACAACTTTTGCATATAGTCATTTTGCACACTAGAAACATATGCTATTTGCACTTAGCACCTTTAAATTGAAATTCCTTACACTTGGCATCCAAGAACTAACAAGCAAGTGAATGTTTCCACTTTACAGGCAGAATACTACTAGAATAGAATATGCAGATGCATTGAATTCAAGAATAAATTCTAGCCAACATATTACGGCGTTAACGAGTAAAATCAACATCAAAATGATTTCCTAAAACACTAAAATGAGAACCTTAAACCATAACATATTACAGAGGATCAAACAAGTAAGATCAAGGACAAAATCATCTACTAAAACAGTAAAAATGGAACCTTAAATGGCTGCAAACCGCATTTGTCGAAAAAGGGCCTGCTCAAAAGAATGTTCCCTTCACCTTTCCTATCAAATCAAATTTTGTACAGGCAGAATTTTCCCTGTGTAGTGCACAGACTAGGAGAAATTATATTTACTGAAAGTAACAGTGTGCCAACGATACTTACAAAGATGGATGGAACCTACTAACAATCCTGTGAACCTAAACTTGCTAACATATAATAGCGTCATTCCAAAATTCGGTGACTGCCACAGGAAAAGAACTAACTATTCTCCCAAACCGTGCATTGCATCTATAGAAAGTAACGTAACACTTGGAGTAAACAGTAACCACTCAAACTTCTACTCTTCCTTCTAGAATAAGCATTTTCAGCAATGGTAAAAATGTCGGCACGCCTCCAAGAAACAATGTATGCTCTTCCAGGTCTTGGCATAGATTACCTATCCAGTTCAGCTATTTGGCAAATACATTTTGAATGTGGTTAGGCATATGTAGGTAGGTCAGCCGAATAGCTACTCCTCGTCACTTTCTGTTCCATATTGTCGATCATCAATGGAAAGGTCATCTGGAGGATCATAAACAATCATGTCAGGGAAGAGTTCCAAAAAGTCATCCTTCACCTTCTCCCTCAATTCAGGGTAAGGAATTAGCCCTTTTAAAATGACACGAAATGGCAAAGATAATGGAGGTTCTGGTGAACATCTCATTTCATCGTATATACGCATTGCTTCATTCGGCAATCCACCATCCAGAAAGGCCCGGACAAGGTCTCCGAAGGTATGCTGATCAAAAAGGACTTCCTCTCTCTTCAAATCATCCCACACCATCCTTGCTTCATCAATCTTTTTGCTTCTTGCAAGCATCATTAGCATATCTCGGTAGAAAAACATATCTGGTCGGTACCAGATTTCCTTCCGCACCACATCATACAGCTGTCAAAGAAACATACAAGTCTATCAGAATGTGCACAGCATTGTTAGTTCATGCATGTTGTGAAATTGCAAAAAATCAAGATAAACAAAACACATACAAGAGGACGATAAGTTGGTGATCCAGTTCGATCAAATTGATTTATGTGTGAGGGTGGCTAAGCCAGGTATTTTCACTAGTATTTTCGGAGTGTTAATCTGAGAGAGATTAAATGAAGTATTTATAGATATCAAAGGCATAACCCTAGTGCACACGATCTAATAAACTGTATAGACGCCATTTGAGGGGCTGAATGTACATAACTCGTCCAAGCTCCAGCTTGGGACTTCACAACACAACAATGCAAATTCAAAGTTAACCCGTCGAAATATTTTAGGGTCCACTTGTTTCAAATTACTCTATCAAATCCATTAATTCCATCTAGGCAGGCAATGCATTTCAAACCTATGAAGTCAATAGCGGATTTAAATTTCAATGTATTTCAAATGCAAAATAAGTTAATTGAATTCATCTAAAGCCACTGTCAAATCTAAATTTACCCAAACAAATGGGACCTTAATGAAATTCAGACAACAAATTGATGAGGTTCCTAATTATCTTTGATTCTTAGAGCATACATTGTTGCCAAAGTGATCATCTCAGATATGCATTATATAATCTATCTGTCAAGTACAAACCATCCTTCTCAGCACTATCAACAGCATACCTTAACTGAACACAATGTTGATCAAATTAGATTTGATGAAAATATTCTCTTTCACAGCAAGACATCCCATTCAGACTGACTAAACACAACAATGATCACCATAACAAAGAAAAAATATACAAACAGAATGCCGAATAAGAAAATCTCAAAGAATTCATATCAGGATCAATGAAAGCATGCCAAATCCCACAGATTCAGCTAAAAAGGTGCAACAAACCTTCATGGAGAGACCAACCAGGTTCTGACGCTGAAACTCTGCGAGGACAGCAACAAGGTCAGACTTAAGGAGACGGGAAACATGTGTCTTCATAAACCGCTCAAAACGCAAAGGTTGGCACTCAAGACGCTTGAGCTCCTTTACCACCATTAACCCCTCCTTCCCCATTTCCTTCTTCCGCCGCCATATTGACAGGCTAGGCTTAGAAGCAGCTCCGGTGATGCGTTGAGTGCTGATTGCACACGGGTGAAGGCGCACCGGAAGCCCCCGTGAAGCCCGCTGCAGCAGATCCCAACCCCGTCGCCACATTGAACCTCCACGCTCAACCCACAAATCGTATCCAACCACTGCATTTGGTTAAATATTGAAAAATACTTAGAGAGAAAATTTTTGAAGGGTAATGCTGAATTTCTGATCAGTAGTATCGAGCATGGTTAGGGAGACGCGGAGAAGATGAATGGGAAGGAGCTGAGTATGTGAATGCCCCAATTTATGACGAATTTGATAGTAACTCTAGCATGTTACGATGATCAAATATCATACTTGTAAATGCTTAATTTGATTTTCTGAAACTTAAAATTGACATGACAGAACAACAAACACGTCCAATATCCTAATTGCTGGAAACATTCTCACGCTCGGCCATAAAAAAATTAAAAATGAAAGCTAAGGATTGAACTTACAATCTTGAAGCAGTTGCAGAGCAAGCAGGGGAAGAACAAGAAGAAGACGACGACGAGAGGCCGGGCCGCCGATGAGAGCCGGAGGGGCGTCTGGCGATGACGAAGTGAAGTTGCAGAGCTGAGAGAAATTGTGAACAGAAAAGAAATGGGCAAAATGTTCAAATATACTCGATTTTCTTTATAAATGGTGGAAGCACCGAAGCAGAGGGAGAAAATAAAAAAGAAAAACTCACCGGAATTCCAACGGGTGGCGGAGGCGGACTTCGTCTTCGGGAGAAAGGCGGCGGCTAAACTTAGAAAGAAGGACAAGGATGGAAGAGGAAAAGAAATAAGGCATCTCCAAATTATACTCACTCCGCGCACCAATATTTCTAAAATAGAAAATAATTAATTATACTTAATCTTTACTTTACATTTTATGTCTTCGCATCATCCAAATAAAAAAAATAAAAATATATATTTTTATCTCTATCACATCACCTAATTTTTTATTAATCTTTACTTTACATTTTATGTCTTAGCATCATCCAAATAAAAAAAATAAAAATATATATTTTTATCTCCATCACATCACCTAATTTCTTAATATTATTCATCTAAAAAACTGTGCAAAAAACAAACATTGCATTTTGTTTGGGACAGAATGAGTATAATTTAAGAGCAAAACTTTGGTCCCATAACAAAATATCTATTTTTCTGATAGAAGTATCTATTTCTTTTTTTTAATAACTGTATTATCTGCCTAACATTACAAATACCCTTACAATTAGAATAAATTACACAAATTTCATTACCTTTATATCACACGTATTAATAAAATTATTTTGTTATTTCTGTTTTATTCCTACTACATCTCAAATTAACTTACTAAATGCTTAATTAGTTAATAATTTTGAATTATAATATTATTTTATTATTTTTTATATGAGATATATAATTGCTAGTTTTAATATATATGATTAAAATAAATTTAGAAAATATGTTTAAATATTTTAAATATTATATAATAAAATATATGCGAATATTATTTTATAAAAATTAAATTATAAATAATACATATAAATAAAAAATATATTTATTAATTTATAATTAAGATCAACAAAATTCAACTTTATTATATCAAAATAGTTTTTTATTTAATATATATATATAAAACTGTTATTATAATTATTCATAAAAAAATAAAATTGAACTGTTTATGTTTTTGTGACTTCTAATTAATTTTTAAGCCAATCCAAATGGGTCTAATAAAAGCCTAATTCTATATATATTTATTTTATCAATATATACTGTGGACAAAAAATTGTGTTATTTTTAATAAACACAAAATTTGTACAAATTATATTTGATTTGAATTTAAAGCGGGTCCTATTATCTAAATGGTCATTTGATTCTCCTTTTGGGTCCATTTATTTTCCAACTTAATTTTCGATGGCTTCTTTGATCCGAAGAGGTTTGGTCTTCAGTTTGACTTTGTCTGCTTTTGGAGGGTTTTGGTCTCCGTGCGGACGATTTGATCGTCGCTTTGGATTTGATGTCTTTTTTAGACGATCCGAGGCTTTGATCTTTGATTTGGCTTTGCCGCATTTTGGAGATTTGGTCTCCACGTTGGCGATTTGATCATCGTTTGGATTTGTTGTCTTCTTTGGACGATCTGCGGCTTTGACATTTGTTTTGGCTTTGCCGCTTTTGGAGGACTTTGGTCTCCGCGTTGGCGATTTGATCATCGTCTTTGGATTTGTTGTTTTCTTTGGACGATCCGCAATTTTGACATTTGTTTTGGCTTTGCCGCTTTTGGAGGACTTTGGTCTCCGCGTTGACGATTTGATCATCGTCTTTGGATTTGTTGTCTTCTTTAGACGATCCGCGACTTTGACCTTTGCTTTGGCTTTGCCGCTTTTGGAGGACTTTGGTTTCCGCGTTGGCGATTTGATCATCGGCTTTGGATTTGATGTCTTCTTTAGACGATCCGCAACTTTGATCTTTAGTTTGCCTTTTCCGCCTTTTGGAGAGCTTCGGTCTCCGTGTGGGCGATTTGATCCTCAGCTTTGGATTTGATGTCTTATTTAGACGATCCGCAACTTTGATCTTTGATTTGTCTTTGCCGCTTTTTGAGGACTTTGGTCTCCGTGTGGGCGATTTGATCGTTGGTTTTGGATTTAATGTCTTTTTTGGACGATCCGAGGCTTTGATCTTTGCTTTGGTTTTGCCGCCTTTTAGAAAGCTTCGGTCTCTGTGTGGACGGTTTGATCATTGGCTTTGGATTTGATGTCTTATTTGGACGATCCACAGCTTTGATCTTTTCTTTGTCTTTGCCGCTTTTGGAGGACTTTGGTCTCCGTATTGGCGATTTGATCGTCAACTTTGGATTTGATGTCTTCTTTAGACGATCCGCAGTTTTGATATTTGAGAAGGTAGATTTGGTGCTCCGTAACGCTTTTGACGGCGTGTCCCTTTGACTTTTTGATCGAAGAGGGCCGAGTTTGCGGCTTTTATGAAGAACGCGATGAACACCTCGAATCTTTGAGAGAAACTTTGAAGACCTTCCCTTAGCTTTGACGAATTCCTCGACGGCTTTGAGAGCTTTGATCCTTCCTCCGGTTTGGACATACGACAAAAAACGTTAACTTCATCAATTCGTCAACCAATATTTGATCATTTGTCCAAATCAGTGACTTTTCGACGAAGAACGCTTCGAAGGACACAGACAATAATGAAGAACATTGCAAAGAGTCTAGAGAGACTTACCCTTGCGCGAGTCTTCAAATGAACTTCGGTGTCTCAAATGAACTGACCATGACTCCTATTTATAGGGGAGGGTGGCATTGGCTTCCTTTTCGAATGATGCCACATGGATGGAAAGATTTTATAATATTTTCTTTTCCATCAGATGCTGTTTTCCATTATTGACGGATTTGATTGTACACCTTCATTTCTCGCCAAAATCTTTATATCGTTGCTTTTTTGGAAGATATTAATTTATATACTTCCTTTATTGACAAGATCTTTATATCATTGTCTTGTTTGGAAGATATTAATTTATATACTTCATTTATTGACAAGATCTTTATATCATTGCCTTGTATGGAAGATATTAATTTATATACTTCCTTTATTGACAAGATTAATTTATTTTGCTGCCAAATTTATTATGGCTCTATTTATGCACGTAATATTTGTACGATATCTTCCATTTTAAGCAGATTTTTGCATTAATGGTTGATATTTATTGTACAAAAATTAACATATGTGCATAATTAAATATCATATATTTATATTATTGGAATTTTATTTTCTTCCAAAATATATGATATTTAATTTAATTTAGACATTTATTTTTAATGTCTACATATATAATTGTAAAAAATAAAATTTTACAAATTATCCAAATTCAATAATAAAAACGGATTTGTCATATATATATATATATATATATATGAAATGATGATAACATATAATCCGTGCTATGTATACATGATTATACATGTGATATTTAATTTGATTTTTATATTTCAAATAAAAATTTTTCTTGACAATAAAGCTTGATATATTAATAGCCAAAATTAATTACTAATAAAAAAAGCATAACTAAAATTAATTAATTTTAAAAAACTATAGGCATAACTAAAATAAACAATAAATTAAATTAATAATAAATACTCACAATCCATATTAAACTAAAAGTCAAAATAAATTTCAATTTTTTTTGTTTACTTATTGTAAAAAATATTAATATTCATCTCATAACTTTTATCAAGGTAAATTATATAAACATCTTGTATTTTATTTATTACGTGAAATTCTTTTGTGTTAATATAAAATTTGCACGAAATACCTCATTCAAAACTGATATTTAATTTCAAATAAAGATCTAAATTACTCAAGTTTAATGCATATAAAAAATACAAAATATCTTAAATAGTTTTTTTTTTTTTTGAATAAAATAAAATAAAAAAATAATTAATTAATCTTTTATTTTATAGTTTTTGAAACAAATTGTTATATGATTTTTATGATTGATCAATTATTTTTTTTATTTTTTTATTCAAAAAAACTTATTTAAAATATTTTTTATTTTCTATTTGTATAAAACTTGCGTAATTTAGGTTTTTTATTATAACCAAATATCAGTTTTGGACAAGAAGGTGTTTCGTGCAAACTTTACGATTTTACGGAATAAATAAAACACAACGTATGTTGTGCATTATTACTAAAACAAATAGATGTATTATATAATTTACCCCTTTTATTATGTCATTGACCAATAATTACAAAATTCGGTTAATTCTCATCAAATTTCTATTTCGCAAATTGCTTTTCTTGTCTGTTCCCGTTTATATATTTGTTCATTTTTAACTCCCTATTTATTCTTTACAACTTCTCATTTATAATTTTAACACTTTTCACCTGTAAACTTTCAATTTTGCCACCAAAATAATATTTTATTTATAATTCTATATACCTAATGTAACTCAAAACTCTTAATTTGTGTAACTAATGATCAATTTTATTATTTCATTTTTCGCAAAATGACGACGAACAATACACAATATTCGAAGTATATGTTCATTAACTTATTTATATTTTATTTAATCAAAGATTAATATTTTTTATAAATATTTTTGTATTATTATTTAAGGGTTGCAAATATATATATATATTTTATAATTATTTACTTTTCATATTGTTATCTATCTACTTATTTATTTATTTTTGTATGATAAAAAGTGAAATTATATGGTAGAAATTAAGGATTATATATAAAGATGACATAAAAAAAATTGAAGTTAAAAAATAAATAAATAAGGATATTATAGAAATTTTAAGTGAACAGAGAGTAAAGAAAAATAAATTAATAAGAATAGGAAATAAATAAGAAAAATTTAATATATATATGTAGTAAATAGAAAATTAAATTTAAAATTAAAAAGTTTAATGGAAGTTATCTTTAAAAAATAGAACAATAATAAATAAATGAATCAAAATTTCATAAAATAGATGATTAAAACTCAAAACTTAAATATATATTACGATTAAAACTCAAAATTTAAATATATATTTTTAAAAAAAATTAAAATATTACATGCTAATTATTTTTTTATATTTTACATTATTATTATTTTTTTCAAATTATTTCACTAAAAAAATTGCCTACATTTGGCTTCTGGCTAATGTAAAACCGACCCTGAACCCGCCCGTTGGGCGTTGCCACTGGTTAAAGCATATTACTTCCTCGGGTCGGGTCGGGTCGGGTTTGAAAAGCACGACTCCTCAAAAGTTTTCAAGGTGCGGAGAGGAATCGTGGAAGTTGAAGCGACGGCAGAGGCGAACGGAGAAGACGAGGCGGCAGCAGCAGCTAGCTCCAGGAAGGAGCGACGGGTAAGAGTAAAATCATTCTAATTTAGTTACTGTTAAGTTTCCAATACATAGTCGATGAATAATTTTGTTTATAAGGGTGAAAGGGCAAGTAACCAACTGCTATCGATCGGCAGACTTCGATATTTTCCGGCGGTTTAGTGTCTTCTGTAGTTAGGTAAGTGGTAGAGATGTCTATGCGTAATAATGTGCCTCCTTCTTCCTCCTCCCGCTCTTCGGGCTTTGGCCCCTCTGTGCATATGCATGTACGGACCATCCTTTTACCCCGTCAGGCCTCGCAGTTGTTTTCTCAGGCCAGTGATGGCGCGCCTCCTTCTTGTCCCGGAACATGCGCCGCCCCCTCTGAGAGGTTGAATCTTAGTCCCTACTCTCCCAGACTGAGTGATGATGTAGCTAAACCAGCACCGTACGCTAATACTATGCGTTTTTCCTTTCCCAACTTGGATACCGTTGATCTCTACACCGAAGATGGAAAATGGGGATAATCTGTTTGCAGAAAGCATGGATCATCATCCCTACAACTGTTATAGAATCATTTCACCGATGGTTGGTCGTTGCTCTCCTGAAGCAATGGAATTTTTGAATGCTATTCTTCCTTTACAAGGTCCTCTTCTTGCAAGAGATTTGGGGTTTTTACTTGGGTATTTGGTCACATGTTATGAACTTGTTGCATTAAAGCTGCCGCACTTGGTTGTTAGCATCATCCATGGCACGAAGTTTTTGCATTTTGAGAATGGTCCGATGATCGATGTTGCATCTGTGATTCAGCTACTATTGGCGTTTGATGGTTTCGTAGGTGCAGAAATGGATCCTAAAGATGCTGTTAAGGTTGCAACACAGGTTGGTGTGACATCTACTATTGGTGGCAACATAGCAGAATCGAATGAGTTTCCAACAGCTTATTATGCACTCATACCTCCTGTTAAGAGCATCATAAATTATTGCTTGGATTCTTTCAATAGAAAGTGCAATCGTGTTGATGGTATTTATAGCGTGTACTTTAAACCTTTTGTGACACAACCATCATGTAAGTGTTAAAAAATATGTTGCTACATGCATGCCAATGTTTTTCAGATATGCATCGGCGGCTGTATTTGGTTGCGACAAAAATACTAGCCATAAGGTTGCTACGCATGGTAATCAGGATGAAAAAGATGATAGCCTGAGTCTTGTGGTCCGTAATGGTGGAAAGAAATTGTTGAAACATTGTTTATGACAATAGTTGCCTCGTTGAGACATATGAGGAGTTCGTATTCACCCTTATAAACAAAAGGAGTTCCTAACATTCATTCAATCCGGTGCACTAACAATTATGATAGCTCTACCTTTAACTTACACTTTTACTCTATGAATGAAATTGTTTCTTTGCATCCATAGCTAATGCTGCATTGCTGTTTGGTATCTCAGCCATGGCGGAAGGAAGGGAAATACCTCTGAAAGTTATGGGAGTAGTAGAGAAGGTGAGCGGGAAGGAGCTGAGTTATGGTGAATTTGTTGAGAAATACCTGGCGAAAAACCAACCAGTTATTGTTACTGACCTCACTGTCGATTGGCCAGCTAGTGATGACTGGGTGTTGGATGATGGAAAACCTAATCTCTATTTCTTCTCTGAGCACTTCGGTAGCTCCAGAGTCCAGGTAGCATCATAACTATTGTGTTTTAATTGTTCTTATAGCATTGATTAGGTGATTAACAGTGATTTGTCGGATGCATTAATAGGTTGCAGATTGCGGTGTGAAGGAATTCACAGATCAGAAGAGGATTGGAATGTCTGTATCTGAATATATTGGTCGTTGGCTGCAACTTAGGTCCTCTAATGAAGGAAGTGATTGTGGCGGGGAGTTGTTGTACTTGAAAGATTGGCATTTTGTTAAGGTTTCTTCTTCAAAAGTTATGTTTATGCTTTGTTTCTTTTGTTGAGATTTCTTTTCTTTCTGCACTATGAAATTTGGAATGTTGTTACTGTTGTTCTTGTTGAATTGTTATGTTATTATTTCTTTCAATTGTATTAGTTTGGAATGGAGAATGAAATTGAAGACAATTAATAATAGAGAATAAAATTGCAGATAAAAGATTTAGCATAGAAAATGGGAATTGATTATTAGGTTGGATTTTTTATATATAAAGGTTGCAAAAATTAGTAATTCAGAAATATACTAATCAATAATATAAATTAATATAATTTTTTTCATGAAACTCTACTTTCTATGTGTACAGCCGTCTAATCATGGTGGATGGTGTGATGGTTATGCCTGAGACGAAGTAGAAGATTTGGGGTAGTAAGGGTTTTTTATGTAGAATGTACAGAATTTGAGACAAATTGTATTCCCCCCCCCCCCCCCCCCCCGCGCGGAAAAAAAAAACAAGTCAATTGGCTACATATCTGTGAAAGAGTTGGAAGTAGAGAATGAAAAATAAATTAATTCTCCATTTTCAATTTTCAGTGGAAAACAAACAAATAAAATGAGATTAGTTTTATTTCTCTACCATTATTTCCTTGTAACAAAATACCTCTTTAGATTTGTATCACTTTGGAATTGGAACTGAATTCGATAATTTTGGTTCATTTTACTTTATAAAATACCAACCAAATTTGAAAGTTTGAATTGGGCTATATTCACTTTAGTAATTTGGTGTATCAACAAATTCAAAAATTGTCAAAGCAGGGACTACAGTTGCCAGATAGCATAGAATCATGCAAATTTAGTCATGCCATATTATATAAAGTAATTCTTACACGATACCCGTATACTAAACAAATTACTGAATTGAAAGTAACATATATGTTATTAAATTAATGTGTCCTCAAAACCCATTTCATGTGGAATTTATATAATGTAACCAAAATGTTTTTAATTGATTCTGTAATTATTGAATTCATGTATGCTGCTATTCAGGAGAGAGTCTCATCCTATGTACTATGTTCACGACTACACTAGGTCTTATAGAGATGCTCAAAATCGAGTTGCTTTGTACCATTTTTAGGCTTCATGCTTATTAATGGAAGATTTAATGTAGCAATGTTTTATTGTATTCTAAAGTCCCATCCCTAACCCCTCACCCCTGTTCTTGTTTATTGTGAAATTTGTATGATAAATCATTTTAATTCCTTTTGGCACTTGTACATTTAATCAAAAATGGGTAAGATCCAATTTAATTCGGGTATGCAAACTTATCTAGAGAAACCTGAACTGCACTTGATGCTTTTGTGATTGACACAATTTTGATATGTTGTCTTAACTAATTGAACATTGGCAGGAATACCCAGAGTATGTTGCCTACACCACTCCAAATATTTTCCTTGATGATTGGTTAAATCTCTATCTCGATAGCTACCGTATGCATGTTGATAATGATACAGTTCAGAAGGTGAATGAAATTTGTTGCTCAGACTATCGATTTGTGTACATGGGAGCAAAAGGTGCTGCCATAAACTCAACTAGCTGTTAATGTTAGAATTTTTTTCACCCTTTAAATCCCCCTGTATCTGACCAATCTATGCTTAAATTTGTTGAATAAATTTATTTTTACCATTAAGTATAATGTAACACCATTGATCCTAGTGCAGGCACGTGGACACCTCTTCATGCTGATGTTTTCAGATCATATAGCTGGTCAGCCAATATTTGTGGGAGGAAAAAATGGTATTTCTTGTCCCCAAATCAACACCATCTTGTGTTTGACAGGTACAAATTTATTTTTGGTATATTTTTCCTGTCAATATGTTACTGTGGGCATTCATAAAATGTCTAAAGCAGCACTTGTGGAGAAAATAAGTCATCCTCTTATGTATCTCGTATACTTTATTTAGTCTACACTGTCTGAATGTTGAAGATAGTTATATAAAGATGCTTCTTTCTATTAATTTGAATGACTACAATGATTACGTGGAGAAGATTGCATTTAAAAAATGTAAAAGCTTCCTCAAGAGTGGAATAAATAGTGCAATTGTTGTCATGGGAAAATATGTCGTAAAATATCATCTGCAATTGAAAATTTTAATTACCTGGTGTGTACTGAAATATAACTTATAGTTTTATATTCTATGTTTTTCGTAGATATATGAAGTCTTCTGTCTATGACATTTTTGAAGATGTTTGCAAATCAAAGTATCCTGGATTTGAGAAGGTATAAATCAAACCATAATTCAGTTTTTATCTTTCTTACATGGTTTTAATAACTTTATTAAAAAGTATTAATGTGGTATTTTGTTACAAATATTTGTGCCTGTCCAGGCAATCTGGTTGGAGTGCACTCAGGAACAACATGAAATCATCTTTGTGCCCAGTGGATGGTACCATCAAGTTCACAATCTGGTATTCTAAACTGTTAATTTATTTAGAAAGTAAAGGAATTTTATTCATTATTCATTAATATAGAAAGTTGATAGCTAAAATGGTTGAACTAACCATAACAAAACAACTCTTGCCAAATCAGCTAAGTAAAACATCTCTAGATATCCTAAGGTTTTCTTTGAAGGTATGAAATAGGATGTCCAAGGTCAACCCAAAAGTGGATTCTACTTCCATTTCCTAGCGGGGATAGCTTTCCAAAACATCTCTAGATATCCTAAGGTTTTCTTTGAAGGTATGAAATAAGATGCCCAAGGTCAACCCGAAAGTGGATTCTACTTCCATTTCCTAGCGGGGATAGCTTTCCATAAAGAATACTTGGAAGAATTGCATGATATCTGACTTGAGAGAGTATTTGAATACCTTAAAGAAATTTAGGTTTTGGGTGTTCAGACCTGGTCCATATGGATCACAAGATAAAAATGCTGCTAAGATCTTGTATTAAAAACCTGGTCCGAGTAATGTCATTAGAATTCTTAAGAAGTGATCCAAACTCTACAAATTTGGGAGCGAAAGGTGTTTTCCTGATTCTTTGGGTGAAATGAGACAATATCTCTTACATAATATCTTCAATAGTTTTGGATATTACTAATATTATTAGTGCTAGATAGTAATTTATGTCTATTTATTTTCATCATCCCCATATATACTCATGCACTTGTAGTGTAAATAATTTTTTTTTAAAGGAATACATTTAATCCTCTTCCATTTCCAATTCATTCTTGACATAGTATAAGAGCAAGTTATCTCTCACAATGCTAGTCGCAGACTCCCAGTTTTTTTTTTAATCATTCCCCTTCATTCTCAACAAATAGAATTTAGTTCTTACCCGTTGACATGAAGAAGCAGAATTCTGTTAGTTGCAAATCTAGCAACTGTAGAACTTTGAAACGAAGTTTTTTGTCATTTTCCCCATCCACCATCCATGATATCCTAAATTTTTGTCTTTGAGTGGAATTATATTTCTTCCTTGGTTTCCAAAGAGCAAATTTTGCACAAAATTACTTTTTCTTGAAGAGCAACATCAACAGGATTGTTGACCAGAGTGTTTTCCAAATTCAGGAGCAATGATGCAGGCTGTTCTATATCTACACTATGCACCTGCTTCATATCCATTTCATGCTGTCATGCATTTCTTCGGTTCTTCTAATTTGTACAACATTTTTGAATTTATACCCTTTGGGAATTGAAAAAAACTCCTATGCACTACCAACCAATTCTTGACTTAGGATTCTCAAACCAGTGATTAAAACCCCTAGCGGACATGGCCTAGGGAGCCGTAAAACTTTGATGATGTGAGAACGGAGGAATTCACACATGCAATTGAGATTTCAGTCTGAAACTTTTGAGTAAATACTAATTACAGAGTTAGTTCAATCTGCATTTATGCTGTGTGATCTGAATTAGCTGACATGCTTATATCTACACCTAAACTGTACGTAGCAATTTAGCATTGTAAATTTCTACCTAGATGTGTACACAGCTAAATGGGATGTATCAGACTGTCTGGGAATTTTCATGTTCTCCACCAGTTATAAGAAGGTGCTTATTCCATAATAATGATTTTCAGGAGGACACAATATCAATCAATCACAACTGGTTCAATGCCTACAACATTTCTTGGGTGGTAAGAACTTTTCAGAGGAGATTATGCTGGTGATAAGCCTAAATGGTACTTATTGAATATATGATTCTTTTCTTCTTACGATATCTCATGTCAACAGTGGGAGTTGCTTTTGAATGAATATAAAGTGGCAAAGGAGTATATTGAAGATATCCGGGACATAGCTGATGATTTCGAAGCTCTCTGCCAGAGGAATCTCGCAGCCAACGCAGGTTTGCTTTAGTTCACAGTTCATATTATTAAGATTGAATGTGGAGTAGTCCCGTAAGGGATGGCCTGGTGATGTAGGGGTTGGATTTGTGACCGTGAGGTCATGGGTTCAAACCCCCGACGCCTCAGGTCACTTGCCACACATGGTTTGCCTAGTGTGACTTTTTCGTCGGGCCTGGTTCGGCCTGGGGTTTATCCAGTGCGCACTTTCGGGTAGCGACTACGGGTTCCCACGTCATCAAAAAAAAAAAAAAAGATTGAATGTGGAGTATTCCGATAAAAAAAAAAAAGATTGAATGTGGAGTAAGGAATTCTTCCATATCTGGCTTAAAAATATTAAAACTGTTAATAGTAACTATGGATTATTGCAAGAATGTAACTTCTTTTTTAATGCCTTTGACACATTTGTTAAACCAATGCATGATGGGTTAGTATTTATTGCTAACATATGAGGTGAATTTCAATTTTCACTTCAGCAGGTTTCTTTTTCGAATTATATGAGTTTTACTCTATACCTTACCTTCATCTTTCTTGTGTGGTAACATCATTAGTTAAACTTTTGTAATTTATTCTTCCAATCATTTGCTCTGGCTTCCTTTGCAGGCATGGATTTCCAAGATTTTTTCATTTTCATGATTCGCTTTGCAATGGCTAACTTGGTCCTACTTTACTTGCTGAGAATTGATCTAAGAGACATCACCTGGAGCTCATCTGAAATATTTCGGCATTTACTGCTCAATCTCAGAAGTATCCAATCTGTTATTCTGAAGATGCAATCTGCATATGAATCTGAAAAGTGCGATTTCGCTATTATCAGTCTTAGAGAAACCATTGTGGATCCGACATTTATGGACTTTTGCAATGCGCTGGGAAGATCATGTTGCATTATGCATGATGTGCACGAAATAGATATCAATGTTAATCATCATTTACTGGATCAGCTCAATTTTTTTGAGTCCTCTGGTTCAACTATTTCGAATCCGGGCAAGATGGTTACATTTTTAGAATCTGCTCTCGAACTGGTCCAAACTATTGATTGATGAGACATTTGATTCGCCTCTCTTTATTTGAGACCAATTTCTAAGGTAGCTTCTTTTGAAGGACATGTCTATACTGAAAAATGGTCACAAGAGGCGCACTTTGAATACATTCTCGCCATTGGATGTAGTGGGAGGCTCGGACAACAGCTGCTGTATTCTGCTTCTGCTTAGGTCTAACTGGTACGCCATTTTGTAGAATATCGTAATGGAGCCATTAAAATGGTCAACAGCTGATGATTTATGGCTGTGATAATTTTTGCTTATTAAACTACTTCCTACATCGATGCAGAAATAGTTTCTTACTTATTCAAAGTGCAAGAAAGCAAATTTTAGTTTTTTTGACTAGTTACAATAAATTTGGTTGATTGATTATCTGCACAACCACACTTTCCAAGAGTAGCAAATTTCAAAGCTGTTGGAGTGCGTGTACTGATTCTTGATTTCTTGTGTATATTAGTAGCTGGACTAGTAGTTGTGATAATGACACATTTATTGTCGAGAGCGACGCCTTTAGGTGAGTTTTTGAATGGTTTGGAACAACAGCTGTTCAAAAACCATAAACAATAGGGAAAGAAAAAACATCACATTTACAAAGTGCAATGTAATGTGAATTGCATCGAAAAGTGCTTAGCTTAGGTTCTTGTCTAATCCACATATCCCGTAATTCATCTATTGTGTGAAATCTATGTGTTTTCAATTCAAGTATATGCAAAACATCATCTCCATCTAAAAGATGAAGTTGATTGTAAATAAAATGGATGAAAAGTCTTAAATAGTATTGTTTGAATAAAATAAACAAGTGATCAACGTTTTTTTTTTTCTTATATATAGTTTTTTTGGAGATGAATTGCGACTTAATTTTTGCGAAAAAAAAGAAAAGAAAAGAAGAGTCAATCAATTATTTATTTATTTATTATATTCAAAGAAAGCCTTTTAAGATGTTTTTTTATTTTGTTTGTATAACACTTGTATTTGTATAATTAGTTGTGTGTATAATCAACGTCAGTTTTGGACAAAATGAACAACATTCTTTATACAAATTTACGAAATAAGAGATTATTTTGTGCATAGTTTAAGCTAAATGTAATGTAGAGTATTTATACGTTTATAATAAAAACAAAGGGTATTATACGAATTACCTATTGAGGTTTCGATTTAGAAATTTGGCTTTTTTTTAGTGGTGTTACGAGTGAAGCTAGTTATGTTTAGCTTTGTTCTTCTAAGCCTGAGCTGTCATTTAAATAAGTATTGCTTGAACATTATTTGACTAGTGAATTGTGGAGCTTAGTATATTGTAAAAAATGAACAGCATTCAATTATAGTCGATAAATTGACCCTTTGTTACTTATTGCTTAGTTAAGTTTTTCTCGTGCTCCAACTCGACTCGTGTTAGTATAAACACAGCATCAAATGAAGGTTTTGAGAAGGATTTGTACATGTTTTAGTAAAACAGAGTAATAGCTTTATGAATATGCGTTGCTGTCTCTTTGCCATATCTCTTGTCCTAAGCTGCTTTTGTGTGTGCTGCAAAAATAGGATTTGTTTCCATGCCTTTCTTATGGCTGATAATACATCTATGCCTTTTATTGAAAGCTACTGATATATATATATATATATAATGTTTATATGATCTATATACGCACCGAGTTGGTTAGTTTGTTGTATAGAACTAGTAGCTCTTTTATATTCTTTAAACATAAAAAAAACAATAATATATCTTTTCTTTTATATAGAATTACATTAAAATTATCTAAATAATAATAATAAACTCTTAAAAGAGCACTATAACTATGTTTTGTTAATTTACTAGGGTTGAATGTTTGTTGTGTTCATATAGAAGTTTTGTGAGTTTTACAAAATGTTGATAGTAGTAAAAAAATGAGTTATTTTATAAAATGAAATAAGTATTTAATACTCTTTCTTCCTTTTGACAAATTATTTATTTTATTTTTGATCCACCCCATTACAGGTATTCATTTTTTTTTATTTAACTGTATTATTTATTAAAATTAAAAATACCATCACTGTTTATAATAAATTATGCAAATGTCATTATTTTTTTATTTCATACAATACTATAAAGTTGTTTTTGTCATTTTGATTTTAATTTTTACTATATATTAATATTATACTAATATTTAAAAACCTACTTGTAAATATCATCCAAAGGGTCGGATGGAGTATGATTTTTTTTTTTAAAAAAAAATTATTATTGATGAATAATGCCAAAATTTCTCAAAAAGTGTACCTAAATAAAGTTGGTATTGGAATTGATATATATATATATATAATTATTTAAATATTTTTAATACATTACAAAAGGGATTTTTGAAAATGGAGAATTTCTGAATAGAAAGGGTTTTGTTACAATTTGGTTTGATTGTGATCTTTTACAAGAAAAAATAATAATTTAATAGGGAATAAGATTATAACAAAAAATAAAAAATAAAATTGGAACCATGCTCCAAGTAATTAAATATTATTTATTTATTTTTTAAATGTTAGAACCATTCACTCTCAATGATAAAGTTTACCTAAGTTTATTAAAACTCCAATTGAACAATTACAAATTCCTATCAATCTAAAGAAATTGTACTTTAAAGTGCGGTGGACTTAGTGTAAGTCGGTGATTGATGACGGTAAAATCATTGGTTCAAATCGTATCGATGTTTTAATCAAACATCTGTATGGAACTCATTTATATATATAATATAACAAAAAAATATAAATTAGATTAAACTTAAAAAAAAATGAATATGTTTATGTTAAAAGATATAAGAAATAATTACAATATATGCTCTTACGGACATCTAGGGTTCGTTCGCGGGCCTCCATAGTAAAAATAGTTTCCCCAATCATTGTTCTTACCGGCCCTAATGTCGTAGCAGTTGGGGCGGTCCGCCCGCAGCTGTAAATTCGACAAAGGTATAAGATTGTTGCCCCAATCCACGACCTCTAGGTTCCGGAAGTAGGACGCCCTCCCGAACCCTTCTCCGGAAAAGTGACCGCTCCCCATCTGAGTCGACGTGTGATGCCCTGTTGTGGGCATGTTCACCACTTCCCCTCCAAATTGAACCATGCTCGCGTGCTTTTGCATGTGCGTGAACAAAAACGACGGCCAATACCCTACCAATATTCCTGACCCCAACTCCAACCACCAATGCCCGTGTTTCGGGTCCTACAATGTCACATCAAAAGACGCCGGGTTATTAGTGTCGACTCTGCTTAATTTGACTTATGTTTACTTTTTAACATTTGAAATCAAAATTAATACTGTTTATCTCTCAAAACATCACGTCAAAATACAATTTAAATAAAAATTTAATTCAACACATTATGTCAAATCAATTTCAAACAACAATTAAACAAACTCATGATTTTTTTTAAGGCAAAATTGTCCATAATTCCCCTTTACTTTCGAAACTCAGCATAAATTTTATTTGTACTTAAAAAGTTGCATGATGTCCCTTGTATTTTAAAAAATATTGCATGAAACTCTCCGTCATGCAGAAAAATGTATATGATAAATCATCTTTTCATTGCACGAAAAATATAAAAAGAGGTTTCATGCAACGATTTTAAAGTATAGAAAAATGCTATGCAATTTTTAAAGTACATAAAAAATTTACATCGAATTTCGAAACCACATAGAAGTTATGTGAAATTTTGGTTTTTTATTCAACATAGTGTCGACAACACATGCATCATATTATGGTAGACAATAATAGTATCATCATAAACATCACATAACTTAATTCACATCAAAAGACGCTGATTATTAGTGTTGACTCTATTTGATTCGATCTAAGTTGTTTACCTTCTTTTCTTCGAGGAATAATCGGATTATAAGATTTTTTTTTTTTTTGTTACTATGTAATTTTTATACTTTCTTGTAGACATTGTTATGATTACTGTGTTGAATTATATAATTTAATATAATGCTTACAATACATCATATTATACAAACAATAGTACGATGATAAACAATTAAACACCACCTAATTTATATGTTTTTTTTATATATATATAATATAAATACAACACATAACAATCATCTACCGTTAATTTTTAAATAGTACAACTAATTTACTAGTTTTTCATGTGTTATTGGAAAAATATGCATGGTAATGAATTCCTATATAAAATAAATTATTTTTTTCTAACAAAAGGTTACTATAACTATTATTTAAATACAAATATAAACCAAACACAGTAAACAAACCCCTAGTCACGTGGATTTGTAATGTTATTATTTTTTGTTGAATTGATTTTTTAAAATATTATTTTAAAAAAAGATATATCCACACAATTAATTCAATATATATATATTATTTGTTTATAAAAATCAATCATTCAACTTAAAATATTATTTTTTATATTAATAACACAATTAACATAAAAAAATATATATTATCCAAAAACACAGAGCGAATACATTGAGATTGTTAAGTTCATTTTCGTCCAAATCTTATTATTAATCTTTCAATTTTAAAACTTGTTCAAACCTTGGATATGAAATAAATAAATAAGACAATATTTTAAATATATATATATATATTTAATTTTTAGAAAATACAATTATATATATATGTTTCTTGTAATGAATTTCATACATACCTTCCATATCATAATGCCGATATCGAATTGTCGGCCCGCATACGACGATTGCGGAGATATTGCCGCACCAATCGCTATATTATTGTTGATTTGGACAAAACCCGAGCATAGCAAGTTGTAGCATCCCGTTGTTTGATACGCATCCGTCTTCATACATGCAATGCAATACTCGAGGATTGTTAGGTTCCGTCTGCTTATATTTTCAAAATTATTTGTCAAAAATTTTATTTTAAAATTTATTATACTAAAAATATAATTTTTATTAAAAAACACTATGCAAAATGTTACATTCAACAACTACTTATATCACATTAAACACTTATTTTAATTATACTCCATCTGTTCCCAATTTATTTGCTATTTTGAGATATCTCAAAATATTTATAATGTTCTATATTTTATATTTACTTTTTTTATTTTATATTTATCAATACAATTTATAAAATCGTGGCAAAATTGTTCATAATCTATATTTTGGAAAGCTTGCACTATTTTCCTCTATGATTTAAAAATTGCATGAAATTCTTTTATATTTTATATATATTGCGCAAAATTCTCCTTTTAAGAGTTTTTGTGCAATATTTTCAAAAATACAAAAGTGCCTGACACAATTTTTAGGGAATTTTTGTGCAATATTTTTTAAAACACGATGAGCTTAATGTAGTTTTTAAATCACGAGGAAGAATGATGCAAACTTTTGAAACTACAAGTAAATTATATACTCCCTCCGTCCCATAACAAAGTATCCATTTTTCCATTTTAGTCCGTCCCATAACAAAGTATTCATTTCCTTTTTTAGTAACTGATCTACCTAATATTAAAAATACCCTTAGAACTTACAATATATTACACAAATGCTATTACGTTTATATCACACATACTAACAATGTTATTTTAGTCATTTCTACTTTATTCCTACTATATCCCAATATAATACTAATATTTCTAAAACTACGTGCAAAAAGCAAATGGATACTTCTTTTTAGGACGAAGAGAGCATAATAATTTTGTCTAAAATCATTATAAGCAAAAAGTAAAGCAAAATAGTCAAGAATCTATCAAAATTGTACGACCTAGAAAAATATGTTTAAATAAAAACTAGCAAATAAATTGAGACGGACGTAATATTTAATTTTTTACGATTCGAAAATCAATTCAAAATGCCAAAATCTTTTCAAAACACATCTAAACACAGTCTTTGTCCATTAAAATGATCGATCATGCATTACACAAGTAAGTATATATATATATATATATATACACGAACCGTCCAATATGTGAAGAATCTCGGATAGTTGTCTCCATACAACTTCGGACTAACCTGAAATATTGAATTATTTCAAATCCATTTATAATAATGTTCATATATATATATAAATATATATATGAGCAAAATCGAATCCTTGTTCCATACAACATACATTATTTTTTATAAAAATATACTTTTTCCGTTTAATTTCTATTGTCTTAAAGTATATTTGTATAATTTTTTAGGTAATTATTTTTTGTTGTAAATTGACAAATTTACCCATTTACGGTAAGGTAGAGATTAAAAGCGATAATGAATGAAGGATAAAAAAATTATATTTTAAAAAAGAAATATTACAATAGTTATTGAATGTCACAAATAAGAAAATAAAATATTAGTTTGTAAACTGAAGAAATACCCACTACAAGAAAAAATTATTTTTGTAACAAAACTTTTTTGTCTCTAAATTTACTTTTTCCGTTACTAATGACATTAGATACAGAATTAGTAATGGAATTACGTTAGCTACGTGAACTTTAGGGACGGAATTCCGTTACAAATATATTATTTTTTTGTAGTGACCGTGTGAAGGTTTTGGCTAAAATAAAAATAAAGAAATTCTTTATTATGAAACATACATTATTTTCTATAAAAATGTAATATTATTATTTTTTTTGCATAAAAAATATTATATAATTATTTAAATATAAAATATAAATAAAAATTCAAACTAAACACACCTTTAAATAATCATATGTTATTTGATATTTCGGCTCTATTTACACACACAAATTAAAAATTTTAGATACTATTTATCCTCAACAATATCTTATTCTTCCTTATAATATCATATCAAATATTTATTTTTATTTTCCAGAAGCTAACGTCTAAGTATTTAATAATAATAAAATAACATTCCAATTAATTTCATAAAATAAAACGTGTTTATTAAATTCAATTCAACCTAAAATAAAATGTAATTTATGATTGGTCTTATTTATTTCCTTTTTAGAGTGTTGAGCCAAACACAAACTCAGCAGCTGAACTTAGCCAACCAAATATCACTTTGTTCAGTAAATTAATAAATGAATTCATCAGTGGGTAGATATCACTCATAAATTGTTTCACATATATATATATATATATACACATACGCGCGCGGGGACGGAACTACGCTAGGGTTTGGGGGTCAACTTCTAAGCTAATATTTTTATGATTTTTTTAGTATTAAAAATATTAATTTTTATGTATTTATATACAATTTTCTCCTCCCCAAAACTATTTAAATTCATATATAATTCTGTTATTATTATTTATTTAAATTTATTAGCTAAATATTAAATAAATTATAATACTTTATCTCCCCGGGATTTAGATGCTAGTTTCGTCACTGTATATACACACATTATTTTAGTTTTTTCAAATTAATTATACTCCCTCCCTCCCGCTGCAAGGTTACCATTGACTTTTTGCATGTTGATATTTAAATATTAATTATTATAACAAGACGTAGTACAAATCGAGAAAAAAATACAAGAATATGTTTATTAGTCTCTTATAATACCAATACAATGACATTTTTAAAGTAAGTTATTCAAATATAATAATATTTTTAATGTCAATTATAATAACGCAAAAACAAAATGACAACCTTGCAGCGGGACGGAGGGAGTATAATAAATTTTATAAAAAATATTTTATTCATTAAGGTTACATTCCAAATAGCATACACATAATTCACCCTAAAATTTCTTATGAAACTGTTATACTTATAAAATTCACCTTGTAGAAAAATAGTCATAATTTTTTCTATTAATTGTGTTTTGATTTTATTTTTTTTTTTAAACAAATTAAAATAGTAGTTCAAATTAAATACATTTTATTAAAGAAAATAATATGTTTTGATAAAATAATCACGATGATTACATAATTAAAAAAAAAAGTCATCAAACGACGGATTACCTGCCATCCGGCTTCGATGGTGTTGAGATCATTCCCAAATGATCCCGAAATCAGCCACAATTGTGACAAGCTAAACTCGTATTCATTCATAACGCGCGGCGCCCACACGCTCATGCTCGCTTTCGCCCCGTAATATTCATCCCCGTTTACGAATGCTACCGCGTGCTGTATGTATGTACACAAAATTTTATACTTATAGTTACTCGATATATATAAGAGTGAATTTTAACGGCAGTTGATTTGACCAAATTAGCATATTAAGGGTGCGTTTGTTTGGGGATTTGGATTTTGAATTGAGATTTGAATAGTAAAAATTTTGAATTTGAATAGTTGTATGATGTGATATAAATAGGTGTTGATGTGATGTTTTGAATGTAAAATTGATTTTTAGTATAATATAAAAAATAAAAAATAGGTATTTGATTTGATATTTTTGGGGGAAAAAAATTGGATGAATATCCAAACAAACACACCCTAACATGAAATAATTAACATTTTCTCACATGTGAGATAGCATATTATCAAGTTAATACTCTAGAAGCAATTAATATTTCATTACAAGATATATATAGCATATCCTGTGTTATGTAGAAATTAAATATGTATAGTATAGACTATATATTGTCTTGAAATCAACTTACATTGTATTTACCTTTTGCGTGTCATTGTATTAATATACAAAATATTTTTATATTTTTATAATTATTTTTTTACAAATTTTATTTTATTAGTATTATAAGATACTAATGAAAATATTTTTGTAATTTTTTTTTAATTTATACTGTGTTTTGATATAATAATTAATATTAAATATCAATACCAAAAAGTAAATGAGACCCTTAGAGCCGATCGAATGTATTATTACATTGAAATGGTGTCAAAAGCAAATAAGTTTTTTATTTTTTATTTTTTTATTTTTTTGGGTAAATTATATAATACCTTCTCGTGTTTTAGTAAAAATGCACAAAACACTCCGTGTTTAATTTATTGCGTGAAACCCCCTTGTGTTAATGTAAAATTTGCATAAAACACCCTCTTGTCGAAAATTGATATTTGATTTTAAATAAAGACCTAAATTACGCAACGCAAAATATCTTAAATATTTTTTTGAAATACATAAATATTTGATTAATCTTTCATTTTATAGTTTTTTGAAAACAAATTGTTATCTGATTTATATAAAAACTATAAAAATAAATGATTGGTCAATTATTTATTTTTTTTTATGTTATTCAAAAAAAATTATTTAAAAAATTTTACTTTTTTTATTTGTATAAAATTTGCGTAATTTAGTTTTTTTATTTAGAACTAAATATCAGTTTTAGACAATGACGGTGTTTTATACAAATTTTATATTAACACAAGGGGTTTCACGCAATAAATTAAACACAAGGTGTTTTGTACATTTTTATTAAAACAGATATTATATAATTTATCCTATTTTTTTTTTATAATGGAGTGTATAACTTTTAAAGATTTTTTTTTAATATAATAATTTATTTTAAAAAATAGAAAAGAAGTTAAAAATATAAAATTAAAACTTATTTATTTTTTTTTTTACAGATATTCATTTATTAGTATTATAAGACATTAATGAAAGCATTTTTATAATTTTTTCTTAATTTGTATTAAAGATCAGTATGAAAAAGTAAATGAGACCTTAGAGCCAGTCGAATGTATTATTACATTAAAATGGTGTCAAAAGCAAATAAATTTTTTTTTTTTTTAAATGGAGTGTATAACTTTTAAAGATTTTTTTTTTATATATATAATAATTTATTTTAAATAATAAAAAAAAGTGAAAAATATAAAATTAAAACTTATTTTTGTAGAAGGTAGTGTAGCAAAATTAATTAATTAATCAGTAATTAATTAACGACGGACCTCGTGGTCGGCATCCATGGCGTCGCGGCGGATGCCACGTCGGATGGTCCTTTTCCGGCCAAATGTACGGAGGGAGTTGTTCTTGTTGTTGTTGAGCCTTAGGACATCCGCCTCCGTTGTTCTTCTTACAGGTATCGTCCCTTCCGGACACCATTCACCGCTTTCCATCCAACGCTGCCGGAACGGCGCCGGAGTTGAATTATTACTGTATTTTGAATGGTGGCGCCGCCGCCTCGCCGTCGCCGGCCGGCCAGCTTCCTGCATGCCCTCCATTACAACATCGTAGATAAAAAAAATATAAGAAATAAAAGCCAAAATTATATTCCTCTGTTAGCCTCTAAGGTGACATTTATCTTTACCTTATTATATTTAACAAAAAATATTCTAAGGTCATATATATCTTTACGTTATTATACTGAACAAAAAATATTTTTATATTTGTATAATTTTTTGTACGAATTAATTTCTTTTAGTATTATAAGACATTAAAAGAAATATTTTTGCAATTTTTTCTTAATTTGTACTACATTTTGATATAATAATTATTATTCAAAGATGAACAAGTAAAACGTAGATAAAACCCTTGGAGTCAGACGGAGACAATATTAATTATTACTCCCTTAGTCCCATATAATTTGTCCTTTCATTTTTTGAAAATATGATTATATACTTTTATCATATTTTAAATTTTATAATTTATGATTTTTTTAATCTTAATTAAACTATTTAATTATCTTAATTTTAATTTATAATTATTTTTATTATACCTTAATTATTTTTACTAATACACTTCTTAATTACTTACTAATTATATTTTACCTAGTATCGAGAGTATTATTATTATTATTATTAGAGCAAAATCATTTTTGGTCTCATTCAATATCATAATTATCAATTTTGGTCTCATTCAATTTTTATTTTTATTTTTTTTATCAATTTTGGTCCCGGTCGTGTTGGCTGCTTGGGACGGCCAGTCACCTTTTGAGTTATCCAACATCGCCGTGTTCAAGCCAATACGACCATATTCTATCTCAATCAACCATCTTGGGACTAAAATTGATAAATTTTTATTTGAATAAGACCAAAATTAATAAATTTTTTTGAATGAGACTAAAATTAATAATTATAAGATTGAATTTTGCTCTTATTATTATTATTTGCACCTCCTCCAACCAAGTCTCCCCTTTGGCTGTCTGAAAATTAATTATTAAATTAAATATATATATATATATATATATATACCTGCAGGTCCAGGATTAATGGAGGCTTGAGGTTGAGGTTAGGATGATCGAAAGCTGGCTGGAGATGTGAACGGACGCAGTCGATTATATCACCATCTGGGCTCTGCAAAATCAATATTCCAATTATCAATATTCATATATATATATATATATATATATACTGGTTTTAGAGAGAGAGAGAGAGAGAGAGAGAAAATACGAGGATAGTCTTGAGAGAGGGCTTGTTGATTCCGGCGAGGAATTCCGACAGATTCAAGGAGGAGGAGGAGGAGGAGACTACTGCTGCCGGAATTAGTAGTAATAATAATAATAATAATAATAATGAAGTAGTGTAAATTAGTAGAGTGAGAGTACGGGTATGAGTGAGAAAGACCTTCAGAATTGAAGATGAAGAAAAACAAGAAGACAAAATCATCGTCGAAGCTGCAGTAACAATTGTTTGTTTGTGTTGAAGTGAAATTATTAATTTAAATATTAATTATTACATATATATATATATAAAAAAAAAGCAGATATGTCGGATTGGAGAGTTCGAAGCGGAACGGGTCTAAGGCCGGGTTGAAGCGGAGCGGGACGGGACGGATTTCGGATTTTAATATTTTTTAGTTGAACGGATCCCAAAGTTTGCAAAATCCATTTCAAACTCGCTCCATTGACATTCCTACATAGGAGAGGTGGAAAGATGAAAAAATGAAAACGAGAAACCCATCGATATTGCATCTACTGCACAAGGCCGGCTCGAGATTGCATCAAAATTTCACTCTCAATTTTTGTGCCGTTGCACCAGTTTATTTTTTTTGACTCGAAGGAGAGAAGCCTCGAAAAGGTGGGGAAGGCTTCTAAATTAAAGTCACCATATTTGCTCTAATGTCAGCACAAATATCAAATGTCTAACTATTACTCTTGAGTCAGTGAATTCTATGCAAATTTGATTTTTAATAAAAATAAATAGTAATAATTATTATGATATTTTTTATATTAAAAATTTAAAAAGTAAAAAAAAACAAAAAGAAAAAAAAAATTCGCTAAAAAACCAAAAATATAATACTTCATTGGTTCAGACATGATGTTCATTTTACTGCAAATATAAGAATTTAGAAGAGATGGAATTAATAAATAATTAAAAATATATTAATTAAAATAATTATATATTAATATTAACATAACTCATTACTCTAATTAAAATTAAAAAATTTATAAATTTAACCATTTAAAATGAGATTAAAGTATATAAGTTTTTTTAAATAAAAAAATGATAAAATAAATGAGATACACAAAAATAAAAAAATGAACATAATAAATGATATGAAGAGAGTAATAATAAACATAAATTTGAATAATAAAAAAAAATCATTCCATAAGGAATGTTTTTGGCATAATTACTAATATATATATATATATATCCCTTAAATATTAAATCAATAAATATTTTCATTTATAATATTTTAGACAAAGTCGAAATACTTCTGACATAATTACGAACAGTCTTACTATCATCCTATACTACGTTGCAAATTAATTTCAAACCAAAATTCAAGACAACTCTTCTTCGACTGCCCAATTGTCCCCTATCAAAAATTCGATAGTCCCCCGTTTGGCTGACCCCAATCTTGACAAACCACAAGCCTCATCCTCTACTAGATGCACTCCCCTTTTCTGAAAATGTCCCAAACACACCCTCCCTCTTCAGCTTCTCCTCCTTCGCTTTCCGACAGAACATTATCCAAGAATTCACTTCAAGGGCAATGCAGATCCCCAACAATGTCGAAAGACACAGACAATACCCTAACTTGGCATAGGACTCACCTTCTCCCATGGCTTCGAAGCCCTGAAAACAATTCACGACGCCGACGACAACGCAGCCGTAGCCGACGAAGTGGTGGTACGACTTCCAATACTTACGGTACTTATTCGTAGTCTTTGGCCGGAACAAAAGCGCGAGCGTTTGTAGCCAGCCGAGGCAAAACGCCGCGAAACCGAGCTTCCGGTGAAGCCCGTAGGCCCGGCCCGGCGACATTTCCCCGAGCTTGATCCCGATGGAGAATCCGACGGTCCCCAAGAAAACCGCGGTTAGTTGAATCCCGGCGTGCGCGTAAAACCACGCGGGGCCCGCGGATCGGATGTGTCGGAGGTACCGGGCCGCCACGATCCCGGCCGGGAGGAGGAACCCCCACGAGACGGCGTTGATGATCCCGTGGACGATTTTGAGCGGCCGGGCGGCGTTGCGGGATTTCGTCGTCGACCCTGATAGAACGTCGATCGTCGTTATCGACGAGAGGTCGGACATCGTCGTCGGGTGGATCGTCGGGGAATAGCCTTGGACATAAAGCCCACGGTTCCAGATAAAATGGATCTTGGTTTTATTCGGGCTGAGTTTAATCGTGGCGTAGATCTGAATAGTGGCGCCGTTATGGATTGTGGCCATACGGCCGCCGTACAGTGTGGCCGACGACGAGAGGATGTGGAGGTCGAGGGGGCGGGAGAGGAGGGGAGATTTTTGTAATTTTACGGTCGGGTCTAAGATGTACGGGAGGAGGACGAGTTGGCCCGAATTGGGATCGGGGAATGCGATTAGGGCCCGTGTTCCCGTCATTTCGGGGGACGTCGGGTTGATGCCCCACCCGACCCAACCCGACGGGGATATGAAGCTACTAAAGAATACGACGTCGAGAGTGGCGTTGTGCGGGTGGAACGCCCACGCTATCGACGCTTGTTGCGTCGGTAATAACATGCATTTTTCGAACGTTTTGGAGGCCGTCGTCGTCGTGCAACGGACGGATAACGCTCCATCGACGCGCGACAGAACGAGAATCGAGATTAGAAATAGAAACATAGGTTTTAGGACTGGTACAAAATGATGTAAGGAAGTTGGAAAGACGAATCTTGTAACATGAAACTATGTAACAAGACTACAAATAGAGTGAGAGAGTTAAGAGAGAGAGAGAGAGAATTGTTGTGTAATGAGTAATGTATAGATTATAGTCTATGGTATCAATCATGAGGAAGATACTTTTGGATGTTCTTAGCTTTGAAGTAAGATTTCAAGCATGTTTTTAAGATAAATGATGAATATGATGTTGATTTAACTAAATATATATATATATATATAATAAAAATAGACAATAAGATAATTGAAATTTTATAACACGATATATTATACCATTTTTGTTCGATTTTAAAGGTCTCGTTTACTTTTTACATGTTAATCTTTAAATATTAATTATTATATCAAAATATAGTACAAATTAAGAGAAAAATGCAAAAATATTTTCATTAGTGCCTTATAATGCTAATAGAAAGACATTTGTACAAAAGACTATACAAATATAATGATATTTTTAATGTTAAGTACAATGACACAAAAAGTAAATATGATCTTTGGATGCGGACGGAAGAAATATACTCCCTCCGTCCCACATACCATGTCCACGTTGCCGTTTCTATCCGTCCCATATTCCATGTCATTTTCATTTTTTGGAAAATAATTACGCACTTTAATCTTATTTTAAATTTTTAATTAATTTTTTTAATTATATTTAAACTAATTAGTTATTTTAATCTTAATTTATAATTATTTATATTATAGGATAATTATTTTCACTAATACATTCTTAATTATCTATTAATTACACCTATCGTAAAATACCGTGTCTACAATGTAACAGATACGGTATGTGGGACGGATGTAATATTATATAGAGAGTATGTTTTCTTTTATTTGAATTTGATATTAAAATAATATTTGATGAGATATTTTGTTAAAAATGTAGAATCCAAATAAAAAAAAAATGAGAGTTTGGTAAAAAAAACATCCAAAATGATTTATTATCTACCTTTACTAAATGTGCCAACGGTAGATCCACATTCTCTTTTTCGTATTATATAAATTATAATTGAAAATATATTTTTCTTTTTAATTAAAAATCAATATATTTAAAATTTATCTTATTTATAATTTAAATAAAATTAAGTATATTTAAAATATCATATAACAACTAAACTACTATCCATATTACAACAAAATATTTTTACTTTGCTATCGGTATTACAATTTTTTTAAAGCATATCATATTCAATATATATTACTATTTATTTAAAAAAATTATAATAAAGATATATTTTTTTTAATATTATATATTTAATATTTATTTTTCAATAATATTGTATGTAAAATTTAATTTTTCCTGGATAAATTACATTGTACCCTCAAAGTTTATTGAATAGGCATCAATATTCCATGCTATTTAAAAATTATATAAGATTTATTTGTATTTTATAAAATTCTATGCAAATAAAAAATCAACAAAAAGAAAAAAATTGTCTTAAATGTTACGATTACAATTGAAATTGCATATTTAACTTAACAAATTTATGTGCACCCCATGCAATATTTATACTCCTTCCGTCCCGGTGAAAGAGTGCCGTTTGCTTTTTGCACGTAGATTTTTTAATATTAGTATTATATTGGATTGTAGTAAAAAAGACAAAAATATCCCTATTAGTATAGTGTAATATAAAAGTAATGACATTTGTGTAATATATTGTAAATTGGAAGCATATTTATTATGTTAGGTAAATAGTACAATTACTAAATTAGAAAATGGTAATCTTGTTTTGGGACGGATGAAAATAGAAAATGACAATTTTTCAATGAGACGGAGGGAGTATTATATAAAATACTATTATTTCTTTCGTCTCAAATACTGCGCAATATTTGATTGCAATAGAAATTTATGTAGATAATATTAAATAGAATAATTAAAAATTATATGATATAATAAGATAGAGATGTATATTTATTGTTTTATTCAAACCAAAACTAAAACTAACATTCAAATAATATACTATATATAAATTAAACACATCACTAATCTTTAGATTATATATATATACGAAAAAATAAACTTTGGTCCCAATATAATTAAAATTTATTAATTTTTTGTTCAAATATAAAAAAAAAAACTCATCAATTTGTCTCAATATAAATAATTCCAATCAATTTTGGTCATATTATAAACACTTTCAATCAATTTTGGTCCCACCGTTAAAAAACTAACGGAAATTGCTGACGTGGGCATAACGGAGGTGACGTGACAGTTGACCTGGAAAGTACACGGCTATGTACAATTATACACAACCATGTTGTTACATAACCATGTATATTTCAGTGTATAATTATACATGATCATGTTGTTACACTGCCACGTCACCTCCGTCATGTCAATATCAGCAATTTCCGTTAGTTTTTTAACGGTGGAACCAAAATTGATTGAAATTATTTATAATGAAACCAAAATTGATTGAAATTGTTTATATTGGGATCAAAATTAATAAATTTTGATTATATCGAGACCAAAATTAATTTTTTTCCATATATATTGGAAATGATGATGTTGTGTAGTAATTATGTTTTGGTTAATATATATAAGTGAAGCTTTAAATGTATTGCTTGGCTTCAAAGCTAAGAGAAAGTTATCTACTTGATTTCCATCATTATGAAAGCGAACCTTTTATCTATATATATATTATTATTTTAATATAAAATTGTGATAAAATACTTTTTTTTTAAACAAAAAAAAAAAAGAAAAGAAAAAGAATATACATGTGTAAAAATGTAATTTCGTTTGTGTTAGACGAGAAAATTTCAACGATAAAACGTAAAATTTAAAAATATATTTCGAATTTGATATGTATTGTCTGAGATTAAAGATCTCTCAGCAATGAATTTAATTACACTAAAAATTGATTAAATAAAAATTGAAAACATGAAAATGATCGTGTGACTACAAGTTTCGTATTTTTCAATCCTAAAAATTTAAAGATCATGTGAAATTTTAATATGATCGACACACCTAAAAGCTATTTAATTCGACAACGGAAAGTGGGGGACGGGACTTGATCTCGAGAACTAAGACTCTGATACTATATTAGATGATATAAATGACCGCAACACCTAAAAATTTAAGTTAGTAGGATACGCTTTATTTATTTAATTATCTACAAACCGGAGTCAACCAACAAATTGTTTGCTTTATGTTTAAATTTTGAAATCTTAATTTGAGTTTATAATTAAATAGTACTACTTTGATATACTCCTTCTCTGCGGCTCCAAGGTCTCATTTATTTTTTACATGTTAATTTTTTAATATTAATTCTTATATGAAAATGTAGTACAAATTAAGAGAAAAAAAGCAAAAATACTTCTATTAGTGTCTTATAATATTTATTATAACGACATTTGTGCAAAAAATTATACAAATATAAGAATATTTTAAATATTAAGTACAATGACACAAAAGATAAATGAGACCCTTAGAATCGGACAAATAAAATAATATTTTGTAAAAAATATATATATATTTTTATTGAAAATTATATCAAAATGATAATAAAATTTTGATATGAAATGCAAATTTTAAAAATTATAATGCTCACAATTATTTATTTATTTTTTTTATGGCGTGGGCGGGACAAGTGGTGATACAATTTTTATTTATTTTTATTTTAAAAAATATATTAAATAATTATTTTAATATTAAAATTAATATATATATATATATAAATAAATGAACAAACTCATTAATTATATACTACTGTTCTATATAGGCTTTGTTATTTTATTATTTTATATTTGGAGCAATATTATTCGTTCTTCACAATTTTTAATAAAATTATATTATATTTTTTCATAAATTATTACATTATTTTAAATAGGAGTGTCAAAATTAAATCCGATACGAAAAATTAAACCCGTTAGATCTGAAATGTTTGAGTATTTCAAATTTGCAAAAGATCGGGTCGATCCAAACTAAAATTAAAAAAGAAAATAAAAATTATATCATGTTTGGATTAAATTTTGGGTTAACCGGAGAAAATATAAAATTCAAGTTGGATTTCACACTTGGATTTCAGGTTGACTTAAATTATTATTATTATCATTTTAATTTTAATTTATAATATTTATGTTATATTTAAATTTTTTATTTTTTATTTTTTATTTTTTTTTTAGGGGAGGGGAGAGATTTTAATAGAAGGGAGGTGAGGCAAGAGGGGAAAGAATATTAAAATTGTAACAGTGTGTTTGATTCATATGGAACGGAAGGGAGGCGAGATAAGAGAAAATAATATTTTTGTGTTTCGTTAGGCAGGAGAGGGAAAGAAAAATAGAATAATTTTACTATTTTGCCCCTATATCATATAAATAAAGAAAAATAAAAGTATTTAATAAAATTTGATTAATTTATTCATAAAGCATGATACAAAATTTCTTTATATAATATAATAAAACAAAAACTACATTATAAATCATCGGAAGAACCAAACATTATATACATAATGACCGATGTGCGTGCTTCGGGTGGACATTCAATAATCGTTCGAAGTTGGTCTGAATTATTCATAAAAAAAACAATATATATATGAGTCCATCGTGTTTCAATTCCACGTTACTTAATCATACATGAGATATTTATTAACATCACCGATAAACTATAATTTACTTATAAATAGTAACAACATAACATAAAATCATATATAAATTAAGTATATAATAAAGACCAAGTCTTATTTTATCATGTCAAAATCAAATGTACTTATATAAATTAAATTAATTATTAAACTAAATTAAATTATTTAAACAGAATTAATTAAGATATATACTTAATTATAAAAGAAATTTGATTAAATTTATTTAAAAGTATTTTAAAATATATTTGAATTAAATTAATGTAATTTGTTTTAGATAACGTAAATATTTATTAAAATCAAAATAAAGAAAAATAATAATTTTATATACAAATATAAGAATAGATATGGTAAAATTTATACAAACTAAATCAATTATAAAAATTACATTAATTTTTTATAATATGTTTATTTGATAAAATCAATAATTATAATTAAATACAACTATTTAAAACTAAATCAATTTAAAATTATTTATTTTTTAAAAAAAATATTATATATTATTTTTTAAAATATTACACTAAATTTAATGTAAATTTTATTTAAAATTTTTAAAATATATAATGTAATTTAGATATATGCACAATATACATTAATATTCATTCGTATAATTAAAAAGAAAATAAATAAATATTAAAATTTAAAAATATTATAAAAATTTAATAAAATGTAAAAAAATAGTATAATAAGTAAAAATTGTTTAATAAAATCTCTCTCTCCAAATTCCCTCAAATTGGAGGGAAATAAAAATCTAAACAAATTAAATTCCCTCCCCTGTTAGAAAACTTGAACCAAACAATTTTTTTTTTTAGAATTTCATCCCTTTCCCTCCTAAAGCCTCGAACCAAACAGACCCTAAAAAAAAAAAAAAAAAATACTAAGTCATATTTTTAGATTTTTTCGTATCGAACTTGTTCAAATTTCGAATGATTTAACTAAATCAGGTTAACTTGAACCCGACTCTAAAAAATTCGTGTCATATTCAGATCTAGAATTTCGAGTCAAATTTCGAATTTGGGTAAGACTTGGGTTGATAATATTTTTTGCCACACCCATTAATAAGCCTAACACAAATACAATCCAAAAATACGAATGGACACCCTAATTTCAATTTAAAAATAAAAATAAAAACAAATAATTTCCAAATGTTGGGCTTAATTTACAGCTTGGAACTTGTATGATGCATGAGGTTAGAGTTGCGCCAAATTGAAAATAATATTTACTTTTTTTTTTCTTTTTTTTTTTTTTTAAGTAGATCAATTTTTTTTTTTTAAAAAAAAAATCTTTTCGTCCACTTGCTTAAATATATATATATATATATTTTATTTTTATTGTTAAAAAACAATACTCGCTCCGTCCCGGTTTAAAGAGGTGTTTTGGGGTTTTGTAGTATATTAAAAAATAATACCCCCCTCTCAAAACTATAATTTGGGTTATATTTGACACGAGATTTAAAAAATATTGATATTATATTGACAGTGGGTAAAAAGTACGGGTAAAATACTTTTTTGCCATTGTGAGCGTATTAGTATAAAAAATAGTGACAATTGTGTAATAATAATGAAAAAGTAAATGTAGTTTATAGTGATATGATTATTTATGGAAATAAAACTATTGTTTTAGGACGGACTAAAATGGTAAACAAGACTATTGTATTGGAACGGAGGGAGTAGTATTTTATTAGTTAGTGGAAGTTTGTAAAAGATTTTTACATTTTTGCCTTGACTTTATGTAAAAAGTAATTGTATGTTTAATTATATGCTTGTAATTTAGGTAAAAAAGTTAGGTGATATTTTGGTATTGGTATATGTGTATGATTATTTTTACTAAAATACGAAAGATGTACTTTGCAGTGGGACGGACGAAAGTGGTAAAAATAGTACTTTGAGTTGAGATCGGGGGAAGTATTTATTTTCTATTTTAATATGTATGAATTCAACTATACATTAAAACTATTGTCGCATTTATACTTATTTATATCAATACTAAGGGTACAATTGTCTTTCCATATTAAAATTAATACTTTATTGATAAATAGAAGTGTATAATATGTTTTTGACATTTTTTTTTCTTGTAAGTACAAAAAAATGAGTTTTTTTTTTTCTTTATAGAAATTATGAGTATTTTAATATTTATATAAAAATTATTTTAAATAGATGTTTTTGGATAAAACAAATAAAAATGATAAAATTAGTATATTGAATTGGAATACAGAGGATACTACTTCATCCGTAGCAAATAAATACGTTTATACTTTTAAGCTGTGTTTATTTAAATGATATTATTATAATCCATAAGATTATTTTCAATAAATTATATAATTATGAGATTAATTAATATCATATTTATTGTATTTGATTAAATAAAATGACATAAACTTTAATAAAAATATAACTTGAATAAATTAATCCTACCCATCTAAATAAAACTAATTATATTTAATTAGCATATTAGTAACAAATACTCCCTCCGTTCAATTTCTATTATCCTAAAGTATATTTGCACGGTTTTTTAGGTAATTGTCTTTTTGTTATGAATTAACAAATTTGTCCTTAATTGTATGGTAGAGACTAAAAGTAATAAATGAACAAAGGGTAAAAATGTAAAATTTGTGTTTAAAAAAGAAAATAGGACAATAGTTGTTGGACGTCCGAAATAGAAAAGTAGGACATTAGTTTGTGGATAGAGGGAATATATAACTAGCAAATATATGTAAAATTACTAAAATAGCCTTATAGAATTGGATCAGTACTTTGTTTATATTTCTAAGTCTCGGCATAGTAACAACAACCATAAAAATATTACTTTCTTTGTCCACTTATAAGTGAGCTCATGTAAAAAAAACTTAAATTAAAAAGAATAATAATATTTAGATAAAAAGAAATAAAAATAATAGTAAATTGATAATTGAATAAAAATAAAAAATTAAATTAAAATATTCTTAAATTGTTTACTTTATTTAGTAAAATTATAACATATCCATATATTAACATAATATACGCTTCATCTGTCCTAACTATATCTATTATTTTCACAATTTTTGTCAATCTGACTTAAAATGTATCTATTTTTATTATATTAAAAATAATCAATATATTAATATAAAAAATATTTTAATTTTGACATAAATTATAAATATACAATTACACATATACATAAAATAAAATACTAAAAATATCAAAAACTATCTTATATGTTTTTACTAATCAATAAAATATTATTATTTTTTAATATATTACAAAACAATCAAACAAATACTTTCATCTAGATGAAAAAAATATTACTCCCTCCGTCCCTTAACAGTTTATTTATTTTTCTATTTTAGTCCGTCACTTAACAAAGTATTTATTTCTTTTTTAGTAATTATACTATCTACCTAACTTTACAAATATCCTTCTAATTTACAATATATTATACAAATGTCATTACTTTTATATCATACAATACTAATAGGGTTAATTTAGTCTTTTTATCTTTATTTCTACTTTATTTCAATATAATACTAATATTTCTAAAACTCCGTGCAAAAAACAAATGGATATATAGATATGGGACGGAGGGACTATTTTTTGTACTTCCTATATACTTCCTCCGTCCTTTATCTATGTATACGTTTGCTTTCGCATGTAGTTTTAGAAATATTAGTATTATATTGAGTTGTAGTATAAATAAAGTAGAAAAGATTAAAATAACTTTATTAATATTGTGTGATATAAAGATATATTGTAAGTTATAAAAGTGGTACAATTATTATAAAAAAAAAAATGAATACTTTGTTATAAGAGATATTAAAAATAAATAAATATTTTATTATAGAACATACCAAAATAGAAAAATGAATAGATTATTATCGAGAGATTGAAATAATCCTTTGTAATTAAGCTAAAAAAAATAAGTCAATCCAAAAATAAAATCATCTTTTCCATATATCAAGGGAATCCAAGATAGACTTTATAACCTTCCATGTTCGTTTTAATTTATTTTATTTCATAGATATTGCTGCAGGTGTCTGAAAAGGAAAAAAAAAAGCATCTTCTTTCAACTATGCTCAACATATTGATAATAATAATAAAAAAAAAAAAGTTTTCTTAATAATCTTAACAACTCAGTACTATAAAATAAATGGTGGAAAAATCAAATATTTTGATTATTTTGAGCGAAATTGATAGAAATATATATATATATGGGCGAAACTACACGAGGCTATGAGGGTCAACTGACCCCATCCCTCAAAATATATATATTTTTTAATATGAATAAAAATAAAATTATGTATTTTATAGTAATTTGTTTATCTTAATTTTTTATTTTGTAATATAAAAAATTATAAAAAATTTATCTGTACGTTGATTTATATTTTTAGTCTTTAAATTTTATTTTTTATAGTAAAAAAATATTAAATTTTATGTAATTTTATTAAAAAAATTTTCTAAAACATTTAAATTTTCTAATTTTTTTATCTTTTGCCACAGTGTACTATGAATAAAAAAAAATATAGCCCCCCAACTTTTACTGCTGGTTCCGTCACTGTGTATATATATATTGACATATTAAATCAACATGAAAAAATATATATATATTCTCAAATATTATGTTTGTTCAGTATCTAAATTAAAATTCAATTAAAGTATAAAATCAAACATATATATATATATCTCAATTATTAGAGTGAGTACTATTACTTAGTTGCGAATTAGGATGTTAAAATTTTTATATGAAATTAATTATCCTTCCTTTGCATTTAGTCATAACATTTTATTTTTTAAGTATTTTTTATTTTGTCAAATTTCAGTAGAATATATTATAATAATTCAATCAAATTTACTAATTATATATATATATGGTCAAATTTGTCAATATATTTTTAATTATTTATTAATTATAATTTTATTACTATGACATTATATCTCGAACTAATGTAATATCGCATAATCACTGTTACGACCATAATTCCTAAAGAAAAAGGCATGTGAAATCTTGTCCAGTAAGGGATGATAACTTGTGACCGAGAGGTCATGGTTCAAACCCGAATTAAATATTAAAATTAAAATAAAAAATTAAAAAAGGCATGTGAAACCTTACCTCTAAAGCCCATATTCTCTCCTAAGTTTTGACAAAAGGTTAGACACATTTCAAAGTTGATTTTGACAATCAATCATAGGATTCTCTTTCTTACAATGATTCTTTTTTAAAAAATAAATAAATAAATATATATATATATAATATAACAAAACATTACAAAATTATTAATGTTAGAATTCTATGAAATATGTAAACATACATAGCCCTTCTTACATACAAACTTTCATTTGCAACACTACTCTAAGTGTTCTTACACATCCCAACAAAATCTCGAACATCATTCTCACAACATTACAAACCCAATGTCTTCCCCAATCGAAGAATTATACAGCGGTATCGTGAGAAAAATTATCAAACTTCCACAGAACATACTCGGCGAAGTCTCCCGCGCTATGAACCACGGAAAAACCCTAATCGGATTCGGAAACAATCATCATCATCAACAAATCTCCCACGCGCAACAATTCCCGACTCAAGATCCGTCCGCGGCCGCAATTTTTCCGCAAATTCAAGAAGAATGGGCTTTTCTAGCCACGTTCGAGCCACATTACGGCAATTCACACCCTTTCTTCTACGCGTGTAGGTTTTCCGACGCGTTGAGAATAGCTCGGGACGAGCGCAAGCTCGTGTTCATGTACATCCACTCCCCGGAAAACCCTTACACGCCGTGTTTCTGTCGAGACACCCTTTGCGCCGAGGTTGTAATGCAATTTCTCGACGTGAATTTTGTTTGTTGGGGCGGGCTTGCGAGCCGAGGCGATGGCCGGCATTTGGCCACAGCGTTACGGGCTTCGATGTCTCCGTTTTGCGCGGTTGTGGCCCCGGTTGCCGGGGATAATCTAGAGATTCTGCAACAGGTTTGAGTCGATGCTCCATATGTTTCTTGATTGAGAAATATTCGTTTATTTTTTGTGCGAAATTTAAGGAATATAGTTGAAAATAATTTATGTATGTTGAAAGATTATTTTGTCCTTAGTGTCTTTGTAATTGTATTGATGGAAATATATATAAATTTAAAGGTATTTATGGTGTTTGGTTTAGGATTTTGGCCTATATTTTACTATCTACTATTATTTTTTAAAGAAACAAAAATTAAATTAAATATTTATTTTTTATATTTATATTATATTAAAAATTAATTTTACATTTTGATATAACATTAATATGTATTTATAGTACTATCACACAATTCAATTTTTTTATATTTAAAATTCAAATTCAAAATGCAACTCCAACCAAACACACTCGTGTATAGGTCTATACTATATGTATTCGTTTATTTTTTTTATAGAGTTTAATGAGCATAGTTAGGAATTCTTTTTTCTTTTTCTTTTTTCTTTTTTTTTTTTTTATGTAAAGACTTTGTTGTCCTTCTGTTTTAATTTGATGTAATTGTATTGACGCAAATAAATGATATTTTTGTTCTATTAGAAAGTAAATATTTATTTTTGATGCAAAATTTAAGTAATAATAGTATTTTAACTGTAGTGAGTAGTTAAAAGTAGTGTAACGATATTTTTGCTTTTGTTTTTTTAATTTGGAAGTAATGATGTGATGTAAAACAGAGATATTTGTTGAAAAAATATTATGTATTTAATGAAATTGTTATTTTATAATTGGACAACAAAAAATAAAAGTATATATACTTTCTGAGTTGACGAAGTAAATTCATAATATATAATGAGTTTATATTTGCTAAAAAAAAAATTGTGTATGTAACGGTGTTTGTAAATTAGATTTGTAATTTCATTATTATTAATATATAATTGAAAATTTCTCTCGAAATTCAACAGATAGAAGGTCCCGTCTCGCCGGCCGAGCTGGTGGAGATTTTGCAACGGACGATGGAGGAACAAGGCCCGGCTTTTGGGAGCGAGCGGGCAAACCGGGACACGACGAGACGGGAGGATCGACGGCTTAGAGAAGAACAAGATGCTGCTTACAAACAAGCACTCCAAATAGATCAGGTGCAAAATGTTAAATATTTTGGATTTAGAAAATTTTGAATAGAAATTAAGTTTTGAATGTTATGTTTTAAATGTATGTTTGTTTGGTTTATATATATATATATAAATATTTAATGTAATATTTAAAATATAAATAAATATCTATTTTTGCATAAAATGCAGATATAGTGTTTTTAAAGAAAAATAATATTCATTCCGTGCCACTAAATCTATACATATTATTTTTTTTCTATAAAAAAAAATTACATTTTTTATTTATAGCAAGTAACTATTACATATTTTTAAAATCTATACCCTTTTAATATTAATTGCATTTATTTATAAAAATACTACAGCTACTTACATATTCAATCTATAAAAAAATTTCTACTTAAATTAACTCGATCATATACTTTGAAAAAACATGTAAATAGAGATAAACTCATCAAAATTATTTTCTCCGTATGTAGTCGAAAGAAAGGTTCAAGAAGAATACAAATTCCCGGGATAGTGCTCGAGAGCCTCGAAAACCTAAAGAAGGCGCAAGCGCCGGAGCTTCTCAAAGAGCCCGAGAAAAAGGCGAAGAAACTCAGGTATATATGTGAAGTGCTCAAATTTTTTAAAAATTTGAACATAAGCTTTTGATGAGCTCTACAATAACTAAAACAATAGCAACAATTAATTTTGTAGATTTTGATTCGATTTCCGAATGGGGAGAGAAGGGAGCAAAGCTTCTTGAGCACAAATAAGATTCGGGCGATCTACAAATATATCGATGATTTATTGATCCCCGGAGTCGGGAGCTACCGTTTAATCTCAAACTTCCCTCGAAAAGTCTATGGCGCCGATCACATGGAAATGAGTCTTAAAGACGCGGGCCTAAATGCGAAAGCTAGCCTTTTCTTGGAACCCCTTTGATGTTAGAATTTAGGTTTTTTAGGGTTGTTTGGAAATGTTAAGCGTGAAAAGATTTTATGTAATGGGTAAATTATATAACACTCTCTTGTACTTTAGTAAAAATGCACAAAACATCTTGTGTTTTATTTATTGCGCAAAATCCCCTTGTGTTGTTGTAAAATTTGCACGAAACACCCTCCTTGTCCAACATTGATGTTTAGTTCTAAATAAATACCTAAATTACGTATATTTTATACAAATAAAAAACGTAAAATATTTTAAATAATTTTTTTTAATAAAATAAATCAATAAATAATTGATTAATCATTCATTTTATAGTTTTTCGAAAATAAATTGTTATCTAAAATTTACAAAAACTATAAAATAAATGATTTATCAATTATTTATTTATTTATTTTATTCAACAAAATTTTAAAAAATATTTTATGTTTTTTATTTGTATAAAACTTGTAATATAGACCTTTATTTAGAACCAAACATCAATTTTGGACAATGAGGTGTTTTGTGCAAACTTTACATTAACATAAAGGAGTTTTACGCAATAAATAAAAGACGAGGTGTTTTGTGCATTTTTACTAAAACACAATGGGGTGTTGTATAATTTACCCTCTATATAATCTAGAAAATTGCATTATATTAATCATTAAAATAACAGGTCTATACATAGGCACTATAAAACATACTCGATAAACTCAAATCTAAATGATCTAATATATGGATAAGACCAAATTTAAATTTACTAAATATAAAATTGAATATCTAAAATATCTAACTATTAAGATATAAATGATTAATTATGTTCGATGAACTTTAGACAGCGTGAAAGTGATGGTCAAGCGCCCGTTTCTGTGTTGTAAGTTCGACAAAGTTTAGGGCATTGGAAATTAAGGGTAAGATTGCATGATAATCGAATATAGCGATGAAATCCGGGGAAAGGCAAGTACAATATGAATGAAGAAGTTGTAATGACAAAAGAAAGAAAAATTCAGACAAGTATGGATAGATTTATGGATCAGTGAGATGCATCTTCTTCTTCACAAAATTTAGTGTAGTCTTTAGGTCCCATTAAGCTGTCCAATTCTGAAGGATTTGAGGGCTTCACTTTGATCATCCATCCATCTTCATATGGGCTTGTGTTGATCTTCATAACCCCCATTTCGAAAAAAAAAAAAAAACTATTAGGTCACAAAATATGCAAGAAATAGACATTAACTGAAAACCGATAAATTATAGTGTGTAAGAATGTATTGACTAAATACACTGGAGAGTAGGATTGATATACAGTAGTATAATCGTAATTTTAGGTGAAATGTAAGGATATTTTAATAAATTAGAAAAATAATCACTACAAAAAAAAAAAATGTATTAGTAACGAAAATTAGGTATTGTTGGCGTTAGCTACGTGAACTTTAGTGACATAATTTAATACATTTTGTCCATAATTTTGTCCCTAATTTCTTAGTAACAGAAAAAGGAATTCAATGAAAAAAAAAAAAATTGTTATAAAAACGTTATTTTCTTGTAATGAACATATTGACTGTAAACATTTAAAAATGATAATATAAATATATTGACAGTAGAAAAAAAATGAAAGTTGTAGCGGTTAGTACCAATCCGGGAGTGTCCGAAAGTTTAGTGTTGACTTCAACTACCTCGCCGGAGATTGGGGAGTTCACTCCGCTCGCCGCCTTTACACTCTCGACATTCCCAAAGCCGTCACCTTGTGTTACCGGTTTACCTTCGCCGGGCAATTCCACATACACCACCTCGCCTAAATGATCCTAATGAAGAAAAAATACATTCGTATTTCATAATCACAAGTGAATTTATTTTTCATTACTCTAAAAATCAATCGACTTAAATTTTTTCGATGCCTTTATGCTTATTTTGCTTCACATATTGTTTCCTTATAACTTCATGGTACACACATGGGTCGATTCAGTTGTAATTTCGACATACTTTGTCGTCCCTTTTATCAATTAGCGGAAATTCTCATTGTCACTAGGTGTAGTCCCAAAGCTCGAGCTAAATTACTTACAAATTTGCAATACTTCATATTTAAAATAAAAAATAAAAAATAAAAAAATACTCCCTCCGTCCCAACTATAAGAAAAAATCATTTTTGTAACAAAATTTTTTTGTCTCTGAATCTATTTTTTCTGTTACTAATGACATTAGTGACGGAATTAGGAATGGAATTACGTTAGCTACGTGAACTTTAGGGACGGAATTCCGTTACAAATATATTAATTTTTTGTAGTGATAAATACCATGTCCACGTTGCCGTTTCTGTCCGTCCCATATACTATGTCACTTTCTTTTTTTGGAAAATGATTACACACTTTAATCTCATTTTAAATTTTTAATTTTAATTAAATTAATTATTTATCTTAATCTTAATTTATAATTATTTATATTATAGGATAATTATTTTCACTAATACATTCTTAATTATCTACTAATTACATCCCTCCTAAAATACCGTGTCTACAGTGTAGTAGACATGGTATCTGAGACGGAGGAAGTATATCGTTTGATTGCGTAAAATATTTGAAATGACATAGTATTATGAATATTCAAAATTACATAAATTTAAAATTTACAATCATCTTTAATATGATTCTTTTTTTTTTTTTTTTTACAGAGTCAATTAATCAATAAATACTATTCACTGTAATACACTTTTTAATAAAATTACATTATTTGTTTTTTCACAAAAACATCATATTAAAATATTCTTTAAATTAAAATTCATATCAATCTAATATTTTAAATCAATATCAAACCACAACCAAACAAACACACTACTTTCAGAAACTTACAAAATTTTTATTTAAACAGATTCTAAATATTTATCCCCATAACAAAGTATTAATTTTTTCCATTTTAGTCCGTCCATAACAAAGTATCAATTTCTTTTTTTAGTAACTGTACTATTTACCTAACATTATAAATACCCTTACAATTTACAATATATTACACAAATGTCATTACCTTTATATCACACACACTAATAAGGTTATTTTAGTCATTTCTACTTTATTCTTACTATATTCAATATAATACTAATATTTCTAAAAATACATGCAAAAAACAAATGGATATTTAGTTACGAGACGGAGGAAGTATATCTCTAGAAAGAGAAAAAGAAAAATGAATGGACGTTATAACCGTTGGATACAAATCTATGTAGATATATATATGCATATATATATAGAGAGAGAGAGAAGAGAGAGAGATGAACCTGGGCATGGTCTGTGATGCCAATGGTAGCCACAGGGCCATCGTGCTTCACCCATTCATGTGAGCTCGAATATTTCAACCCCTCCAATACTATCAATATATATCAGAATCCATTGATGAATTTGGAGTGAGAAACTAATGAACAAATTAAAAAAAAAAAAAAAAACATACCAGTGGAGAAGCATCTAGAGAGCGAAAATGATGTGAAAGCAAGGGGCGAATTCGAAGCTGCAGATACTGAAAGCTTAAGGGATTTTGCAAACATTCTCAATGCCATTTTTTTTTATCCTCTCTCTCTCTCTCTCTCTCTCTCTCACTCTATATTTTAGTTTCTCTCTCTAAAGAAAAGGAAAATGAATGAATTGAATTGAAGGGCTTCTTACCTTACTACTTACTTACAATTTAATAAAGGCCTCCAATATTTATTTTATTCTTGGTTTATTTCTGTATCCTTAATAATTGTTATCTCTGATGGATGGTCCAAAATGAAAGCCTCATCCTCTTTTCTATTCTATTCTATGTCTTCTTACATACAAACTTATATTTTTGTAATGAAACTTTCAAAAGGGCAATCTTTTATTTATATATATATTCTTGTGTACAATTTTAATCTTTTGCACTTTGCGCTCGACATGGCCGTGTATTCGTTTACAAAAGTTTTTTTTAGTTTATTATTTTTTAAGTAAGTACGAAATTCTTTAACTTCGTATTGAAGTGCTTAATATATGGTCGAAGAAGTTCCTCCGAACTTCTTATCTTATTTGACGTAAATTCTTGAAAAATAATTGAGTGCTTGCGTTTGGAAATTGACACGATGAAATAGTTATTATATGTGATATATATACGGTGTATTTTTATAATTAAAGATAATGAGGGTTGATGTAATATTTTTTTTAAAAAATAAAATCGTGGATGGAATAATAATAAAATTATTTTTAAAAAATAAAAAAACCATGTAAACAAAGGCTTTATCTCGAGAATGTGCCCAAATGAAATAATTCTACCAAATAGGAGATATTATTACACTACAATTTTACAATTATTAAGACATTTTAGATAGCGGCCGTTATTTATTTAGTGTGCTCTATGTAAATTTCGATCGAATCTAATAATATGTAAATTAAGTTCGACAAGATAAATCACATTAGGTGAACTATACATATGACATATTAGACTTGGAAATGTCGGAGTTAAATTTTAAAAATTTTAAAATTTTTGGAAATAGTGAAAAGTTGTGTGTTTGACGTAATTTATTATAATATTTCTTTTTTAAAAAAATATATCATTGATAAATAATATAAAAAATATGTATATAAACAAAACATTTTTTTTAAAAAAAAAACTAATGAATAATGTCTAACTTTTAAAGATATATATATATATCTTTAAATTGAATATATATTGATTGTGATATAAATAAATATTATCTTGAATGGAGTTTTAATCATATAATATAACAAAAATTAAAGTATTTTAATTTGACAATTTTAAGGGAAATCAAATAAATTAGTTGGCCCAAATACACCTAAATTCATTCAATTGAACTTACCTTTCATCATTTCCTATTCTTGAACAGGGCCTCTCTCTTAAGGCCCATCTTTTTAAGATCCAAATAATATATAGATTATTTATAAAATAGAATAAAATAAAATAATCATATTTTAGTAAAATAAGTTAATGTTGTATTTATTATTATTATTTTTTAATCCATGAATGTTTTAAGATAGTACCAATAATTAACTAATGCTACCTTAAGTCCGACAGTCTCATTTGCTTTTTGTCGTGTTGATATTGAACATTAGTTATTATATCAAAACGTAATACAAATTAAAAAAAATATATATTACAAAAATACTTATGTTAAGTACAATGACGCGAATAATAAATGTAACCCACAGAGGCGGACGGAGTGACTATAAAATATGTCTACAATAAACATGTCATCATTCCCATAATCGGTTTGGATATACTACCGAATTTCAGATGCCTTATACGCGTATCTTATCTCTAATAAAGTTAATATCCAATTTGCGTCTGCATATAGATCATCTCGGGATCGCAAAATACTCATATTACAGGTGTATTCCAAATTGCAAGTGCGGATACCAAACGTACAATCACGAGCATCATAGGATGATCTCGTGAATACAAAATATGCATTCTCCACATTCGTGACAATATCAATGCACGACAATGTGACATAATTTCTCTAAATTGGTGCAATATATTGGAGTTTTACAACCTCCATAATTACGTTATTTCATCTTTTCGATAGATTCTCGTAAAGATCCACGAGCAAGGTACCCTCTTCTAATTAATTTTGGACTACTTTCTTTCATATCCATCGAAACCTATCAATCTTATACGGATATTAACGATTTCTCGTCACTATATCAATGCTATTACCAATTCAACAATCTTAAATACTAAAATCATATATTCTTATAAATTTTCCCTAATGTAGTGAACTTGCACAAGGATGGATAGCAACAAATTTTCAAAACTTCGACCTTCTTCTTTCATCTTTAGAATCGACCAAAAGATTTTCCAAACTACTACTTCGTGTCTAAAATAAAACTTACTCGTTTAACGCGACCTACCGAAAGACTTCCAACAACATTTCCTACAAAATAACTATTTCCTATCTAATCCAAAACAAATTCATTCGAAATAGAGTTACTAACCTCCAATGTCAATATTCACCGGAGACAGAAGACAACCGGCGATGGCGGGTAGATATAGAGAGAGAAATGAGTCTTCGAGGGTGCACAGCAGTGTCGATTTAGCTATTGCCAGTAACTGCCCCACCGGATTTTCCGAACTGATTTTGCTCAAAAGAGGGAGTGGTGTCCGTTTACCCGAACAAAGAACCATATAAATATGCTTTTTTCCTTTGGAGCATTTCGTCGAACAGTTAACCGGCAGCCATTAATTCTCACCCGTACGGCTCCCACAGATCAACGTAGAACTTCAACGGCCTTGTCAGCACCGCCTTCCACCTGCCGGCGTCCGGCAGACCGCCGGTCATAGCAACCGCGCTGTCGTCCTTCCGGCTACCTACTCGCAGCACGTTCACCTCCCCAGGGAACACCTCCTGCATCGCCTTCAACGTCGCCTCCATTATCGCGCCGCCGTCCTTCCTTATATCCTCCGGCTCGACGCAGTCCCCGCCGACGTTCACCATAATTCTCCCGCCTTTCCTCAACGTTCTCCTCAATTTCTCCCACGTCGCGGCGTCCTGGAGCTCCGGAATCACGCAGCCTTTGCTGAACAGATCCACCAGCACGGCGGCGAATCCGTTAGGTACGTCGGCGTCCAACGCGTCTCCGGTGTGAATTACGAGCCGACCGGAGTGTTTCTTCTCCAATTTCTCCAGTCCGAAGTACTCGCGCGCGACGGCGAGGACGGACGGATCGATCTCCCAGCCGTGGATCGAGGTTTGGGGGTAGAGATCGAGAAGGATCCTCGCGGCGGAGCCGGCGCCGAATCCTAGGATTCCGACGGGTCCGGCGGGGAGAATCGGAGGCAGAGTGGCGAAGACGTCGTAGTAGGCGTTGGTGAGAGATTTGAAGAGGAAGGAGATGCTGTGGATGTTGCCTGGGGCGTCGAGGAGGAGGAGCCTCGATCCGGCGAGCGGATGGTCGGCGGCGCGTGAGACTTGGAGGACTCGGATGTAGTTGTGCCTGGATTTGAATTTCGCGAGGATTTTCACGTGCTCGTTGGGGATTCCGTCGTCGTCTCCGGCGGATTTGGTGACGGTTTGGGGATTCGTTTGGGATTGGTGCGATTTGAGAGGAATTTGGCGGTTCCGGCGGAGTCCGACGGAGAGGTGGCGGCGGCAGGCGGCGGAGGACGGTGGAGGAGTTAGGGCCGGGCGATTAGGTTTAAATTGGGGAAAATTTTGTGCTGCTGTTGCTACTGCTACTTTCATGGTTTAGGATTTGAAGAGCTCACCGTGCCCCTCAAGTGGAGTTTTTGAAATCTGATTTTATTTTATTTTTTTTTAATTATCATATATTTATAAATTTGTAATATAATAAAAAAAATATTATTTATTTTGCCCTTAAAATATAATGTAAAAAATAAATAAGAATATTTTAATATTTAATTGATAGTTATTTGTTTAAAAACAATAATAAAAAAAATACATTATTTTTTATTATTACTATTTTTAAATAAATAATATCAATTAAATATTAAAATATTATTATTCGAAACAATCAACCCTAATATTACATGAAACATGGCAAAGATCGAAGCCAAGACAACGAAACAACAACGACAACATTCGAATACAAGTTACACTAAGCAAACAACATAACGAGATAGCAACACACGACCAAAACATAAACAACGGGGTAAAGTCCAGCACACATGTTCGGCAAGGAACATAACGACGATGATGACGCCGACTTGCCTTTATTATTCAGCGCACACTCGGTAAATATAGCAAATATTAAAACGATGAAAGACTTACTTCATTGCATACCTTCAGAGCTTCGCTATTAAGCCCGACGAACTCGGCTTAGACACACTGCTGTCCTTCACGTCGCCTTCTTTCCCATCCATCTCGCAAATATTCGGCGGAACGTCCACAGCAGGCGAACAATTAAAGAACCCATGCGGCTACAATAGGAAGTCGACATAAGGAACGACGATAACATTTTAGATAACGAGAACGTATAATAATAATAATAATAATAATAATACCTGAAGCATAAACCCGATACGTTCGACGGGCATAACAGGCCAGTCTTCTAGACGAGGAACGTGTGTAATCCCGAAAACATACCTAAACGAACGAGCATTTAGAAGCGCAAGATAGAAATTATACGTAGGAAAATTAGCTATTCGCAACATACCATAGAACAATATCGTTTTCTTCGAGGGGCCGGTTTTGCTTCACCCAAGAAGCCAGCCCTTCGCCGACGCGGGGATTTTGGTTAGGGAACTCGCCTCCGGGGAAATCCTCGCCGCGCGCATACTGTGTAACCCATAAATTGTGCTTCAAAAAAGCAGCTCTTCGCAGAAACTTAGCCTCCGGACCAGCCAACGGCAAGCAATTCGAACCGGGTACTAGTTTGTAACCAGTCAGTTGGCCGCTCCGATTGACAGTTCGAGTGTTCCTTATCTGCAACGCAAATGGAACAAACAGAATCGATGTAGAATTAGGTTTGAAACAAGTTTAACGCTACGCATTAAAGCTGTAAACGAGCATAACAGAGCCGAGCTTGTCATGTTTAAGCTCGGCTCGTGTTGGTTCATTAAGAGATACGAGTTGAAATTTTTGTTTGAGCTCGGCTCATTTAGCAATTTTTTTTTCATGTTCAACTCGGTTCAGTTCGATAAGAGAAATTTTATTGTATTTATTTGATAAAAATTAAATTCAGTTAATAATAATTACAATTTTTCTAATAAATACTATCGAACGTTCGCGAATAAGCTTGAGCTCGTTCGTGAACATAACGAGCCAAATTTTGTGTTTATGTTCGTGCTCGGCTTGTTTAACTTAACGAACGAGTCGAACCGAGCCAAGCTCGTGAACTGTTCGTTTGTTTTACAGCTCTACTACGTATTACAACAAACATTATACGGGAGCAGGATACTTACAACCCAATGACGAGCGGATAATGGATCGCAATCGCGCATGGCTTCTAATTCAGATCGAAGTAAAGTTTCCTCCGCGTAGAATGCATTGTTGTGGACATTGTCCTTTCCGGGTTCTTCGACTCTCACATTCACCTCAACGACCTGAAGCAAATCGGAACAAAAGCTTTGTCTTGGAAAGAATATAACAGTTTCGTAAATCGGAAATGGAAGATCACTCGGCCGACGTACATGATTCAGTTTTCCTAAGTGTATTTGCTTTCATAAGATACCTGATTGTGTGCTTCTCCGGGCTTACAGTCGACAGCCATGTCCATACGAGCAACGAAAAAGTGTTGATGAACCGGGGCGTATAATCCTGGTGCAATAGTCGTCCCATATTTTCTCGATTCTCCAGGCTGCAACGCCCCCAAACTAAGAATGCCGGTAAGTTTAACTTCAGCTTCAATTTTCCCATCCTGCAATCAAGAATGAACTTCAATAAATAAAAATAGGCGTCATGCGATATGATCACTGCACGAAGAAATATATTTGTTTCTCGTAACTGTCTTATTTTCTCAACTAATTTCACATACAGGCATTGTCGATTGAACTAATCTGTTCTAAGCACAACATAAAATGTAGTCGCAATTTTCGTCATCAATCATTTTATTTCAGAATGTGAGAAATATTCTACTTGCCTGGTAAAAGTGCCAGTAGAATCCATATTCGTAATTTGCGACAGTGCAAATAAACGAAACAGTGAGGCGCCTTGAACGTCGAACTTCTGCAATACCAGTTCGCCAATCTTGATGCTTCCAGAGGATCCCATGATCTTCTTCGTGCAAACATACACAATTCTCTATTGTCTCGACTCCTCCAGTAAAATTGGTGAAATGAGCATCGAAGTACTTTATAAATCCCAAACAATCACATCCCTGAAAAGGAAAGCAACATTAGATATGCTAATACCAATATTCTTTACAAACCGAGCAATCGCAAAAGAAAGCACGATCGAGGCAAACCTTCTTAAGAGAATGAGCATTCTTCCCAAGGCCGTCTTCTCCAGCATCAAATGCATTTTTTCGATAATGTGGATCATTAGGATCCCCATACGGCACAACCATCTCCACAAAACTCAACCTGTGGGCTATAGGTCTTCTTCCGCGACTACCATCGACATAGGCAACAGAATGAATGACCAAACCCTCTCTCGGGGTGAAACCAACTCGAAAATTCCACTGCATAAATAGCAACAAAATGATAATCGTGACATCAAGTAAAATGAGTAACAATTGATAAAAGGAAAGGAAAATAAAAGCATGCCTTCTGCCACTCAACATAGTGTCCATTGACTCGGAAACTTGGACCTTCATGCTGAAGAACTTGAAGGGGTTTAACATCACTTCTATCTACCCCTCCCCTGGTTTCACCGGGAGTATAGTTTCTTAGAGGATCGGCTGGGGGTAGAGGAACAAGTTTACGATCTTCAAACTCAATTACATTCATATTTTGCATATCAACAAGCACGTGGATTCCTTCAACGGGGCGTGCATAACCATTTTCCAGTGGGCAGTCGCTCTCTGTTCGGCAAAATATAAGTGGTTTTGCAAGCCTACGACTAGGAGCATCAGCCTCACTGTGGTAACCAACACACCTGCAGTTGGCATTCAGAAACAAAAAAGAACACATCGAATAATTAGTAAATTTAACACATTTATATCCATAGCCCACACACGTATTCATACATTTTACTGACCATGGATCAACCATGACTAGATCCATATCATCAACACCTCTCCTCTTCACTGCCTCTATAAATGGAGGATAATCTTTTACGACGGCTTCACATTCAGCGTATTCTGTAGCATCCTACAAATTGATGAACAAAAAAGAAAGGAAAAAGAAATCAACAAATAAAATATGCTGTAACATGTGCAATGATTGGATCCATAGAAGCTAAATCACACATTCATGTACAAGTCCTCACTCCGAGGTAAACCTTCCTTCAAAATTCATGATAAGTCTATGCCCAAATTACAAATTAAAGTAAAAATAAAATGAAATCTGATGTTGATTAAAACTTAACTTTTTAATGCAAAAGTTCTGAATGACAAACACTAAAATCCTATTGAGCAACATTCAATATGGAAAATTCTTTTAGGGTTTGGTAATAAATGAATCGAGAACATGTCATATATCGAAGAAACAAAATGAAGTCTATAGAGATTCAGCATTACTGAGATACCATTGGAGGCTGAACATCAGGGACGAGAGTAGAGGTAATGACTTTTCCTCGATGATGGCCACCTCTAGTCGTTGCATGTACTTCTGTCAACTCAACAATCCATAAACTAGTCTCGTTGGACTTTTTATTGTAGACGACCAGTCTAGCACGCCTTGGCGGTAGCTTACTCGGAATCGCAGGCCCTCCCTTTGTTCTAGGCAACAGCGATGGTTGAAAAGGGGGGAAGAAATATGCATCTGCCAGTGCCACCACTTGTTTCTCTGGTTCCAACAGAACCACTTCAATAAATCTCATGCTATCTCTGACCTGGGAAAAACACAAAGGGAAACGATAATGGAATGGCCAAAAATCAGAACGGTATTTGTCAACTAGAGATAATACTTACAGCTTTGCATCTAAGGTGAAGAAAAGAGTAATCCACAAATAATGACTAACCTCAGGTGTTGCTCCAGCTGCTCTCACAGTTCCTACAGCAACAGAGATCTCGGCAGCAGATAAAGGATCCAGAGGATGTTTGGTTTGAGCCCTTGTCATAATCGGAATCCCTGAAATTAAAAATAAAACATCATTGGAGAATTGAACTTCGAACATATACATATATATATATATATATAACCCACAATCAATTTAATTGGGATGCTACGCCACAGAAAGAAAAGAGAGACTTAATATTTCGTGGAGAAAACTCATTATGGAAACAAAATGGGAAAATGAAATGAATGAGAGATTCTCCACAATTTCGACTAACTCAATAAAGATCACAACTACAAATAAGAAATAGGACAACCCATCATCATGTAATGGTAAACACTTTCACCCCCACAGTAATGACAGAATAATAGACCAAGTGCGTTCATCTTGTCATGACTGTAATTTCAAGTGATCCAATACCATGGCACAACTTTTTTTCCTAAATGAATTGTGCTCTACTTAGTATTTAAATCTTAAGAAAAAAAGCTCCCTATTACCACAAATTTTTTTGGGAAGTTGAGATGAACTGCAATGAAAACCATAGGCTTCTACAAAAATGTTGATCGTTTCCTTCCAATCATACCCACGCGGAAAATGCTAAAATGTTTAAGACAAATCCTTGTATATCCGGACAAGATCAAATTTCGTTTCGTTTGTTTTTCTCCCCAAAAAATCCACAGGATGTTTCTTAAGACAATTCACTGTCAAGTGCAAGCCAGTGAAAACCATTCGACACTTTGTTCATATATATGATGCTGATAGGTAGAGAAGCAACAACAATCTTCCCCAGAACCAAAGGTTTTCAAAAGATGCACAAAAGACGAAAACATACAGAAAGGAACAAAACCAAAAACGACTAAAAAGCAATCGTTTCATCTGAAGCACCAATAATAAGTAATAACAGCTCGAAACTACGATCAATGCACAAAAACGCACAACCATTACTGTTCTACAGATAAAATGTTCCTAAAATCATCAACTAGCAGAAGAAAGATTACTAATATATGCATCGTACCAAAAAAATAAAAATAAAATGAGGAACGCAAAAAACCTTTAGTGGTAGGATTCGACGAAGGCTCGGATCTAATCAAAGCAGCCACAGAAGCAACCTTCTTGCCCTGATCTTCATCAGCCGCAGAAGGTACAGTCCAGTTACCAGCCGCGGAGGCGGAGGCAGACTCGAGGCGTACTACGGCGGACGGATCTCCGGCAGCAGCAGCGTGTCCGCGGAAGGCAACCGTCGCCGGAGTCGGAGATGCAGACGTCGCTTTTTCCTTAGTTGTGGCCATTGTAACTGGTTCGCAAGCTCACCGATTCCGCCGTAATGCGTGTCGCAATCTACTGACATACAGCAATTGGAACACCTCCAACACCTTCACGCCACCAACACCACCGACACCGACGCCGACGCCGCCGTCACAGTCTACAAATACTGAATCGTATCAGTCCGTGTAGAGTTCCTGTGCGAAACTGAGCTCGCCGGCGACGGTTAGGGCTCCGCTCCGATCAACACAACAATGGCGCTGTATCTATCTGTATGTATAGTAGTAATTTTTATTTTTATTTTATTTTTTTCGTTTCTGAAAAGCAATAATGCGGAAAGCGTATTTATAGACACGTGACTATGTGCGCCTTTTAGTAATACACAACTTTCCGTAAAAAAATTAAAAATAAATAAATAAATGGAATTTTAATTTATATATGTATTTATATTTATTCTATTTTAATTTAATTTAAAATTTAAAATTAAAATTAAATATTTAATACTAATATTATCGGTGATGATAAAAATTTTAGAGTAAATTATAACACTCCTGTATTTTATTAAAAATACATAAAACATATTGTATTGTATTTATGATATTATTTTATCTTTCATTTAAATTTATTTTTATTTTTTATTATTTAAATTTATTTTTATTTTTTTAGTAAAAAAATATATCTATTTTTTCTACTTAAAAAAATAAAAGTTTCTATTTTTATTTCTTACTAACTCGTATCGATCAAATGAGCATACAATTGAATGACGGAAAGAGTATAAAATTTTTGTGTGGTAAAATAAAATATACAAAATATTATTCAAAACTAATGTTTTATTATAAACGCACACCTAATTATACATATTTTATATAAGTAAATTTATATTTTTAAAATAAAATAAATAATTAGATAATTTATCAATTATTTATTTAATCATTTCTAAAAAGTATAACTTTAAATCATTACAAAAATTCTACTAAAAATTATGGAAAAATATAAATATTAATTCTTGTTACATTATTTTACATACGCATCTTCAAGCGGGATGATCAATTATGCCAAAAATACTTTCCTTACCGACAACATTCATCACACATTGCAAAATTAAATAAAATAGACTTATTTTCACAATAAAGAATAATGCAGAATAATTGAAATCGGGTCATTTTCTAGAGAAATAAAAAAAAAAATATTGTTTAATATATAAATATAATATAATTGGGCTTTGAAAGTTAGAAATAAAAAAATAATAATAATAAAATAAAATAAAATAGAAAAACAATAGCAAACTAAAACTTACAAAAAATCATACCATTTAACTTCAATAAAAATAAATTTCTAGTTTATGAAGGATATTGACAACTTGGATAATAGATTTGATCATCGATAGATGTTTAATTTTATTAATTTTAAATAAATTTGTTATAATTACACTCGCTAACTGTTTCTCTAATTAGACTAGAACCATAGTCATATGTGATTTCTTAGTTGCGGATGTCACTAGTTTCTATTTCAATCAAATTAAAACGTAATTACGAACGCCCAATTTATTTTAACAATTAATCTTTAATTTAATTGAAATATCTTGATCATTGTCTAACTAATGATTAGAGAACTTTGAAATAAAAAATTATAGAGATATTTATCAACCAAAAAATCAACCATGCATATGTATGAACACATTAGCTTTGACATATCATAAGGGTGTTACCCATGCAATTTTGGTACTGAAAAATTATTTTTTGCCAAAAATTTAAAATTGTAGAATTATTTATATATAAAGTCTACATTTAGTGTTAAAATGATAAAGAATTATGTTTGTGTCTAACAACATTTTTATCGATATAATTCTCAATATATATCATATACTCCCTCCGTCAAATTTCTATTGTCCTAAAGTATATTTATACGGTTTTTTAGGTGATTGTCTTTTTGTTATGAATGGACAAATTTGTCCTTAATTGTACGATAGAGATTAAAAGTAATAAATGAATGAAAAGTAAAAATACAAAATTTGTATTTAAAAAATAAAATAGGACAATAGTTGTTGGACGTCCCAAATAAGAAAGTAAGACATTAGTAATATATTATATTCTCACACAAAAAACTAATATTCAATAGAAAATATTAGTTTTTATATTACCACCACAATTCACCATGTCTTATATAAAAATAAATAAAAAAATAAATAAAATTTATCATTCACCTATCATTTTAAAAATCTACATCATTCTCCTTAATGATTTAAAGATTAAATGAGACTCTCTTATATTTTTAAAAAGATTGCACAAAATTCCTTTATTAAGATATTATGTACTCCCTCCGTCTCAATACAATAGTCTTGTTTATAATTTTTGTTCGTCCTAAAACAATAGTCTCATTTCCATAAATAATCATATCACTATAAAACTATATTTATTTTTATTATTATTACACAATTGCCACGACTTTTTACACTAATACATTCACAAGGGCAAAAAAAAATTTTATTCGTACTTTTTATCCACTACCAGTATAATATCAATATTCCTTAAATATCGTGTCAAACATAACTCAGAATATACATATGTTGAATTTAATCTCAATCATTAATTTAAAATTTACTTATTTTAATTAAATAAATAATTTAATTACTAAGAATATAGATTAAAATCAATCATACTTCCTTCATCCCGTCACATATCTCATTTTCGTTTTGGTACCTCCCACAAAAGATGACTATTTTTTATTTTTAGTAAGTTTATCAATCTTAAACATACTTAATAAATATAAATCAATTTAATTAAAATCCTAAAATCTAACAAGTAGGATCAACTTAAAACTTTTTTATTTATATCTCTCTCCTCAATTAAAAAATATTTTTATCTATCTTTAAAACTTTTCATTTTTATAAATCTAATTTATGATAATGATAAATAAATAAATAAATTTTTTTATTCATTTGTATTATATAAAATTGTATTGTCTACAAAATGATATCCATATTGCATATATTTTATTGAGATATAATTATAAAAATATTTAAAATACCAACAACACTACAAATATAAAAAATAACTTAATAACTTGTACTACCTAAAATATCGTATTCCTGACAAAATGTTTCATCTTTCGCGGGACTAATTTCTTAATATAGTGTGAATTATTATTATTACTCCCTCCGTCCCATAACAAAGTATCTATTTTTTCATTTTAATCCGTCCCATAACAAAGTATTCATTTCATTTTTTAGTAACTGTACTATCTACCTAACATTACAAATACCCTTACAACTTACAATATATTACACAAATGCCATTACTTTTATATCACACATACTAATAAGGTTATTTTAGTCATTTCTACTTTATTTCTACTATATCCTAATATAATACTAATATTTCTAAAACTACGTGCAAAAAGCAAATGGATACTTAATTTCGGGACGAAAGGAGTATTATTATTAGGAGTATGTTTTAAAGATTTTTTTTAGCTAGCTTTGAGAATCCAGCTGTGTGACAATTAGTGATAATGATGGGATATTAAAAATCATTTTCAATGTCCACTAATGAAAAGTACCATGATGTTAAATCAGCCTTTAAAGAATATACTATGTTCCACCTAAATTATTCTAAAAGAACTTTATAAAAATTAATAAACAATATTACTTCGTCCGTCTCGTAACTATAGTTTGGATTGTGTTTGATACGAGATTTTAAAAATATTAATATTATATTAGTAATAAATAAAAAGTACAGATAAAATATTTTTTTATCCTTGTGAGTGTATTAGTATAAAAAGTAGTGACAATTGTATAATAATAATGAAAAAATAAAAGTAATTTTATAGTGATGTGATTATTTATATAAATGAGACTAGTGTTTTAAGATAGTATTGGGCTAAGGTAGTACTCCCTCCGTCCAAGCTAAAAGTATACATTTACTTTTGGCACAAAGATTAAGGAATAATATTATTTTAATTATAGTGTGTAGGTAAAAGTAATAAAATGACATTTTTGCCCTTACTTTTTTGGTATAAAAGTAATAATGTGATGTAAAGTAGGGGTATTTGTGGGAAAAATGGAGTATTTAATGAAATGGTTACTTTGTAATTGGACGTCCAAAAATAAAAATATGTATACTTTCTAGCTGGACGGAGGGAGTATTATATTGGTGAATAAATTTTAGAAAATTTTAAAAAATATATATATTTTTAATGATATTGCAATTTATAGTCATTATCATTCATTGGTGAATGAGCCATAGAAAATTTTAAAATATTTTTTTTAATGAATATTATTCTTGAGTAAACCTTCAATTCCACGTAAATCACATAAATTATAAATATGGGCATGGGTCACTATATAAATAAATGTTTATTAAGGTGACCAATATATATTTATATATATATTTTAGTGTATTTATAATACATCATATATTATATTATAATTTATCATATATTATCTTATTTATGATGAAATAATATAGACATACAATGGTAATTCATATGATATATACTGATCCGGTCAAATCAGCGTCACATTGATTTGGTCGGATCAATACAGAATCTGCGGCCCATAAATATAAATAAACTATTACTTCCATCTAGTCATAAAGTATAAAATATTTTGGTGTTAATCTTTAAATATTAATTTTTACATTAATATATAATACAAATCAAAAGTAAATAACAAAATAATTGTTTGATTAAATAATACAAATCAAAAGTAAAATATATCAAAATGTTAAATTAAAATAATTGTTTGATTGATATAAATATATATTTAATGTAATATTTAAAAAAAATAATATAGTATAATAAATAAAAAAAAATAAGTGTTTTATTTAAAGCTTTTTTTTGGTGGGGGGTGGGGGATAAATAAATAATACTCCCTCCATCCCATAACTATATATCCATTTGCTTTTTGCACAGAATTTTAGAAATATTAGTATTATATTAAGACATAGTAGGAATAAAATAGAAATGACTAAAATAACCTTATTAGTATTGTGTGATATAAAAGTAATGACATTTGTGTAATACTCCCTCCGTCCCAGATACCGTGTCTGCTACACTGTAGACACGATATTTTAGGAGGGGTGTAATTAGTAAATAATTAAGAATGTATTAGTGAAAATAATTATCCTATAATATAAATAATCATAAATTAAGATTAAGATAACTAATTAGTTTAATTAAAATTAAAAAATTAAAATTAAAAAATTTAAAATGAGACTAAAGTGTGTAATCATTCTCCAAAAAAAGGAAAGTGACATGATATATGGGACAGACAGAAACGGCAACGTGGACATGGTATCTGGGACGGAGAGAGTATATTGTAAGTTGTAAAA